TTCTCTATATATTTTGCTATTTTTTGCTTTGGTGTCACCCGGTGCGGTCCGCACCCCCTCGCTACGCCCCTGACTATGGTGACTACATTCGTTTTAAAGAGAACCCTACATTAGGGATACAGAGAGCAACTACAATCGATGAAGTCGAATCAGGGGTAACATAACCAATGGCTCTCAAGTACGCCCCTTACCCTGAGGTGTGTTCTACCTTATATCACCATTGTGGAGTGTGATCAACGTACAGTCAAGGTTTTCACCCATAACACCATGGGGCACCGGGCGGTAGTATGGAAAAAATCGCACCACAATAACTTGGATATGAGAAATATAGTACCGACGGTTTCTATATTTAAATAACTCAGCTCAGGAAAAACTACCACAAGTCTAAAATAAGGAATGGTAAGCTTTAATGAAACCCTCATACAATGTTGAATCAGTTTGTTGTGTAGGGCTAGATTTGAGAGTCTATGCTTCTCATATGGACAATAATATGCAATTACAAAAATATGTTTTGTTCCTGAACCAGACGGGAAAAAAAATATTTTGTATCCACAAGAAAAAAAATTAAATCAAAACAACACTCTTAAATGTTTTCTGAATTAAAAATGAATGATAAGTTGAAATAAAAATGACACATCTGTCCTTAAATTTTCTTTCTTCTGTGAAGACAGCAATGTGTGGCACAGAGAGGTAATCCTTTAATTCACTCAACGCATGCAAATCACCTGGATGCACATGCGTATAATGTTAGATCAATTTTTTTATGACACCAAAAAAAAAAACGCGTTATGTATATGTACATAAACTGAAAAGTAAAATTATATCAGTTTCCATTGTCTTTGTTGAATAAGTTAGGTTATTTTTAGTTAAAGGATGTGGCATATGATATCACAAATTGGATAGCGAACAAGCTTCTACAATCAAGTTTTATAGGCATTCGATTATGGTCTTACAGGAGAGATGGGGAGGAAGTAGAGTTTTTACATTTATGAAAACGTGACGAGTTTATCACATAATACACATTATAGTGTTGGCGAAATGACATGATACACAATGTGCTATGAACATACCAACTGCAAGAAGACCTGTGTCTAAATTCCCCAGAAATGTTGAAATTATTTCTGACAAGAAAGCTATGACAAAAGGGCTCCAAAATATGAACATCTAGTCAAAGCTAATACTGTTAGAGTATATACAGAAACATTATTATTGTGGCTGCTGAGTAACAGACAGTTTCATAGCCAAATATCTCCAAACTGCATGACGGCTGACCCCAGAAAATTAACACAAAGGGGATCCTCACTACAATTAATGAAAACTTTGCTAGCATCACAGAATTTCAGTATTTTGTTGATGCAAAATTATAGTTATTAAAAATAATTTTTTTAACTAATTTAGTAGTGAAACATATTAAACAAGAATACCTGGCACAACTTTCAAGGCAGGGCATTGTAATTACAATGTAGGTATAGAGGAAAATGAAAATGTCAAGTGTTTAATTAGTTATTTTAAATAGATCACATGAATAGTATTAAAAAATCGTTAAAAAGATAATGGTAAATTTTCTTCCTTCAGTGTCATCATAAACGATTTTGTCTTTATTCATATATACTTTTGTTCTGAATAAAATAAAAAACATTTAGTTCTTAATATTTTGTATCAAAATATACATGCTTCTTATTGATATATGATTTGATATTAATTGATTCAGAATAAATCATTCAAATGTAAAAAAAAAGTTGCGACAAAATAAACAAAGAAAACCTTAAATAACAACAAGTATAGTAAACTTATATATTTTATTTATTGGCTGCTAGTTGTCAAAACTAATAAATGAAATCAAATCGAAAGAAGCTCAACTTCCTATTAATTTAGTTATTGTTTTTAAAACAGAACTATCACCGTACATAAATAAGATTGGGCCTTAAATTAGGAAATAATTGTATTTAAAATGTAGTGAGACATTACAGGCTGCTAAATGCATACTTTTAAACTAAAGCTAAAATAAATTATTGTTTTTGGATAGGCTATTCACAATTATCATCACAATGACTATCTGCCCTATCAATTGATCAAAGGCTGAGGCTGCTATCATTCTATCCAAAATATAAATGGGAATAATATCTTACAATAACTGGGGAAGGAGGTAGGTTTAGAGAGTAGTGCTAATTCTTATTGTAAGTTATTTATCTAAAAAAAATTTTATGGTTTAAGTTTATGCTCATAATCATATCAACTATGTAAATGATCAAATTATAAATTAATTATTCACTTTAAAGTTTAATTTATTTATACTACCAGTAGACTTAATTTTTATTTTTAAATTAATAACTATACATCACCTCTGTAGTTCACAATGCTATCCAATTACCATTTTTACTTTCTCGTATACGAAGTATAGGAGGAAGTATTGTAATCGTATAAAGATTGAAATTGAGATTTACACATTCAGATAACAGTACATAAGTACTGTTTCAGATAGGTAGAAGAAATTTCACTTATAAGTAAAAGATCTAATTATCTGCCCTCTATCAAAATTTGAGTAATTTCTGTTTACATAACATGTACTTTACGCTATTTCCAATTTTTCAAAAAACGCATATGAATTTATTAAGTGCTAATATTTTGCCTTATTATACACACATTGTTTGCTGTTAACTTGGTGCACATTCTTTTTTTCAATCAGATTTTATTCTATTTAATAAGTTAAAGTATTGAAAAATCGATTAAAAATCATTGTCTATATCCTGAGTTGCCATCCCCAGTCTTGTGATATAAGTACACGAGCCGACCCGCGGCGAATCATACACCACTATTTAGTTGTTTTATTTACTACTTTTCAGTGATTCATAATTTGAATGCTGCCACTGAAAATATTTGCTTTAAAACACTAATACCCTCCTCCCCTCCACCCCCCTCACTTGAACCTCACTTGTGTCCTATGCATGATTACCGAACCCTTTGTTATAGTTCTATCATCAGCAGTAAAAAAAACTATCATGCATGAGTCAGGTGTGTGTCTTGACCTCCAACGAACCCCTGGGGTGCAATTGAACCCAGATTAAGATCCACTTCTCTTATAATTGCCAGCAAAAACCTAGGGGATTTTTCCCTTCTCTGCAAGTATGCTTACAAACGCGGCACAAGTGAGAGTGAATTACAATCAGGCCTATTTTACAATTTTAATTGTTTTAATTGTAAAAAATAAGTCACCCTTTCATAAAAAAGACAACATGAAAATGTAGTTCCTACAATTCTATTTGTTTTCATCAAGCCTTAGTTTTAACTCGAAGTTTCACTTTCGTAAGACAAACACTGATTGCCTGTACTGTACAGAAACTATTTGACTAGAATTCAAAATGTAAACAAACCATAATGTTTTTGCCTTTTTAAAAAATTGTGTTTAGTTAGGCTACCAAAAATTCAAAATACAAAGCCTTAGTCATCAAAGAAATCCATCTTAAAATTATATGTAAATTCTGAATTCTGTCAGCCTTTATTACCAAAATTATTTTAATAGGTAATAATAACATTACACCGGATTTTTAAAATATTTTATAGGGCCTAGATCTAGATCTAAACAATCCCGAGATAATTCATATCATTAATTCATAATCATGGCCGCCTCTGTTACCGCCTTATAGTTTTTTTAAAGAAAGAGCCAGTAACAATGTAAATTTTAGGTAGGCCTAATCTATTGTTTTAGGTACATTATTAATTACTTGTAACTTGTAACTAACTACTAACTAACTAGTAGATCTAGGCCTAATCTAGATTTTAAAGATTTAAATTTTAAAGACAAGTTGAAGTTAAGCTAGTTCAGTAGAAAATAAGTTAGATCTAATTGATTAAAAATAAATTAATTTAAAGTCTAATAAACTAGTAGATATAGATCTAGGCTCTAGATCTAGTAGTAGGCCTAAATATAGTAAAGTAAAAGAAAAGTCAAAGTCAAACACACAAGAGAAAAAAAGGTAAGCAGATCCGAACACAAGTCGAGCGATTTGATTTTTGATTTTTCAATTGATCCTTCTTTATATTCTCTGTATGATTAGGCTTAACCTATGTTGATCAAAGCTCAACAATAAAGTAAAGAAACAGATGAACGAATTAAAAAGCATTAAAAAGCATGCAACATATTTAGGGATAATAAAAACAAACCTGTCGTTTGGTGGCCTAGACATTTTTGATAAAAACATCCGCCATTTGCAATGTCAATTTGTTTGGTCTAAACACCAAATAGTAAGCTATAGTGAAAACATAAAAGTGCATTTGAAATAATTCCTAGACTAATAAATAGAAATAAATCAAGCATTCTCTTATTTTATTAGCTTTAATATATATATATATATATATATATATATATATATATATATATATATATATATATATATATATATACACCTACCTATATATAATGTCTGTGTGTGTAAGTTAAGTGTGTAGGTCTATATAAAAAAAACTATATATCTTGTGTGTTTGAGCGTGATACATAATTATAAAGTAAGTAAAAAAGTGTTAAACATATATCTACTTTGTAAAGTCATTCAAATCAAATATCGGCATTTTTAACAATACTGGTGTTTATGTTTTTTTTAAGAAATTTGTTTTGGGGGGAGGGAGGGGTGAAACTTTCAGGGGGGGGGGGGGGGCTGGCATCAAAATTTCCAGGGGATGAACACTGGCTAGTCTAAAAAAAATTGTAAAATGATTATTTCATTGCACGGAACTGGACGTTAGCCTGACTAGAAATGGTCATTTTTTAAAATTAGTATGCTTTTACGGGCTAATAATATAGTTTTATTTCATAAAATTTTATTGCAATAAACATACATATTTATAATATAGTTTCAACAAACGATTTAAAAAAAATAATTGTATTTAAAATGGTTATTTTTAAGTTAGCAACAAAATCTTATCCATGGTGATAGTAGGCCCTACTACATAGATCATACTTAGATCTAGATCTGGTAGACGATTTACTGCGGGACTTGATTGTTTACACTTCCAAAAAATGGCAGGTTTCTATGAACCTGATTGTGCTACTGCTTACTATCGTTCGAATGATCCAATTAAGAACCTTAAAATAAAGTAAAGTCATGAAAATTATAAATAGAAATTAGAAGATCTAAAATATTTAAAACTATAATTTTTTCTAACGTTTAATTATAATTTATCTTCCGCTGTTTTGATAAACTCTTCAAAAAGTTAATGCAAGTCCATTCATGAACTTCATGCTTTTTTTATTAAAATTAAAATAATAAAAATATTGTTATTAGATCTAGAAGTAGCCTTTCTGGCTAAATTTCACATTAAACTAGATCTATATCCTAATGAATGTAACCTACTCAACTGCAAAGCAGGGGTCTGCGTGGTCAAGTTGGTAAAGTTCATAGTTGCTAAACTCGAGTTCGAACCCTCGGGCAGATGAGGCTTGTTAGCTGGGAACAGCCACTCTTCTAGGAGAGACAACTCCAAAATCAAATAACTGCTGCCTTGTAGTTTGTTCTTGGTTGGACAAAAGCTATGGAAGCAAATCCAAAAAGAAAAGCAGGCTGAAATTTGAGTCAATGGCCTCAATGGCGCATAACCAGTTGACACGTATCCTTAATTGTGATGGAGGTGTGGTCGAGTCTGCAAAAGTTCATGGTTGATAAAATTCTGAAAAGTCTCGAGTTTAAACTCTCTGGTAGATAAGGCTCGATCCCTTCCAACACTAAAAATTAAGAACGAAGATGAAGAAGAACTGCAAAGCAGATTTTGGTCTTTATCCGTTTCAATATAATTTAACTTCAAAAAATAAGTCCCAACCCGACTTGAATTAAAGACTGAAATAAAAATTTAATTCAGTAGATGGCCTTTTGTAAAGCAGGGTTATTGGGACCTAATCATAATTATTAATGGCACCTATTATTCATAGTGGCCTAGTCACAGAGGTATTAGTATCAGGCCCCAGTCAGCAATCCACCCCACAAAATACCTTATAAAACTAGATCTACTATGGAGGAGATGAAACATGAATTAAACACCCACTGCTTTCTCCTCAAAATTTCTCACCTCCATAAAATGTGATCACCAATATAATCCCTTTGTAGGTAACATATTACTGTTCTTAGATCTCATGCAATCAGAGATAGCATATTAGAGACAGCATCTCCTGTAATTTAATACTCACATGGTCCAGCGGGGAGGTCAAAAAAATAAATTTTCTACAAATCATGAATAGCATGTATTAAAAAATAAAGAAAAATTGTATTGGTACCATCTGGCAAACCAATCAATAAAATATGTATTACAAAAACTTGTTTTTATATTATGGTAAAATGTCTTCATTTTGTTTCAATGTTTTTTACAGGTATAATTAATTTGGGCTGATTATGAATCAATTTATTTTGAAAGATATACCATCATAATATATGCATATTTCTAAAATTTTAAAGTTATTAGAAGAACCAATAGTTTTTTTCTCTGTAAAAATTGTATATATACAATATATTGAAATGGAGAAAAAAGATAATAAACATGGCTTGCTGTTACTATCAAAAGATGTTAAAAGGTGTTTATTTTTCACTGGTGAAAATATTAGTAAAAACTTGTTCAATAATCTTAGATGGGTGTTCATGAATGTTTATTGGGTGTTCTACAAGTTGAATCAATCAAATTCTCAATAGTCTTGCATTGAAACAGCTGGATGCAGTTAGACCTTAACAAAGAATCCGCTCTCAGTCATTATTTTGTGTCTTAGGTTGCTTCCACATTGTGAGCAGTGTAATTATTTTTTTGTACTTTTAGTACTCTTTTAACAATTCATCACATCTTCTTTCATAAATTTATTCCTGCTATTTTTAACATGATTAAAAATGTTGAATAATAGTAATTGATTGAGTCTTGTATTATTTGTAGAGTAACTCTTAAAAGAGTATCTGCTTCTTTTGCTGATGAAAATGTCGCCCCACCTGCACCTAGTGATTCTGGAGTAGAGCTAACAACATTTAAGAAGCAAAAGAAGAAAAAGACCCATGAATTTGAAGAATGTATCATAGGATGGCAGCAGAAAATATTTTGTCAGGTCATTATGCTGTTTGAATTCAAAACTCTTTATTTAGCCATCTTATTTTTAAAAATGGCACTCTATACAATAAATACTTCTTTACACTATTGATTAATTAATGTTTTGTCCTTTCAGTTCCACCCTTTTTTAGTTGTAATTACTGTTGGACATTTCCAAAATTTATAATAGCAAACTCAATAAAAAACATTCTTTAAAAAGGAAGCTTGCTTTCAATAAAAAAAATGCTAGTCATAGTGCCAGGATTAACTAAAAATAGTAACATTGTAGTTTGATAATGGAAAACAAATCTGTCAGGTAATAATTGATCAAGCTTTCATTTTTTGGCAATAGAACCCATGGACTGATTTATGACTGATTTATTTAGTTTAAAAATGTGGTGTTGTCGTTTTAAAAGTATTTTTAGCTTGGGGGGGGGGGGGGGAGGGGGGTTGAGTATATAAGAATTTGTTAAAAAACAGAAATGGCATATCAAAGCTGTTTTTGTAAGCATCAGTACCCTTTTCTGCCACTATGTCAGAGCCTTAACCCTGATGATAACAGTAGGAGAAGACAAAAATGAAACATTACTCACTGTATTGCTATAACAGCATTTTTATAAAAATCTTAAGGAGTTAGGGGTGAATTTAGTTAAAATTGCTTTAAATAATTGGAGCTCCAGATTTATTTATACTTTAAAAAAAAATTTCAGTTGGATGAATTATTAGGTATTTGTGTCCTTATTTATCTTTTTTTTTTCAGAGAGAAATCGATTATTACAGCAACAAAGACAATTGTAAGAATGTATTGGATCAGAAATATCATCAGGAAACCCTAGCACTGCAGTAAGCATTTGTCTCTTCTCCCAACTATAAACAGTACAGTACTGTACATTCAGCTTTATCTAGAGCTTTCAGCTTGATGATTTTTCTGCATGGATGATATGACCATTTTTTTTTACAATTTCTTTTATCCAGAAACAAAAAGAAACAAAAGAATATGATATTTACATACGTTGATCATGATGAATTTTCTCATCAGCAAGAAGTGAGTGACCATTTTGTCAATTATTTTTTAGAGTGTTTGTTTTTAATTAAAATATATTAACAAGCTTATGATTGAAAGCAAATTTTTAAATTTACATATTTCTAAATAGTTTCTTTTATCTTTGTCTCAGGGTGTTTACAGTATGACAAATCTCATGGAAAAACCAAGTCCACTTGCTGTCAAAATGGCTCAGGTGCGATGTAGGAGAATTGGTGGACGCCATTTAAGAGAAAAGTAAACCTTGCTTACACGTGCTGCTTTTTTGTTTTAGTTTATCTTCAAACTAAACACTTTTTTTTTACCTCATACATAAATATTGATATTTTAATATTGCGATTTCAGTAACAATACCTGCTTCCAGGCACTCTACGTTTTACCTAATATATAATTAAAGTGATTTAACTTTGTTCTGCTTACATTCTAAAACCACTTTATAAAACTGATTTTTTTTAGAATGTGCATAATTTATTTTGTCCAATTTTATCCGCCCAGGGAACAAGGCAGTATACCAAAGACATTGATAGTTGATGAGAACCCATCAGAAGAAACAAGAATGAGGAATCATTTGGAGGCCCCACCTATTCAAGTCATGTACATTATGGCAGACCTCAGCCCCCCAGATAAGTCAGTATAACCCCATTGTTTGTACTGTTAAATCTAGTAATATCTATTGTCTGAAACAATGTGTGATGTTTTAAATTCATAATTTATATTTTATTGATATATTTATTTATGTTTTTATTGATATTTATTTATATGTACTAATTAAAGACATCACACAATATGGGGAGTGATAGCTCAAGAAATGTGACATGATATTGTATTCTTTAGGGGACAAGATGATGAGAAACATCTTATTTTGTGTTAGAATTATTACCATTTATTATGGGAAAGTGGGGTCGTTGTACTTATTTGAGTCTTGAGATGAGGTTTTGGCTGTAGCCGGGGGTAAAAATCTGCTTGAACTTGAATTACATGTCATTTATTAGTTAGTTTATTGCTAAATAAAGTAAGATTATCACTTAGTAGCAATTGTAATAATAAATATAGATTTCATTTTTAAATTTGCAGACTATTTGTTGTATTTTTAAAAATTTCATTTATACTTGGTTAATGGAAGTTCTAAAAAAAAATTTTTTTAGGCAGGCAGACCAAACAGATGAGTATGTATTGTGTTCCTTAAAAGTGGATGCTAATGGTGTGTTGTGTGTACGACCAGATTACACCTGCGGCAGGATTCCCTACAGTATTGAAACTGCTATAACAAGAGGTAATACAGAACCACTAGTCAGAGATTATAATTGTATCATTTGTTTGATTAACATTTTTACACATTGGAATCTAACTTCCATCTCCCATCTCCACACAATCAGATTAAGCCACATTAGAGATGATGATTTGTTAGATACAATAATAATGACAATTAATTGCAGAATAGACTAAGAAGGCAACAAATAGGCTACATTTTTATTATCATAGTTTCTTTCAGGCATCTCCGGGGGGGGGGGGGCAGTTAAGTGGGGGATAAATAGAAGTTTCATGCAGAATTCCAGAATGAATACATTAAACTTTTACCCCACACCATACCAACTCATTTACACTGAACTCAGAAGCACATGTAATGCCACGTTTCACTTTATTTTGGCATTCCAGAGGGATTTGATTACACAATAGAAAATGTCTCAAAAGATATGAGCAGACAAGAGCAAGAAAAGGAACTTAGAATGTATAAAGAAGTAACTATCTAATTCTAATCTAAACTTGTAGTGTAAATATGTACTTATTAATTAAAATATTTCATTAAGTAAATTTAGAATATTGAATATCTAAGCCATTGTTTGTATTTTGCTGTACATTTTTTATTACTTACCAGATGTATGTCAGGCATAACGACTTTGTTCATTCGTGTGTGGGATATGACTTTGAACTGGTGAGTACCAACCCAAACGTATTTTTTAAAACTGACTGGTTTTTTTGTAATTTAATTTTTAGCACTTAACCTACTTTCCAAAATAAAATATCAAATTTCACCTGTGATAAAAAAATGTTTAGAACTGTTGTAATTTAAAATATATATTTACACACTTACACTACTATTTCAAAATTATCATTCCCCATTTAGCCTCCTGTTGATACTCTAAGATATGTTGTCTTTGGGGAAATTTGTAAGTACTCTATGATCTACCTTTTAGATCTACCAAAAAATGTTAATAATTTAACACACGCATCATGATTTCTTTCAATTAGCTGCTATTATTATTTTTACAACTAACAGTTATTCTTCAAACATTATTAGTCATTGTATGTAAAAAAAAAAAACAGCATGCCAATTTATATCAACTGTTTTGTATCTCTAGTGTCTGCTCAAGACTTTGAAAAAGACAATCTTTATGTTCACATGTTTACAGACTTACCCAAAGGTAGGAACCTCTTGCATCTGTGTTTATTTAGATATTAACATATTAGCCGTGAGATCCCCTTTAGCATAATTTTATTAAATAGTTTTTTTTAAAACATGTTTTTTATTATATTGCTATTATTATAATTAAGATTGGACAGCAGACAGGAGTCAGCAGTTGTCGTGGATCACACAGACTTGTGCCACTAAAAGTGTTGACCAGGTAGCAGATATTTATAATTTGTGATGTGATGAATATTTTAATTTATCAAAGTAATTTCATGCAGCCTCCTAAAACTGCAGGAGTTTCTGAATGGCTTAAAAATATTTTTTTTAAAACCCTAAAATTTGTAGATTAGTGATATGATTTTGAAAATACATAAATTCATATTTTGCTCACGAAAAAAATCTATTTCATAAGTGAATGCTTTAATTTTCTCTGTAAAAATTATTTTGTAAATTTGTGTTTTTATGAAATGATTTATTTTTCCAGACAGATATTGCTTACTTCAGTTTTCCATTTCATTTTGAGCTTGTTTATAAGAAAAACCCATTAGCATCAAAAGAAGGAAGTTAGTATTTTCATTCCACTTCTTTGCTCTGTAATACTTAGTTAATGTGCTATGTGGGTTTTTAAAAATAGTTATTTTGTTCATTACAAGAAAATACAAGGGTCAAGAGAAAGCTGTTTATTTGTTAAAGATCTTTGCATGAGCAATTAGAAAAGATACAAGAAAAATTATAATGATTAATAATACTGCATGCATTTTATTATTTAGTTGAGTTGCCTCAGTTTCCAAGGCTGATGGTAGAGGTTGGAGCTTTTGATTCCTGGTCTAGGCATTACAATGAAGGATACAGCTACATACAACTGCCACCTAAACCTGGTAATGGAAAATCTTTAATTAATGACCTATTTCAGCAATGGATCTATTTTATTACCAATGTTTGCAGATCTATATGCATTTATTCTTCATATAGCTTCCAAGTATCTTAAATAATTTTCATATATATTTTGAAGTATATATGTGTAACATTGTCTTTTTTACAATTATTATATACCTACATATTTAAGGCAGCTGTTTCTGAATTATCTTTTCTGTGTAAATTTTTATTTATACATTCAAATACAAATGTTCTTAGCTGTAATGGAGCATACACAATTCTTCTTAAAAGGTATTTATACTTTTTTTTCTTACTGTTGTAGGTATTCATGTAGAGAAAGCCCATTGTTGGAGGCCTGTGGGGAACTCAGTTATTAATAATCTAAGAAGATATTTCATTGGTGGGACCCCTGAAATAGAAGATCCAACATATGCTGCAATCCCTTCAACATTTGATGTGAGTTGCCATGAATCATATCTTTTAACCGGTGAACGTAAGCACCTCCTGACTTGAAACAATTTGTTTAAACAACAATAAAATATCCTTTTTTGTTTATGCAGATCATCTATTAAAAAACATTTTTTTTTTTAAATTAGTGTTTGCACATTTCGTAGTCATAATGTATAAAACGTCATATTTTATTTGTATCTTATGTTTTAGGGAACATATCTAAGTAAGTTTGGATTTAGAACACAATCTACTGGATCTGTGACTGTACGCTGCAATGTGTTGATGCAGTCAAGGTAATTTTCCCATACAATAGTGATCCCTTGTTTAAATACACTGCCTGAAAGTCTAATACTATAGGTATTTTGATGATGCTTTTTTGTTTATCAACATATTTTTTTTTTAAATTTGAAACTGCAGCTCAAGTATTATAAAAATTATTTGAATTTTTTCAGAGCATTTATGGAGACAAAAACAAATAAGCGCTCACTTGGATCTTTTCTAGAGTCCTTAGGGTAAGTCTCAACTTTTCGTCACATATTATGTAACAGTAAAAGTATTACTAATATTTTGCTAATTGGCAAGCAGTAGACAAGGTTACTCCATTATTTCTATTTCAATCATGCTTTGAGAATATGTAAGAATCTATTAAAATATTTTTTATATTTTCAGAATAACAGCCATGCAGGCTAATATTACTAGTGTCTTGGGTAAGTTTATGTATTAAAATGTAAAAAGAATGTATTGTAACAAAACAAAAATAAATATTCAATATGCCAGGTCACCTCTGATTAGTGTTGCCTCATTGGACAGTACTTGAGGCATTAGCATATAACTCTAGCACGTCTACCTTTCCTGTGTCTAAATTATCAAAATATTTTTACAGAGGCCTTCAAGAGAGCAAGGATGAAGATGGTCCAAGCTAGGGAAGCTGCTACTCAAGAACTTTTGCGAGAAGTTCGACCAATAGCCAAAGGAGAACTTGATTAATTAAACTGCATTTTTTTTCAGTCATTAAATTTTCAGGCCTTTAATTTATGCTTGAGGTTGAAGTTCCTCAGAGATGTAGTCACTACTTTCTTAATTCATTGTAAAAAAAAAAAAAAATAGGCCTAGTTATCTAATTAAAATTTATTATTTCACTTGTAAGCTGTGATAATTTTGTGTAAATAGTGTTAATATTTTATGTAATACTGTAATGGAAGTTCAAATCATATTGATAGATGTTTTTCATGTTAATACTTAATGTTAATTCTGATAAATTTTAAAATCTGTAATGTATATTTTTTATAAATAAAGAAAATGAGGTTTTTTTTTAAATTTACATTTTAAGATGATTTGTTACACATTCTGTTCATTAGATTGGTTGTTTATGTTAAATGCCACATTTATGTCAAATACATTTTTTATTGTATAGACGAAATGGCATACAATATAACTAAAGAAGAAACAGATAAATATTAACTTCAAGACCAAAGTAGTTGTCATTTCATTTTTATGGAATCTTAAAAGGATGGTCAAGTTATGATTCAGATTTACAAGAACCATAGTTCTGAGAAGATGGTAAATACAGAACCATCAACTTGTTAATCACCTACAAATACTACAATAAGGCTAGAGGCATTAATGTAATGAGTAATGTAAGTCTGGGATTAAGTCCCTTTAGTTTTAAATGACATAGAGTAGACTTGTTAAATATTGACACATCAAAGATGTCAGCTGTACCTTACTTATTGCAAGCAAGAAACTTTCTAAAATTGGTACCAATGTTAAAAATATTTAACCTCTCAAATTTATTTATACAAGCAAACAAAAAAGATTCCAAAATGTAATGTATTGGCTCTTGTGCAATTAAAAAAAGGTTTATTTTTCAAATACATTACATTAAAAATGTTTGAAACTTAAAAGCTGCCTTATTTTAACACTGCAAATTAAAACTTGAATGTTGTAAACATACAATCAAATCTTTGACATATAAAGAGATGATTATGAATAGGCAAAGTGTTGATAACATTTCATCTAAGGACACAATTCAGAAGTAATATTATAAGTTGAGTAGGCAATATGAAAATCATACAAGGAATCTATATAGTTTTGTGTATGTAATAAAAAAACATCATTTATTTTGATTTAAAACATAAAAGTTCAAAAGCTTTTACATTATATTATATCTAAAATACTATTTTTAAGTACAAAAAGACTTGTGTTCAAAACATGATTGTGAAATATAGCTCTAGTAAAAATACAACCTAAAGTTAAAATATATTTTATAATGAAGAATTTTATTAAATTAATTATCTTAATGAGACAAATATCCTAGAAAAGTTGTGCAGGCTATATAATAGTTAATAATTAATTACATATCACAATTTTTAAATATCTTAAAATGCTTTTCAACATATAAACTAAACTGATTACTTCTTTTTAACAGCTTTTTCCTTTTCCTTGAAGGTTTTATAATCGGCTGAGGTGTTCCTTGGCCTAGTTGTTATAAAACTTTCAGCAGTTTTGGTTGACTGAATGAACCTGTCTGGATTTCTTGACCCTGCATTTGAATAAGTATTGTCTGGAATTTGCCTGTCTCTATTTTGGCTGTTAGAAGAGATTAATGAGTAGCTGTTTCCATCACGCCGATCAGTCTGTGGTGGATAGTCACTACTTAAATTTTTATTCTGCCTATCTGAACTAGCACCCCTTACTAAGCGCTCTCCTGAGGCGGACCTAGAACCTTGAAGAAATCTTGATGTGTTTTGGCTGGAATCTCCTCGGCTAAGGGTAATGTTTGAGTGAGGTTCACCACCACCACTGAAAGTTGCATGAGGGTGGTGTTGTGAGCACATAGAGCGGAGAGTTTGTATAATAGCTAATGGTGGGACATTTAGCTTTAGCAAATCCAGGATGATCCTGAAAAATATATCAAACTTTATGGTCTGTAATAGACAATGATTTACTAAAACTTACAAATTATGGGTGAATGAAGAGTGATTTGCATTGTATAGTTAGAATGTTTCTTACTTAAATACTTGAGGGTCCATAATAATTCCAGCATAATATGTCAACTCATACAATTCATTTTCATCAGGACGTAGAACTGCTTTGCTTATTAGCTGAGCATGCAACACTTCTGTTTGATGACTGGACATGGTAAAGCTGAAATGTATTTAATAAAATTAATAATGGCCAATGCAAAAAAACAAACTTAGGACTAAAACAAAATTGATTTAATTACTAATTACTTGATTCTAGTTACTAGATCTAGAATTCTAGATCTACTAATAGACTACTATTTATTTATAATATTTAGGCCCCTAGTATTTAGCCTATTTAGTATTTAGGACAGGGCTGTAGTTGTAGTGTCACCCCTGGCGCAAATATTTTATTAGTTACTTAAAAATCTGCAGTATAGATCAGATCTGCAGATCTAGAAGTAAGATCTAGGACGATTTCTATGTCTAGATCTAGTACCAGTAGACTGTAAATAATAAAGTAAAAAGTGTTAGAGTGTGTAAGATTGAGTAAGAGAAGAGAGTCAGCGTAGTTGAGTGTAGTGTAGTCATGTGTAATGTATGTTATGGATGTGGGGAAATTGCGAGACGCAAAAAGCGAAATGGCGAGGCGGGAAAATGCGAGAAGATCATGCGAGACATACCTGCGGAATCAAGGGTAAATAGCGAGACACTTTTTGCGAAAAAAAGATTTTTTTCATGCTTATTTCATCTTTATTTATTTAAATTATTTTTTTTTTGTTTTAAAATAAACTAGCATGTAGCCATACCCTTTAACACGAGTGTTGTATGTTGTTATTTTTTATCTAGATTTTATTATATATATATAGATAGATACTAAGAAGATAGATAGATCTTTATCTAGATCTAGATCTATTTAAAAATCCTAACATCGTTGCTGTGCTACTGTCATCGCCCGCTCTCGTTAGCGAGAGGAAAATCCCGTTTCAGTCTGCATTAATTTTAAAAATCTAGCCCGCTCATGTTTATACAAACGTGAGCTGTGTCATTGTGAATTGGTATTTGTCAGCATGAGAGATATTCTGCAACATTTATTCATGGATTGTTGTACTTGCAAAAAGTGTAAAAGTATAAACAATTCTTAAAAGTGTAATTTATTTTTTATTAAGTAATTTTAATTACAAACAAAATTTACAAACAAAATCTTCTGAAACAGTCCTAGCATTAATCAAACACACCTCGTCACACCATCTTTCACTCATAGTACATCCAACCCAGTTCATTATACTCTTATTTATACTGTGCTAACACAGAACACGAATATGAACATTAAGGAAACAAATGTGCGTCTGTAGATAATCTGAATAAAGTCCGCTATGGACAAAACTACCATTTAATAGCTAAAAGGGGTCATACATAAATGACGATTTTTACCCCCTTCCCCCTCCCCTCCGTCACACATTTTCACAAAAATCCAGACGTCACACCTCAGTCTACAACACCCCTCAAAATTGCAGTTGAATTTTTTTTAAAACATCGATATTTTCCCAAAATCTTGTCTAATTTCTGTCAAAATAGAGTATTTTAATCAATTCCTATTACAATTTATGAAAACAGTTTTCTAAAACGCGAAAAACGTCTAAAATTCTTTTTCTAACATTGCTTTTTTATAGTGTGACGTCACACATTTCTATGCAACAATACAAAATATGTTTGCGGCGTCACGGCGATCTTCAAAGACGGTAAATCAGGCGGCATCGGCGTTCCACACAAAAGAAAGAAGTTGATCTATCGTCGGCGGTATTTCCGTCGGTTTCGAATAAGGTGGTATTCTAAGTCGACACAAAAGATGGGGGGGGGGGGGGGGAGTTGACAAATCATCAGTATGTCTAGCGACGGAAAAATCGGAAGTTTTAACAATGTAAACAGCACTAGAGAGGCTAAAAAATACCTGCAGCAGAATTGTGCTGCAGTGGATCCCGGGCCACTGCCAGATCCAGGGTAACGAGATCGCAGACCAGCTGGCAAAAATTGGGGGAAAGAAACCACAACCGGAAATTTCGCTACACCCAAAAGAAATAAAAAGAATAATTAAAAACAAACAAATGCAAATGTGGTCTGTCACACACCCTCACTACATTAAAGACGACGGCTATTACAATTTAACACGAAAACAACAATACATAATCTTTCGACTTAGAACAGGCCACAACAGACTAAATCAACACATGCACAAAAAACTGAAGGTTGGGTGTAGCGAAATGTGCCCTTGTGGCAAGGCCCCGGAAAACACGGAGCACGTACTCCAGGAATGTACTCTGTATAGCCAGGCAAGAGGCAGACACTGGCCCCAGCCCACCCCACTCAGGGAAAAATTATATGGGACACCTGACAAACTGGAAACCACAGTCCGGTTTGTCCACGAAGTTGGACTTGTTGTCTGAATCCTCCACCATATTCAAAAATTAAGAACGAAGAAGAAGAACAATGTAAACGAAACGTCTTTGAAGTCTGGACCAAATACCACTGAAAATCGGGTGCGGTAAATTTTTCGCAGAAATTTCGCATTTCAACACCACCCATCGTAAGTATCGGGTTGTGGTAAAATGCGAGACAAAAAAGTCACGTGACCGACCGTTTTCGAGCCCTTCTCGCATTTTCCCGCCTCGCCATTTCGCTTTTCGTGTCTCGCAATTTCCCCACACCCGTATGTTATTGTGCACTGTGTGTGTGTGTAGTGATAAGTCATAGTGTTACTTTTAATACTTTACTATTAATTATAATAAATTATACATTATTATCAGGTATTATATAGAGAGGCCTACTTGATACATATAGATCTACTACAAGTATAGTAGTATTAGTAGATCTAGCTAGAGTCAAGATGTAGATCTAGATCTAGATTCTAGATCAGATCTACTTAATTTTAACAGTTCGGTGGTTCGTTGGAGGGAAACAAAACAATCTGGTTAGTCTAATGGACTAATGGCCGGTTACTCGGTTAGTCTACTAAACTAAATGAGAGAAAAATGGTTGAGCGCTACTAAAGCGTGCACTACAAAGAACAAATACAAATAGATCTATATTAATATAAGCAAACAAACAGATCTAGATCTTCAAACTGAATAATTGCAGTCTTTTACATTTTAAAAATATTGTTTATGTAAATTATTATGAAGGCTGGTGAATAAATAAAATATTGCTCCGGATTTTCTGTAATTTTCAGTGGATAGCGATTTCCTTATCAAGAGAAACTACTCAATTAATATTTTCGATAAGTCATACTAGTTGATTATTTTCCCTTGCGGAATATTGGGTAGTCCGCTCTTAGTTTCTCATTTTTGCCCTTTATTTGTAAGTCTGATGGATTGATACAAGCCGAACTAACAACAGCGCTGGCTGGTTAGAAAACAATATGCAGCGGGCAGCTTTTTTAGTTGTTATTATAAGAGGCTTTATTTATCTCTATTTTCTATATTTATTTATTTTTTTTAAATAAACTGTTATTTTCTTCTTCTTTTTTTCTTTTTATTTGATTCAAGCTTTTAAAAGTTTAAGTAGTAAGCCTACTTTGGACTTCGGTTTAGTTAGGCTTAGACTGCGAATTATATATGATCAGACTAATTCATTCATAAAGCAAATATTTAAACAAGTTTACGTATGCCTCTTTCAGCCTAGGCTTAGACAGATAATTATGGTCCGACGAATTCATTTATAAAGCAAACATGTAAACACATGCTAATCTTAAAGGATTAACATTTGCTTGTTAGCTGATTCACATAATGTACTAATGGATATAAGCTATAATTTGCACCAACGCTAAGCAGCTCGCTAGCTGATCGCCTAGTCAGCCAGGCGCCACGGTAACCAAACCGAAGTAACAACTGCGCTGGTTCGAAAACCGAGTACGCAAGCGGGCAGTTTTTTTGTGTGTTTTTGTTGTAGCTGTTTTTCTTTTGTCTAACATTGCTTTTCATTTTCTTATACTTATAATATTAAAAAATGTAACTTCTTGAAATTAACGTACTTCGGACCATAACACTATATTTTTTTTTTTTTTTTTGGATTTGTAGTTTATGTGCATGTACAAAATATAGTAAAACACTAAAGGGAATTCATGAGAGGATAAAAATAACGGTTTGTCAATGTCAAATTAACCATATATATATATATATATATATATATATATATATATATATATATATATATATATATATAGGCTTTATATATATATATATATATATATATATATATATATATATATATATATATATATATATATATATATATATATATATATATATATATATATATATAATATTTATCCTCAATAAAGTGAGGGTGGGGGGGCTAGAGACCGGAGTACACCATCAAAACAACCCGTTTAAATCGTCCCCTGACAAAACGACCAAAACAATTTAACCCCAACAAGAGTTCCTGACCTAAGGCTCACGACTCCTAGATTCCCTAAAAATTGACTCACTAACTCATGACACATAGGTTCACGTCATATGTGCTCGAGATTCGTGAATCAACATGAACAACAGCACTGGTTCGAAACCCGAATATGCGAGTGGGCAGTTGTTTTGATTTCTCTCTTTCTTTATCTTTCTGTTGTTTTTTTTTGTTTGTTTTTTTTTTTTTTTTTGTTTTTTAAGCTCCACTTTTTAAAAGTTCACGTAGGCCTCTTTCAGACTAGCCTTAGACATCGAAGTATGGTCAGACGAAATTATTCATAAAGAAAACTTGTAAACACATGCTAATCCTAAAAGATTTACAATTTGCTTATTAGCTGATTCACATACTGTACTATAGAATATGAACTATAATTTGCCCAAACACTCAGCAGCTCGCTAGCTGATCGCCTAGTCAACCAGGCGCCACGGTAACCAAACCGAAGTAACAACTGCGCTGGTTCGAAAACCGAGTACGCAAGCGGGCAGTTTTTTTGTGTGAGTTTTTGTTGTAGTTCTTTTTTGTCAACCATTGCTTTTTAATATTTTCATACTTAGTTATTTACTTATGATTTCAAAATAAATTACCTTTTTGAAATTAACGTACTTCGGACCATAACACTAGTTGTTGTTTTTTTTATTTTATTTGCCTTTTTAGTGCATGTTGTACAAAATGAAGTAAAACAGTTAATCAAATTCTCGAGGGAATAAGAATACCGGGTTTCTCAAATTAACCATAACAATTTTTCAGAATATATATACATATATATATATATATATATATATATATATATATATATCCAGAGCCGGCGTTAGGAATACGCGGGGCCTAGGGCCAACCATCCGAGCGGGGCCTTTCCATTATATATATATATATATATATATATATATATATATATATATATATATATATATATAATATATATCCTCAATAAGAGGGGGGGGTGTATTGACCGGAGTACACCATCAAAACGAGACGTTCACGGTTTTAAACACGTTTTACTGATCCAAAGGGATCGTCCATAAATGATGTCACATTGTGTGTGCAATCTTTTGTGACGTGAACATATTAGAATATGATGTTAATCATACTGTTAAAAATGTTTTAATAAAGTTGAACTTTTACCAATCGACACAGCGTGGGCATTATTATTTTCTTCAAAAAGTTTTTACTAGCAACATCGTATTTATTCGGTTACATCCCTTTATTAAAGGGAAACAATTGAGATAATCTTAGAAATAAAATCTTTGCTATTTTGAGACGACATAGACTGAAGTGATTGTTATATTTGGTCTAGATAAAAATCGACACAAAAAAATGAGGTACAGTTATTGTTTATAAAAAAAAGTCAATTTCCAAATCTTTTTCTACATAATTATGTTTATGTTTAATTTTTTTTTAAAAACCCACCTAGTCATGATTTGTGTTAAAAATCTGCATGGACAGTCATGAGTAAAGCTGTCACTTGCTGATGATAAATACCAGGTACTTCATTGACTTAACAAGAGTTATCTGCCTTTAATCTAAATAGATTATGTAGACAACATGTTTTTTGTTCTCTATAATACTTTGGTGTTTTATTCACTGAAAAAAGGTAGACGTACCAATTTGTAATTTTTTAATGGTTTTATTTTTTATTTTCAATGGTAATTTACAATTTAAAACACAATTTATATATATATATATATATATATATATATATATATATATATATATATATATATATATATATATATAACCAAACAAGACAAAGTTAACCATATAAAATAATATAAATTATAACATGATGTCCACAACAGCCATCTAGAGGTGTCATCAAAAGATACCATCAAATAAGTTCCAGGCAGCCTTTGGGTCTTCTGCAAGTACTCTACATTGGTGAAAAAATAAATTAAACAGCCTTGATGCTTGGTCTGTTAAATGAAATGATCTTACCTACATTAATGAAACATGGAAATTAATGGAGTCAATTACAGTCTTAAAATTTTAATAGTTGTAGAAAACTGCCTATCAATAATACAAAAATCACACTAAAAAAATTCATTTAAACAACAAGAACTTAAAATGTAAATAGCAAAGGATACATTAACTTACTTAGATGCCGGCACAAAATTGTTATTAAATCTTGAGCTTGTACGTTCCAAAAGTTGCTAGGAAAAGAAGAAAAAAACATTTAATGTAAATTTCAGTTGAGAAAAGTTATAAATGAGAGAACGATAAAGTTCATAATTTTTTACATATAGAATTAAGTTTAATTCCCTATTTAAACCTTACAGTCCATGGGGCAAGTGTTTCTATGACCTAGGCATATGAAAGGATAGTGTGGTCAGCATTATGCACAGCCAACTTTACTTTCCCTAATGTGAGTTAGTAACCCATCATAGCTCGACGGACTCAGGGACGTTCTACTGACTTGAAACCGGATTTGAACTCCAGGCTTTTGGATTAGCAGTCTAGCGCTCTTCTGCTAGGCTTTAATTTGCATTAATAGAACTTGTCATGCACCCTTTTCATGGACTTTTCAAAGTAAATTTATAGGTTAAGTATAATTTTGTTGAGAGAATCCATAGTAAATTTACATATCACGGAACTCAAGTTATAAACGACAACGTTTAATGCTACATAGCTGTAACTGTGGTGCAATAAGGGTCATTATAATTCACTTATAACACAGGTACAGTGTTGTGGCAGCTATAACTTGGCACTTTGATGTAGACAACCTACACTACAACAATATTGCAATAGAATCACAATTGTATTGCTTGACTGTTGAAAGACTTACTTTAACTATAACTTTTAATACATACTGTTTTAGTCTTTAATGCATTTTTGGTCCAAGCTTTGACATGGCCATAACGATGAGAGGATGGAACGTCATTTTCATCGCCTTTTGACTCTGAGAATTTCTTATTGTTAGCATCCTTGGGTACAGGAATTCTATCACTTATATCAGCTGGGGAAGAAAGGCAACTTGCTTGCTGAGAGACATCACACATCCTTGAGAGCGAGTTCTGGTCTGATACATTTCTAGTCATAGATGGATGAAGGATATACGAGGAAGATATAATGGGTGATAGATTATCATCCTTTAATGAAGCTGAAATTGATGATACTTGCTGTGGTTGGTGTTTGTCGACTGGTTCAAAGGTATAAGAGTTTAACTGCTGGTCGATATGTTCATGGTTGAACTTGGAAGATATAGTGTTTGGTGCAAACATGTTCATCTGTTTACATCTCTGTGTAAATGACTTGTCTATTTCAAGGTTTGACTGCTGATAGTTTGAAACACTATCAGAACTATATCTTGTATTGTCAGGATGTGCGCTACTGTCTAGTCTTGTTGGAGTTTTGACATAAGGTAAGTTCAATTTAAATTGTACTCTTTCGGCTGGATCAATATTTTTAGTATCAGATACGAGACATCTGTTGGGCATTGACTCTTGTGACTGGTGACCAACAGTATAAGGTGACACTGAAGCTTCCACAATTTTACACAAGTCTTCATCGCTGAAATAACAAGAGTATTTCTAAAAACTGAAACCTCTAAGAAATATTGAAATATGAGTAGATCTAAAAACTGAAACCTATAAAAATTACTGAAATAATAAATCAATAATAAAATTGATCCCAGTACTATTGATCAAACAACATTACATTAGCAGCTGTTATAAATTTATAAAATTGTTCAACAGACAAACAATCCATACAGTTATTGGCTCAAATTATCAATTACAAATGTGTATTTAGTCGGGAAACAAACTTATGTGTAAATTATATCCAATGAAATGTGAATCCAGCTATTCAACAAAGTAATGTTTACCTAGAAGTTGTACCAGGCCAACCAGAATCTAAGCATTCTGTGGGGGAAACTGTGTACATAATAGAAGATTCAGGTAACTCTTGATCAAACCATTGTTCAGAGTTGTCTTGCCCTGTTGATTGACTGAGTTCAAGACTGTCACATGTTTCATTCTGGAGATGCAAAGGTCTGCCTGTGGAGTAGTCAAAATAATTTCAGTTACTAAATACTAGTAAAGTAAATGGAACAGCATGGTTATACAGTGAAGAGCATGACTGATAACCCAAAAATGTTAAGATTGATTCTATAGGACATCCCTGATCCACCCAGCTCTAGGAAAGTAAAGCCTGCTGGTCATAGTGCTGACCAAACAATCCCTTCATATGCATAGGTAAAAAACAGATGAACTCTACTTCATTAGCCCTATTAGCTGTAAAGGAACATAAACTAATAGTAATAGTAAAGTAAAAATAATTTAAATACTCTAACAGAATAAGTGGCAAATTAAAACTAAAAGTTTATGGCTAAAAAACATCAGAGTTCAAATAAGCTTTTTGTGTTTGAGAGTAAGTAATACAGATGCAGCAGAGTTCACCCATTTTTAAGGCCTTGTAAACTGTTGTAATAATGATAAGTCTTGTACTATACAAACATAAAAGTGGACACTTTGCTACACTAAATAACATTATGCTACTGAAGATTTTCTTGACTTTGATAAAGTTAAAACACATCAAACTTGGTCTATTAAGTCTCACCATTTTTGTAAAGATCTTGCCTGCTCTGCTGAAATACATCTAAATCAGCCCAGGGATTAAGGCTGATATCTAAATTGTTTGCATTTTTCATTTGGTTTAAATGGTTTTGGTCTTGCTTTTGCTTGCTTGCTAAAAGTAAAATTTGTTAGACACATTATTTCCTACAAAATATTGGGTAGTACAATCAAAGGAATGAAATAATAAATATTTTGCTAACATTTATTATCGCAAATTTAATAATTAAAATCAATAATTTTAATTTTTACTATTACAGATCAAACACTCATCACCCATGTGATGTTATGTAAAAAATTGAATGCTTGACTGCAGAATACTTTTATAAATTAATTGTATACCAGCTTTGTATATTAATATTGACTTATATAAATTAATGTTTAATTTACAGATGACCAATGTAAATTAATGTTTTATTACAGACTACTCTGTAAATTAATAACCCCAATAAAACAAGCAAAAATAAAAATGAGTTGAGTTACATGTCATTGATGGCCGAGGAAGGTTCTCTTCTGTTGTATGTTGTGGTTCAATGTTCTCATTGACTAAGGCCTCATCAAAACTGTCATCAGCTTGATTGTCTGTGTCTTTATTTAATGTGGTCCCTGTGACAACAATGTCAGGCAAATCGTCATCACTTAGTGCTAGATCATCATCTGACCAGGTCAAGTCCTCAGTGTTTATATCATTCTGGACTAAATTATCTCCCTTACTAAATGCAGCAGCATCGAAAGAATGTTGGTTTTTAAGATGGCTGATCTCTTTTTCTCTTGCCCAAATTGAGTTTGAGCAACTGTTTTGATTTTTCTCATGTTCTGCTAATGGCGTGAGTCTGGGGTTTCTTGGAATGCTTATGCGCGACTGCAATAAAAAAAATGTAGCATCTAAAAATATCCTTCTAGTGATCTAGCTACATGAAGTACTATATAAAGTTAGTTTTTAAAGTAAAAAGTTTAGCAAAATACATCTATAGAAAAGTTTAAGCTACATGATAGAGACTTTAAAATAATATAACAATTTTGGCCATGTTATAATCATGTGTTCATTGTTTATTTTATGGTAAATAAAATCTATGTTAATTAATTTCAAGATTTACACCTGCTAAACCTCAAATGACAAGGAAATATTTGAGAGAGATAGAACTAAATTATATTTCTCTTTTATCAAACATGGCTAAAAAAATTGAATGAATGTAAAATATATTTTTCTATTCACACCAGGCTCGAGTCCATAGGATATCCCTGAGTCTACTCAACTCAGATGGGTATCTGACACATAACAGGAAAAGTCAAAGCGGCTCAGCATAGAACTGACAGCACTTTCCTTTCATACACCAAGGTTATGGATACTTGTGAACTCTACATCACCTGCCCTATTGACTGCCAAGTCCAAAAAGGTATCTGTTACTTTTTATTCTACATAATTTAGAAGTCTATACCTCTATACCAGTAGTAGAAGCTAACAATTCAACACCAGATATGCCAATAAAATGGATGTGTAGTAAAAAACTCTGGACAACTTACATTTGTAGTCACATATCCCCCAGTTTTCATATTACGTAGCTCACTCAGGAACTTGCTCTCACGGTTTTCAGCCTTCTGTATTTTCGGGGTGGACACTTTGGATGGCATTGGATTAGGTCGTTTAGCCGGGTTAGTTTTGCAACACTTGTGGCCACAACGAGATTTATCCAAACACTTGTGTTGACATTTAGCCAATGTCTGGGGATTGGCTTATAAAAACAGTTATATGATTGTTAGAAGCAGCTTAGAGTAGGCCTATACCATAGTAATAAAAAATTAAGTATATAACAACGATGAACACAGTATCTCCTGTATGTTAAAGATCAATTAAACAAATGAACTCTACTTCATCTGCCCATGTGTCTTGGGCATGAATGGGAAAAGATGATGATATAATAACCTTGAAGGACAGTAAGATATGTATGGTAATGGTAGATTCAAATTTAATACCAATGCGATTTTAGTGCTACTGGCACCCAAAAATTAATCAGTAATGTTAGTAAGCAAAAGTTAATTAGTACAAATGTATGTTTTGAAGGTGATTTTTAAAAAACTATGGTAATAGACTCATGTGATTTTTTAAATATGAATAAAGATATTTTAATTGTAAAAATCAATGTAATAAAAATGCTCACATCCTGCTTTGGCTTTTTCCATAAGAGCAGATAGTTTCGAAGCTGGGGTTGATGAAGGCTACATTGATAAACAGTTTTAAGAGTTATTCAAAAGTATTTAACTATGATGTTGATTATTGATTATTTCAGTATAGGTGAGTTGATTTTTCGAATTTTAAATATTATTTTGAAAAACTACAAATATTTTTAAAATCTGACTGATGTTTTTATCTACACCTATAAAAATATGTGTAATCTCTCTGCAGAATTTTTCATGTATCATGGGTAGAACATCAGGGTTATTGATAACAGATTAAAGGGATCAATGGGTGGTACTTTTAAACAAGATTTCACCTTTTTGTCTGTGACATTGTTTATCTTGCTAAACCATCCTTCAGTGTAGACAGGTTCATAATCTGTTTGAATGTCTAGACCCACTGCAAAATAAAATGCTAATTTGTTATTTCTTTTCTTTTTAGATTTAATTATGTCAGTAAAAAGAATCCAAGTTTTAGGCTATAAGAAAACACTTGGTTTATTTCAGTACGAAAATTCAACGTGTTAGTTTGGTAACTAACTTCTAACTGCCATTAGTCCAAAAGTTTCCAAAAATTAAATCCTATTTACTAAGTCTGATTATCTTAGGAATTCAATCTGCTTATAAAATTTTTATTTGATTGTGATATGTTGATTTGATGTAATTATTGACAATAATTAGTAAGAGAACTTACCCCAATCAAGACTTAGCAAACTAATGTTAAGTTTTGATCCATTTGTTGACCTTTTTATTTCAATGGTACGCCTGATAGCTTCCCCTTTCAAAATTGTAGAATCTCTGTAGATTATCAAACAAAACAAAAAACCCAACAAATTCGAGTCTAAAATTCAAAATGTTACCATAAATATGATGTTAACAATAGATTAAAATTGCCTCTTACACAATCCGCCACTGAAAAATCAGATTGTTTCCTGCGTCTCCAATGATTAGCAAAGACTGGTGACTGTTAACATTAGCTTTCTCTTCAAGTGTTGAGCGGTTGGACAGGTCAACGGTTAACTGCAACACAGCCCTGTCTGGCTTATAACCTGTCAGCTGATTAAAAAATTATACTCTCTGTTTTTTACTCTACATCCAGGTTTATTTCTTTTTATTTGTGTTAATGGTCAGCATACACAAAAGTATTTATAGAGAGCAGCCAGAGATTTAATAGTTGGGTTTGACTTTTTAAAAATTATAACAATAAAAATTGTTTCCAGATTTGATTTTAAGCTAAATGGTTCTACTTAATATATATATAAAATGGGTAATTATATACCCAGATAACTAAATATTAGATATTTGTAGGCAATATGTTAATCTTTTTCAATTGTGATAATTATCAACCACAAGTTACTCAGTCTAAAGTTGAAATGAGTATAAATTTTTTTTTCAAAGTATAAGAATTTATCAAAGGAATATTTCAAAGTATAACAATTTATCAAAGGAAGATTTCAAAGTATAACAATTTATGAAAGGAATATTTCAAAGTATAACAATTTATGAAAGGAATATAGTTAACAGCATCAAGAGTATACCTGTTCGACTGAGAGTTCATACCGTGGCAATAGAGCAACAGCTTCCTTTATTTGGTTACCAAATGGGGGATGCCTGTTGACAATCTGATCAAAATTTGAAAAACAAATTAATCTTTGAAAAAAAATATTTTTACTAAGTTAAATTCTTTTTGATATATTCAGTTTTCTGTGGCTAAATAGAACAATACAGCAAGATATTGTAAGTTAATCTGTTAGCCTGAAGCCAAAGATATGAAGATCAGAATTGTCTTCAGGTTGAAATGAGCATTGAACAACACTCACTAATAGGCTATACGATTTCTTATGAAATTACATTTTTGACATATCCAGGATTAATACAAAATAATGAGCACTCTTTAAAACCATTAAATAAATGAATCAAACAACTATGCAGTAAACAATTCCACAGTAAGCAAGTCAGTGAATAACATAAAACATACTAAATATTGTCTACTACTATAACTGTTATGATAAACTACCATTTCAATGTCTCTAGCATTAGCTTGCTCTATCTTCTGAAATGATGACAGCCCAGAATTGGCTAGTGCCAATGACATCGTCGGACCTAAAAAATATTCATAAATAAACATCTCAGACTTGCTTTATGATTGCTAAGAGGTACATAAATAAAGCATAATTCAAATAAATTTTGGTTGTAACTCTTTGCTTCCTTTAGCAAACAAAGGATGTAAAATTAACTAGTCAACAAAATGTAAATATAATTTTTTCTCACTATATAAGAATGTATTTCTATATATAAAACTATTCCAAAAAAATTAGATACCTATCCCATCTAATTGTCTTGCAACATATCTGGAATCGAACCATATTTTTGCCTTGACTGATTTGTATATTAGTACTGCATGCAACAGGCCGAGGTAATTTGTTTCCAGTAGCATGAATTCCATAAAACCTATACACAAGAAAAAGTTTACAACATTTTGCTTAGTTGTAAGTAATGTATCAATTGCATAATGTATCACTTATAATGTATTTTGGGTTTTCTTTCTTGCTTGTCATAAATATGGAATTATTTCCCCTGAATTGAGCCCCTAAATGTTTTCTTCTTATAAATACATTTTTTTTTAAAAATTAGGCTATAAACTGCAGATAGTAAAAATTATAATCTTGTTAATGAAAAAAGTAGGCTCTAACTTTCAATTTAACAATATTTAGTAAAAGCATTAAAATTTCTTACATTTAGTTACTCGCTGGCCAACTCGAAAAATTTTGGCCAAATCCTGTGACAATGAGAAATCTTGTATAGGTAGACAGCTCAGTTGTGCTTGGATCAAGCTAAAGCAATAAAAAAATTCAACTTAACAAGCAGTTTCTGTCAACAATGTAATGATGAGGTAATTCTTTGCATTAGGCATTTCATGGTTATGTACGATTTGGAAGCAGGAATTTGTAATCAAGTGTGAAGTAATAAAGGTTAGTCTCTGATTAATGAATAATTTAACAGAAAAGGTATTATGTCAAGTATGCACACCTGACCACTAGATATTCACAGACCTTGTAAAAATTGTAGTAGAATCGTACTGTCATATTTACTTTATACAGGTATTACTATTTGGTTAAGGATAAGTACAATATTGAGGCTCTAGATTGTTGTCAAGGATAGGATTAGGGCCAGGGTTAAGTTGGCATTACTAGAAGAAAAGAATAGTTTAAATACCCTAACAGCTTCATCACAAGTACCTACAAATTCCCTTAAAAGCCTACCAATTCACTTTCATCTGTTTAGTCTTGATTTTTCCTGACATAGGGAACCTAAAAAGATGCAGAGAACTCATGGTTAGATGCTTATTTAATTGTTCTGAGTTAGGAAAACCTAAACAGTTGAACTACTATATGTAAAAAATATTGACCTTGAAAATATTACACCACAACTAGTATTAGTCTATCTATAAAGGATTCAGGCAGAAGAATTGGCAAAAAATAAATCCCCACAAAGTCTAATTTCATTTTCTGGTAATAGTTACAAAATGTGAATACTTCATTTTTCACAGAGGGTTTCTATATTTACAAAATCTATGGTACTAAATTACTTTTGAGGTTATTGTAATTGCAATAAACACTAGGCAAAAAAAAAAAAAAAAAAACCTTATTGACTCTTTGTTCTTATCTCTGTTTAAAGTATTTAAAATCCGTTTCTCATTGGTTCTGAGCTGGATATCTTCAAACTCAGCACACTTGGAAATTTCTATCAGCTGTAAGAAATTTTTTTTGTTAAAAGTGTATATTCTGATAGGATTAACATTGTAAAATTGACGACTATTTCAAAATATACATACCTAATTTTGTAAAGAATTTGTAATCTTAATTAACTGTGCATGGACTGTGATTTAATGTCACCCACAAGAGACTGAAATAAACCTACCATGTCTGCAATGTTTCCTTGATTTTTGCCAATGTGATGGAAATGTTTCATTGTTTCATAGGCTATGCAGTATCTAGCCATTAATCTTCCAGTGGCTAAACAAGATAAAAACTTTTTAAGACTAAATATTTAAATTACTAAAACTTGTGAAAGTAATTAATTTTTGTTCCCCAAATGTAATGTAATTACAGGCCCATGATTTAGTTTCATTGTATTCTCACTTAACTTTAAGACCATGTAAATCTTAACTGCCCCATAATCTAACAAAAACACCAATACAGCATTAAAAATGTTTAAACATGTTTTGCAAAGTAAAATTTAGTTTGATGTTTACATAATTCATGTAACTTTAATAAAAATGTAATTGAATAATATATGTAACATAATTATTGTTTTAATTTAAAAAAAGAAGAAATACTTGTTGGGAGAATAGTGCGTGTTTCTGTATTAACAGATACCAGATTCAGTTCTGACAATTGCCTTAGATTCTTCAGGCAGAGATCTAATTTTAGAAATAGTAATTTTAAAATTGTTAACAGAAAGTTATTTCCCATGGGATTATAAAATTATCAGCTGTTTAAATGGATTAAATTTTAAAAAATAGTTATAGTATCAGCATACATATTTTTTTAAAACACACCAGGTGAGTGTAAAAAGTATGCAGAAATTAGAGATTGTTTAACTTTTGTAGGTAAATCCCTCATGAAAATATTTTAAAATTTTAAATAAAAATACTAGACCTTTCAGCTGTTTTTCAACATCATTCTGATCCAAATTAGCAGGAAAACCTATTAATACAAAATAGACAATCATTGTGAAAAAGAAAAATGTATTTAAATGATGTGCTAATAACATCAAATTTTTAATAAATGTAATTATTAGAAACAGAATAATACAATTACCATAGTATTTAGGATTTTTAAGTGCCCTGACATAAAGAAAAGTATGTTTGATCCACTCCAGCACAAGCCCTATTTCACTTATAGTTTGCAGCACAATCTCAGCATTCAGGTGTTCAATCAGGTGTTTGTGTAAGCTTATGTGAAAAAATATTCAAAGTTTTTAAAAACCTGTCAAAATACTCAATGTTCGAGCCTAGTATATTTTGTTCTGATAAATTGTTTTTATATAAGAAAAACAAACTGCAGAACTGATAATTACAAGAGTGGGATTAGTATTTTAGTGTTTTTTAGGTCTAAACTTTTCATTTTTTTTTTAAATGTTCACAAGAGGTCACTTTTTAATCAAGAAAATAAATTGTATGGAGACTTAAACAAGGAAACTGAATTTCTTTCAAGAGGAAAGTATTGGCTGGTTAAGAAACATTTGGAAGTGGTAGCATTCTTGGAACATTTGTTTGCTAACTAACTGATATATAACAGGATTCTGTTTTAACTAGTAGAATGGTGATGATAAAATGTACAAAATAATAACCTTTAAAAAAAATTTTTTTTACATTTTTATAGACATCTCCCAAGCAAAGTTTATGATAAATAAAATAAATGGATGAAGCAAAGTTTATAATGATACAAACATTTTTTAATCTGATTTAAGTTTGACAAATCAAGACAAAAATTTGGTGAACAAAACCAAAAAATGAAATAATGTATTGGTGTACCTGCTTTCAATCAACTGTGTGCCATTTAAAAGGGATTCATATCTAGACTGATTTTAAAAAATGAAGTGTATGGTCAGGTTATGTTTAAAGCACATTTTGGAAACCTATCAGGTTATAATTTTGTGTTAACCATTATTGGCTTTTTAAACTCATTAAATTACAATACTCTATAGGACAAACAAAAGGGAAGAGTGTATTTAAAAAAATAGGATTTAAAAGGCAGCAAGCGACTGTGGGTTAATTTTAAAAAGGCATTTCACATTACCTTGAAAGAAGTTTTAGTCATGATTACTGCAGTAGCAAAGGTATCAAACTGAAAAAATCACATTAATATTTGCTTCATGATTACATTACTGTACTGCTCCAATTTATAACAAAATAAGATTTGTTATAAATCGTGAAAATAGTTACTGCAATACCTGTGGTCTTCCAGCACGCCCAATCATTTGAAGAATTTGCATATCCGAATACTCCTGGACAACACCCATGTTGTAAAAGTGAGTGGATTTGATCACAACTAAATGAGCAGGCAGGTTTACACCCATTGCCAAAGTACTGGTGGAGACTAGGAAAGTAAAAACAGATTGCTTGTGTTTTGGTGTTATCAAGATACATTTTTAACAATTAAAATGGTGAAATGTATGGTTACTTACCAAGAACTGGTAGCTGTGAGGATTTAAACAGCTCTTCCACAATATGTCTGTCCCTGCTATCTAACCCTGCATGATGAATCCCAACTCCTTTCCTGAGTAATTCTGAAATATTAAACTTTTAAACTAAGTTAGTGTAAAAAAAATCAAAATCAAGTTGTATAATAAATTATTTGTCTATTTTATAAAACTAAATCTTGTTTAGTTTTAAAGTAGTATTATGGTAGCTTACAATATAAACAGAGAACTTAATGCTCAAAAACCTTTTAAGTGCATCAAACAATTAACCTTACTAAGGGAGCTGTAAGTTGGAAAAATAAATGTCTGAACCAGAGTGTGACAAGAACTACTAGAATACTCACCTGAAAGTTTGTGTTCACTAACTTGACCTGCAGCCTGCCTCAAAACTTCAGGAACAAAATGCATCATCAAGCTATTTGGTCTTATATCTCTGGCTAGAACTTCAGCAGACTGGATCACACTTTTACGTGAAGAGCAGAACTGGTGAGTATATAAGACAACAGCTCATCAAAAAATTATGGGAGAGAATGGTGGTAGGTGAAAGAATTAAAAACATCCAGCCTAACAGTGGGCTAAATTCTACTTTGTTTATATCTTTCAAATGGTGAAAGTAGAAGTAGCCAAGGAAAGGTGTGATTCCTTAAATGATGATGTCATTTGTTAATATGGCTCATCAGCTGTGAAATGTTACTGTAATTAATAATATAAAATATTATAACAATTTTTTTTCTAAAATATTCTTAGACTAGGAACTATTCTAAAATACCTTTTATACAACTTTGAAAACGGTAGATGTGAAGCAAATTGGTAGACAATAACATACAAAAACATACCACTAATGTTGGTTTTCCATGAGAATGTGTTTCAATTATAGCTCGTAATCTGTAAGACAGGTTCATGTCAAAGCGAAAATCTGATGTGCCTTCCTTAAATGGATATCCCAGAACTATTCTTTCAAGCTTTACTGGTCGATATTCTTCTCCTAAACTGAAACAGCATTGATAATAATGGAATCACTTTAAATTAAACTTTGGATCATGAGTAATTCCTAATTTAACTTGAAAACAAAAACACTGGTGTTAAATTTTTGAAAAAGATAAAATGAATACAAAACTTTACTTGAATGCTGAGGCTGAATTTTTAGTGGTGCCTAACCAATCTGCAATCTGCAAAGAGAAAATTAAAAATTTTGGCAAGTTTTTCTTCCATTTTGAGAAACTGATTCTCCATGTTTCCGATTAATACCCTTTGCTTCATTTCTTAAATTTAAAAAATCAGATTACAGTTTAAGTCTAAAACAAATTACATAATATTTGTATGAAAATCCGGTTGTCAGCAGATAATTAATGTTTTTATTATAATTTTAGGATGAAAAGAAATTATTGATACTTGTTCTCAAGTGTATACTGATATTTACAAGTCTACATTTACATTCTTTAAACAGTTCATCTAAGAAATAATCAATTCAAGTTAACTATCCAAAATCTAAAATCAGTCTCAATGAGCAGTGTGATAACTTGGACTGGTTCACCTATGACACATCTATTTAGTATGGTTACTCTTTAATCATAAAAAGATCCACCATTTATTATTTATACAAACAAAGGATCTTCTTTCTTCTTCTTCGTTCTTAATTTTTAGTGGACAAAGGATAAAAACCATTTTTTTTAATACTAGCAAAGGATAAATACCTACATCACCATAATTGGGCATTGTGGCTGAGACAGCAATGAACCTGATGTGCCTGGTCTCTGCAAGTTGCGTGTTCTGTAGCGTCTTCATTCTACTCACTACTGCTTCTACTGTTGCTCCTCTACATGAATCATTCACAGTGTGAATCTAAGAAACCACCATTAGCCAATTATGTCTTTATTTAAGTAAAAGTAATGGTCTAATTTATTTCAGCCTCTACATTTAATTATATATAACTATTATTATTAAATACATTTTTAAAAAATATTTGACATCAAAGAATAAGCTAATTTTATGGCTTAGAACAACAGAGCCGAAGCAGGCCTGAATTCTATTATGTACAATGAAGAGAAATAAAAATTTGTTATAAAATATTGAAACAATCTCTCTCCAGAATTTAAACTTTTATTTTATATCAACCAAATTTCTAATTAAAAAACCTTTTCACCTCATCAATTAAAAATAGCTTAATCTGTTGAAAAAGATCTCTATTGTCTTTCCATCTTCTTGACATGCTATCCCATTTTTCCTAAACAGATATTCATAAAAACTATATCCTGCTCCATAATATACATATATATATGTGTATGTATGTATATGTGTATATATATAAAAATGAGTATACTCAGACTCACACAAACATATATACATAGACATACATAAAAAAAATTATTTGAATTTGAGGTGGTGGGAACAAGATATATCTATAAGTTGCCAGAAGTTTTACATTTTGCGAATACTGACCGGTGTAGTGCAAATGATTTTAGCATTTACAAACTCTCCAACATCGTCTAGCTCTGTGTCACCAGTAACCTCTAAGCAAGGGAAGCCATGAGAACCAAACTTTACAGACCAATCTTGAAACCTTTCTGTGCAGAGTGCTTTCATTGGAGCCACTGTTGTGTGGTTTATTCAAGTGTAGAGAATAAGTGATAGTCATGCAAATACAGAGACAATTAACTGTATTTATTTACTTTACACCTACATAATATTAATATAGTGAAAATAAAATTAAACATGAGAAAGAATTATAAGAATAGTTAGATAATAAGTATTTAGAAAAAAAGTTCTCACTAAAGTGTAGGCTAATATTGAGAATATTGTGTTTTTGTAATAAACAGCATCATTCATTACACTCAAAAATTTTGTAGCACAAAATAAATACAGAATGTAATATTTCTTAGGTATTTTTAAAAGGTCAGTCAAAAACAAATTATAAATTATAACAGTATCTTTTTAAAATATTTTAATCATCAACAAAAATCTGATTTCTGTTTGATGACGAACACATAAGACTATTAAACATATTTTTAAATGTCTGCAACACTCACTGTATATGATCTTCCCACATGTAGTGAGGTTATCTGTCTTCATTATCAAACGAATCAAAGCTAATTCAAACAGAACAGTTTTCCCAGAGCCTGTAGGAGCTGATGCAATGATGGACTTATCTGTGTAAAACACCTGCGCATGAAACATTTCTTTTTATAAGACAGTTACCTTGTTTTACCAACATATTTAGATGAAGAGAACTTCTGTGATGGTTTGTGATGAGGGAGGTAAGTGTGATGCCTTACTCTAGCATTTTAGACAGTAATTTTTTAAACTTAAATTATTATTTTCATTTGCCTAATCTGGTTAATATTTTTTAGGAAGGGAAGTAACTCATTATATTGTTTAAATGAGAAAAATATTGAATAAAGTGTTAGGTTAAAAGTGTTTAAGGATAAAATCAGATTACCATGCAAGGGTCTAACTTTTTGTGACAACATGTGACAAAGAGGTGGAGATTAAAAAACTTGACAAACAAAATGCTTAATCATTTATGTTCAGCCACTGCCCATAGAATGTGACTTAATTTAGACAACTTAATAAAAACATTTTTATTTTACATCACCTCATCAAATAAAAGGGATTGCAATACATTGAAATACGGAAAGCTGAAAATATTTTGAAATTTTTTGGGTAAATCTGTAAGGAAGATATTCAATAGAAAGAAAGATATTTTTTAAAAATTAATTGTATACATATGTAACTGATGGATAAGATAAGTGAGCTAAATTAAATTTAATATACATTGTCAATAAAAGTACTAAAAGAAAATTAACAATTTGTTAGATTAGCTGCTGTTGAGCTAAAAAAAATGTATAAGAAAAAGGATATGAACATCTCTGATGGACCGCAATTCAATTCCTCCAGCACTTGGAATAACTATAGAAATTATTTTTTAAATAAAAATATTTATTTTTAATACCTCAGTCAAATGTTATAACCATTGGCATTAATTGCTTTTAACAAATTTGTGTATCAAAAATAGTCTCATTTGAAAGCATGGCTTTGCCTAGGCACATTTGTCTACAACCAAAAGTCAAAGCAGTGTGAAGAAAATAAAAATTACCTGAATTTTTAGTCTGTTTGATGATTTTATCTACTTGTGATGGTATATACTGAGATGGTGGACAAGCAAGGGATGATTCTGTCAACTTAGTGCCTCTGTCATTCATTGTGGGAGATTGAAACTTTCTTTTTAGGGATTCTGGTTTTCTGCTTCCTTTAACACCCTTTTCCTCAGTCTGTGATTGCACAATTTGAGAGAGTGGTAAGGCAAATGAGGATTCCATAATTTGATTTCCTCTGCTGTTTAAATTGAATTTGGGTGCAGCTGGGATTTGCAAATGTCTATTTGGAATTGATGATGAGTGTTTGCTCTCTTGTTTCCTGTATACTTTGAAATCCCCTTCCTCTGTGTTTGAAGGTGTTATTCTAAATGATGATTCAGTAATTTGAGATCCCATGCTATTGAAATTGAATATTGGTGCAGCCGGAATTTGTATTTGCCTGTTTGGGTTTAAAGAGTGCATGCTTTCTTGTTTTCTGTATGCCTTGAAATCCTCTTTCTCATTATTTGACTTTGTGATTTGCGAAAGTGGTATATTAAATGATGATTCTGTTAATTGAGATCCTCTATTATTCATATTATAATTATATTGCCTGCTTTTATTGGGTGAATGATGAGAGCATTCCTGTTTTCTGTTTATTTTTATGCCCCCCTCCTCAGTCTGTGATGACACAATTTGAGAAAGTGGTAAAGTAAATGATGGCTCAGTATTTTGAGATCCTCGGTAATTAAAATTGAATTTTGGTGCAGTGGGAACTTGCATTTCTTCATGTGTATTGAATGAACTGCTTTTGCCTGGGAGCTTGGTATATTGAAATAGCTGTTTTGCCATTGTCCCCTGAATATTTAAAAAAAATTAGTTATTAATCTATGAAACAACAAAATTTTAATTCATTTTTTTTGGGGGCAAAGTAATTTTTAAAGTATTATAAATGTAGTTAATAACTGCATGGTTTACTAATCCAAAATCTGTTAGGAATGATGTATCTTAAAAACAAAACAATAATTATCACACATCAACAGAAGGCCAAATCATAAACAACACATGTGGCCTACCATTTTCTTTTCAAAACTTAATTTTTAATTTTATGACATATTCTCATTTTATTCTTAAGACTTATTTAAATATAACAAGGTCAGATGCATTATAAGAGTGTGCTGGATTTTGTCCAGATAAACCCAGCCAAAAAAATAACCCCCGCCACCCAAAAAAGATTATTAAAAAAAAAGAGGATATGAAACTTACATTTTAGTTTTTAACCCTAACCCAACCCTAACGCTAACCATAACCCTAATCCTGGCTCTATGGCATGCGTTTAAATATTCAACTGTCTGGACATCAGAAATAGGTCAAGGTGGCATGCCTGCATTAAATTGGAGCTGGTTTAGCACCGTCAATTTTTGTCAGCTCCAATTTAATGCACGCATGCCAAAAAGTGATGGTGCTAAACTTTTTGCCCAAGCCCTTTTTGCATTGTTGGCGGGCGGGGGGGGGGGGGGGGGGAAATCCAGTCTGCCTACTTTGAGATCAGTTAGTGGTGGCTGCAAGACAAAAAAAAACTGCCTGTTTTAAGAGCAGATGGATTAGGAATTAAATACAATTAATTATAATGCTACGAGGTGTGGACATCAAAGTGAAAAAATACAAATTTGACGCTTGGTAATGTTGGTAATAGTTGTAGGTGTAGTCATCTTGAAGAATGCAGGGATGTCTTGGGAGGTTGCAAAATTGACAGATAGAGACCAGCCGGATGAAAGAGATGGTTATGTTATGGTTGGGTTATGTTATGGTTGAGACCCTATGCTACACATGGAGTAAAGACTAGTAAAGAGGATTAAGCCAAGACAACTGGCACTGGTATAATTATTAATTAATATTAAGTATAATACTAGTTACATAAATCTATATATATAATTCTCTTCTTGGATACCCTAGAAAACACCAAGCTGTAAGCGCGCCTAGCAGCCCCCTCTCTTCCTCTCTAAAGTCTAAGCACATCCCTACCACCCCCACATGGTCTGGTGAGCTGTGGCTCACGCTAAATGTTTACAATTGTAGAGCCGGGTTTAGTGACGGCTATTAGGGGCAGATAATTTAGTTTGAAACGATTTTAAACTTAGGGGAGGTAACTAAAAGGAGACTGCTTTCACTGGGGGGGGGAGTAAGGTAGGGGTTGGGGGAAAGGAGAGTGGGGGGGGGGGGTTATCGTCCTTAACGACCTACTGATACGTGTTTTAAAGCAAATATTTTCAGTGGCAGCATTGGTACTGTCGAATTCACAAATGAATTACTGAAAAGTAGAAAATAAAACAACTAGATCTAGATCTAAATAGTAATACTAAATAGCGGCATACGCCGCGGGTCTGCTCGTATAATATTATTATTAATATAAACCTACACTAAACTACACTTAACCGCTTAACCTAGTCTTGGAGTCTTGGAGTGTTTTAACTTTTACTTTTATTTAACTCTACCTTTACTGTTTTAACTGTTTACTGTTTACTGTTTACTGTTTACGCGACGTCTACACTGAGTCACTGAGTGTGTAAGACTAGGGACTAGGACTCAATTATTACAACCTGTTAAGTTTTCTAAGTTTCTACAGGGTCAATTGTAAAAGTAATAATGTGTTTTTAACCTTAGCTTGGCTTAGGCCAAGCGGGTTAAGCCACAAGATCGTTACAATCTGTCGTCTACTTTCGTAGCAGACTATGCCTATAATCTGGATCTAGAAATCTAGACCTCTAGATACTATATTACACCTAATTAACTGCTTGCCGTAAAATATGACTTTATCTCTGTATGTCTGTTAAATAGAATTTGATTTAACCATATGCAGTCTTATTACAGAAATTAATTTAAATCATATTTCATGAAAGAAATTATTCTAAGTATATTCTGTCAAATTAGAATGTATATAACCAAAAAATACTAGTGCAAAACAACAACAAAATAAAAACACAATTTAGATCTAGTCTAAAGAAGAAATCTGGCTACTGCTGGAAAATTTTGTGGGCGGGTGAAAATAAAATATTAATTAATACTAATAGTTTCGCTGTCTGTCTATCTATCTATCTGACAAGAACGCTCTAGAGAAAACACAAAGAAAATAAAAACATGCATAGTATTTCGAAAAACGAAGTATGACGTCGACACATTTAGCGCACAGAGTAGAAAATAATCTCAAACCCAGAGAGTGCTCAAAGTTATATGACGTCATTGATTTTCGCGTTAACATTGAATAAAAAGGAAATGTTGTCTAATCTTAATGGTTTGCGTGAAGAGTTTCTTGCATACAATTCTTCGGGTAGGGGCGAAGCCCCACCCCCCGCGTAAGAACGTCTGAGCCCCCCCCCCCCCCCCCCCCCTCGGGGAGGGGGCGGACACTGGAAAAAGTATATAATTATATTTCGTTGAATGGGACGGTAGACATGTTTTTTTTTGGGGGGGGGGGGGGGGGGGGGGGGGGGGGGGGGTGGTGTGTGTGGGGGGTGGGGTGGTTTTAGTTTAGACTTTTTCCTCCCCAGAGAGGGGTGGGGGTACTTGAAATTTTCGGGGGCGGGGGTAGAATTTTCGGGGAAGGGGCGGACACTGGAAAAAGTATATAATTATATTTCGTTGAATGGGACGGTAGGCATGTTTTTGGGGGGGGGGGGGGGGTGCAGGGGTGGGGGGGGTGGTGTGTGTGGGGGGGCGGTGTGTGGAGGGGGTGGTGTGTGTGGGGGGGTGGGGGGTGGGGGTGGGGGGTGGTGTGTGGGGGTGGGGTGGGGTGGGGGTGGTGTGTGGGGGGGGGTGGGTTGGTTTTAGTTTAGAGAAAAGAGACAGCACTATCAAGCTAGCGCCCGGTGTATCCTTCCTCAACGGGCCATTTTTCTCGTATTAAAATAATAAGTTATTATAAGGTCTACTAAGAAAAAGGTTCTGAAATTAGCGCTAGCAGGCTACTCAATCGCATTTTATGCTGCTTTAAAAAAAATAAGCAACATAGACCCACTTGTTTTTTTTTTTTTTTTGTTGTTTTTTTGTCTTTTCATGGTGTAAACGATATAGAAAAACAAGTAAGCTCAGGCTACACAATTTGATACGTGGAATTATCAAATCGGTGGCATCAAATAAGATAGAACAGGGGTCGGCAACCTGCGGCTCGCGAGCCGCATGCGGCTCTTTTGATATCAAGATGCGGCTCTCCAGCTCCTTGCACAAATACTAATAATCTTAATTTAAAAAATAAAATATTTGAAATAAAAAAATGTTAGTGGCTCTTTAAAACCAGGGAAATTTTGAAAACTGTATTTTTTGGCTCTTCCGCTTCAAAAGGTTGCCGACCCCTGAGATAGAACGATACCAACACCTACAGTTTATATAACACCGCTCTAAACTTAACGCCAAACATTAATTTAACCCAATTGTTCATGACTAAGCACAAAAAAAACAATAACTAAAAACAATTTTTAAAACTCAGCACAAAAATGTTTAGCAGAAAAATCTTTATTTTATAGGCTATCGATATTTTTTACCCGTTCCATAAATAATATTATATAAAGATATTAAAAAAACAAAAAAATTCTCGCACCCGGGATCAGAATTTGTGAAAATCAAATCGTGATTATTGTTACTATTAGGCCCTACCACTTCAAAAACAAACACACAAAATGTTCGCCGAATATAGATCTTTGGGTTCGTGAACAAAGAGACTGCATTCGTTATGGAAACTTTTGGTGGGCGGACTAAAATTTCCGGGGGGGGGGGGGGGGAGGGGGTGGGGATTCTCGTTGAAGTATATATTTAGTATATAGATACTATTTCGTTCGAGGGGTGTGTGAGACGGAAGACGTGCTTTGGGGAGACAGCCCCCCCCCCCCCCCACAAAGAAAGATACATGTAAGAGTAAGAAACTTTGCTTTTTATATTGCAGGTCTTGGCGGCTCGATAGCAGAGGCGTAATGAGGGGGCTCCAAAATGAGTTGGAAAAAAAATTAAAAGCTCATTTTAGCTGCAGTTTTGCATTATAAATATAAAAAATAAATGGGGGTTGGGCTCTAAATTGAAAGTTTGTCCCCAGGGTGGGGGGGGCGCCAATTTGAAAGTTTGTCATCGGGCACCGGGAAGGGTCGCTACGCCTCTGCTGGATAGTGATATTTCTGAATTAGTTAATCAAGCTGGCAAACAGCAGTTTATTTTCAGTGCTTTTCTTTATAGTAATTTAAATAGTAATGTATTATTAAATATTTAAAGAAAAACATTTATTTTCTCCTTTTTAGTGCATTACTGCATAAGGGGTCGTCCATAAATGACGTCACACTCGTAGGGGGGAGGAGGTCCGTAATTTTGTGACGGTGTGTGATGAGGGGGAGGGGGGGGGGTCAGATGGTGCGCCGTCACACTTTTGCATTATAAAAAAGCAATGTTAGAAAACAAATTTTAGACGTTATTATGCGTTTTAGAATCTGTTTTAATAAATTGCAACAGGAATTGATTAAAATACTCTAATTTGATAGTTCAGACAAGATTTTGGAAAAATATCGATGTTTTAAGAAAAATTCAACTGCAATTTTGAGGGGGGTTATATGCTGAGGTGCGACGTCATTTTAGGGGGGGGGGGGTCTGGCTTTTTGTGACGATGTGTGACGGAGGGGAGGGGGCAGGTAAAAATCGTCAAAAATAGCGTGACGTCATTTATTGATGACCCGTAAAAGCTTGTTATTAAAATGTTTTTTTATGCATTTTCTCCCTTTCCGCTGTTGATATCAACAATCCTACTTCTGATTTTTGTACGAGCAGTTATGCCTTTCGGGCGACAGATTTAAAAAAAAAAAAACAAGAAAAAACAAATGTTTACATCATGAAAATCATTTTATTATCTGTTTCTCTTTCCCTATGCCACTCTTAAAAAAAAAACAGAGAAAAAATACACATGTTTAAATCTGAACACTGAAAAGTTATTTTATGTAAATTACATAGGCAAATAATTGCACTAAAATTGTTTATGGCTCTGTTTTCCACAGTGATGAATCGAGAAGTTTACTCCAAAATGCAGTATAAGGATGAACATACTTTGTAGGATTACCAGCATTGTCAACCAATGGCCTTCTCTCATTGGCCCACTTAAAAATAGAACCTGAAAGGTTGTATATTTCTGGAACTGGTTGCTTCTCTGTTAAATATAGATTAATACAATTATTTCTAAACAACATTTGCAGCAAACTGCTAAACATTATTGTTTTGTAAATAGAAATGCAATCAAGAATTCTTCTTAAACGGAATTTTTTTAAATGATAAAAACTATTTCCTTGTATTAATATCAAATTAATGGTAACTAAAATTCTGGTTTGTTTTAATATGAGTGTAGAGTTATTTATTCTAAGCCTACCCGATTCTTTATAATAATCTTGAAGCTTTTGGACAACCACACTTGATCTGTAGCCCAAAGAACAGTAACTCACTATTGTCGGATTTTGTTTGTCTGAAAAAAAAACCCATTACGGATTTTTAATGAAGTTTAATTGTAAGCACTTTCTGGTCTAAAAAGCATTTAATTATTTGCACTGAGTCTCATTGATTTTATTATTATCCACTTCCTAATCTTTTGATTATCACTTTATCTAAACATGTTTACAAAATAAAACAGATTAAAGCTGTTTACGAGTACACCATTCAAATATTCATTGCCTAAAACAGCCTAGGGAGTCACAATTTTGTACAAATATTAAACTAGTTTCAACTTAGCATAGAATACCTTTTAGTTTCTCGCTACATTTCTGAGCCAAAGGTTCAATGTCTTTATCTTTATAGTCCACTCTTAAGGCGCCATCTAAATGACTAACATCAAATTCTTCTTGCGCCCTTGCATCCTGTTTAATACAAAACATCACAAGTTAAACCTTTAAAATTTATCCCATTTGAACTCATTTAAAAAAAACAGGTTACAATCATCTATACCAGTGGTTCTTAAACCTTTTTTGGAGGTACCGAACCCCACCAGTTTCGTGTGAGCACTCACCGAACCATTGTTAATAATTATATTGTCCGCAGTGACAAAATCCGATCGTGAATCGAATGAGTCGGGTGTGTGTCTTGACCTCCGCCGAACCCTTGAGGGTGACTCACCGAATCCCTAGGGTTTGATCAAACCCAGTTTAAGAACCACTGGCCGATACAATTTAAAAGCTGTTAAAGACTAATATTACCAATATCACAACTGTTCTTTCATTAGGTGTCTTTAACCATTTAGCTAATATTGCTGTTGAAATATTTTTAACTGATGGAAATTTCATTTGAAGAGACTGGATTGTAGATTTCATAAAAAATCCTGGGTTTGAAGTATCACAGTCGCCAGGGTCCGTCATTGTGTTGCTATTTGTTACGCTGTTACTCGGGACTAAAATCTGCTAGAAATAATGATAAAGATGTAACTTAGTGTAAAGTTACTTTGCACACTTTTTCTACTTTTACAAAAACAGACTAATTAAATATATACTTATATTTGAATAATTTACTAAATTATATAACATTTTAATGTACCCGAATATTCATTGAAGTCCACATTAAAAACGGATCTATTATTAGATCGCTACTGCGTGAAACTCAGCAATATACTTTTTATAGGACAGAAAAGAAAGGTAAAAACCATAAAACAAATTTTGTGTGTGATTCTTATGAAATATATATTATTTGTTCGTAATTGGAGTGGGAGTAATGCAATTCGCCTCAACTCCAATGACAGCATGAACCACAACCTAAACCCAACCCCTTGTCCCATACCCCAATCCATCCCCCACTAACACTACACACCCACAACACCACATAGCAAAAAGCAAACGTCACTCCACTAACTCCATGATCCACACCAATTACTCATCCCACAACATACACACGACTCCCCACATACAGTAAATGGAGTAGACCAAACCGCACACCATCCCTCTCCACACCCTAAAGCACACCACCTTACCCCACACGGCACCATGACCCAAACCACACACGCCCCTAACAATATTTAACAACCTGAATTTCAGCAACACAAATTCATAATTGCAAACAACACTACAACCAGCGACATAAAAAAATACATTAAACCCACACTCCACAACCCACATACCCACCCACACATCACAACACTAATCGTAAAATCAACTTACAACCACTAAACCCACATCAGACACACCACTCCCCGTACACCTCCCGCTACACCACTACACACATACACAACACAAAACGGAATAGACCAAATGCCATACCACAACCCAAATTAATTCACTAAAAACCCACCCGGCACGGCACATGAACCACATTCCGAACAAAGCCCAACACCACCTTGTTCCACACCCCAAACCAATCCACCAACATCCCCATTATAATAGATTGACGATAGAAGCATGTGGTTGTATATAAAACGTTTATTGGGTCTAACTACATGATGGTACCAGCAAGAGGAAGGAAGTGGCGAGAGACAACTATTTATATATATGTAAGGGACATCACTCAAGATAACAATATAAATATAATACTAATACAGAAGAGTGAGTTCCCTTGACCTCACAATTATCTCAATCTATTACATCCCTTTACCCTTAGAACACAGTAACACATCTCTCAATAGAACAATTGATAGTATCCTAAAATCACCAATTATATTGTAACATGAACACTATGGTAGATTACATCCTTACAAACAATGCACAATATGCCACAACATAATCAAGATACAAAACAATGATGTCAAAGTCCTTTTGACCTTTAAAATCATAGGTCTAACTTATTTGGGACCTTGATTGTCCTGCTTGACCTTCTCAGTGGCTTTTGATTTGGTGACTCAAGATTCTGACCATCTGGTCTAGGATCTAAATCATTAACTCCAGAATTTACATTTTCTGACTCTAGACAACTTGGTTCACTCATATCAACAGAACTTGGTTGTGGAACAAACTGAGTTGGTGTGAACTGTTCAGATTTGGTGGGATTGACAGATTCACACTTATTATCTGCACAAGTTATTTTTAACTGGTCTGCATGTCTACGGACAATAAGTCCATCATTTGTTTTTACTTTATAAGACACAGGTCCTGTACATTGAACAATTTGACCTGGTATCCATTTTTCCTTTCTCCCATAATTTCTTAGATACACATTATCATTAACTGCAAATTCTCTTTCAATGGATGATTTGTCATGATTTACTTTTTGTGTATGTTGATGTTGGGAAACAGACCTTTGAACAGTTGGATGTAGTAGGTCAAGATGAGTTTTAATTTTCCTACCACATAACAATTCACATGGTGCAACACCTGTTGTTATATGAGGAGTTGTGCGGTATTTGGTTAAGAACCTGTTTACTCTTTCTCTAAGAGAAAACTTGTTACCGGTATTCATTTTTACCATAGCGGTTTTGAATATGCCTACCGCTCTTTCAGCCAAACCATTCCCAGCAGGATGATAGGGGGATGTGGTTATATGCTCAATACCATTTGCCACACAAAACAGTTTAAACTCATGAGCTGTGAAACTAGGCCCATTATCTGAAACAATTTGATCTGGTAATCCATGAGTTGAAAATATTTCCTTCAGTTCTATAATGGTATCATTTGCAGTGATTGTGTTCATGATTTTAACTTCTAACCATTTAGAATGTGAATCAATAATAATTAAGAACATTTTGTTCATAAAAGGTCCTGCGAAATCTATATGTATACGTTTCCATGGTTCGATTGGCCAGTCCCAGTTTTGCAAAGGTGCTGTAGCTGGTTGATTTGAATGTTGTGCACAGCTTGAACAAAGTTTTACATATTTTTCAATATCAGCATCCATATGTGGCCACCAGAACCATGATCTTGCTAGACTCTTCATTTTGGAAGAACCAAGATGAGTATCATGTAAAGTTCTTAAAACTTCTTTTTGTAACATTTTGGGGATAATTACTCTTGACCCCCATAGTATACATCCATCTTCTAGACTTAACTCTGTTTTTCTTATTTTATATGGCTTTAAGTCCTCATTCACTGACTCTTCAGGCCAACCATTTTTACAGTACTCATATACTTTTATTAAGCACTCATCTTTTTGTGTTTCTCTTTTAATATCATTCACATTTATATTGGAGTTATCCATGATAGTGAAGAGAACAAATACATCTTCTGGTACATAGCTCAGGCTTTGGTTTTTTAAAGGTAATCTACTCAGACTATCTGCACTATTCTCAGATCCAGGTTTGTATTTCAATTCATAATTGTATGCGGCTAGTGTGATAGCCCATCTTTGAATTCTTGGTGAGGCATGCTCAGGTAGGGTTTTGTTTTCTCCAAATAAACCTAGCAATGGTTTATGATCTGTAAAGATGGTGAACTTCCTACCAAACAGAAACTTATGAAATTTCTTAACACCAAAAATGATGCCTAAGCCTTCCCTATCTAACTGAGAATAATTTTTCTCAGCCTGGTTCAAAGATCTACTGGCAAAAGCGATGGGTCTGTCACCCTTCTCATCCATGTGGGACAAGACTGCTCCTACACCATCTGGTGAAGCATCACATGTTAATATAAGTCTTTTCCCTGGGTCATAGTGAGTTAGTAAGGTGTCAGAAGACAAAGCCTCTTTTGCTGTATTAAAAGCAGTATCTTGTTGTTTACCCCAGTGCCAAGTTGCATTTTTCTGTAGCAGCTTGTACAGTGGTGATAGTTTACCAGACAGATTCCCTATGAACTTTGCATAGTAATTTATCAAGCCCAAAAAAGCTCTTAGTTGTTGGGTATTTTCAGGTTTGGGTGCTTCTTTAATGGCTTTTGTTTTCTCAGGTTGAGGTCTGATACCTTGCTTGCTTAATATATAACCAAGAAAACTAATTTCTGTCAACATGAATTGACATTTATCTTTGTTTATCTTTAAACCTTTTTCACCAACAATTTTCAATACTTTATCAAGTGTTTTAAGATGTTCAGTGTCATTCTTACCAGTTATGTACACATTGTCAAAGTACACACAAACATTTGGAATGTCCTTAAAAATACTGTCCATGACAGCTTGGAAAATTCCAGGGCTAGATGATATGCCAAAACATAGTCTTTCATATTGGTAGAGTCCTTTATGTGTGTTTATTGTCGTATAGACTTTTGAATCTGGATGCAGTTCTAGTTGAGTGTAAGCATGACTAAAGTCTAATTCAGTGAATTTGTCTCCTGCCAAATTCAAAGAAATTTCCTCAATGTTAGGAATAGGGTACCTATTTAGCTCTATTTGCTTATTCAGTGTAGTTTTATAATCTCCACAAATTCTTATAGAACCATCCTTCTTTAACACTGGCACAATGGGCGTTGCCCAATCGGAATAGTCTACCTTCTTTATGATGCCATTAGATTCCAATCTACTTAGCTCATTTTCAATTTTGTTCCTCATTGCATAAGGTGGAACTCTAGCTTTGCAGTATCTTGGATTTGTGTCTTTAATGCTTATCTTCACTGTTCTATCATTTAGTAAACCTGAATTGCCAAAAACACTTTTATTTTCAGATATTACTTTATCTAGTGAAGTAAGACTAGATTCTTTTCCATTGTTCAATGAACAAATACTCTCCCAATTTAACTTAAGATTACTTAACCAGTTCCTACCTAGTAATGGTGGTCCATTTCCTTCAACCACAAGAAGAGGAAGTTTAACACTTTGACCATTATAATTTACATGAACCATACACTCTCCTATTACCGGAACATTGTCACCTGTGTATGTTGTTAGACACTTGTGACATGGCTGTAGAGGCACTGATCCTCCTGTGACAGCGTCAAAATCTTTCTTTGTTATGACTGTTAGAGATGCTCCAGTGTCAAGTTGGAAGCTGATGCTCTTACCGTTGATATAAACTGGTACATTGATGGGAGCATGACTTATTGATTTCACAGAGAACAGGTTGAAATCCGGCTGCGAATCAGTTTGAGCATTTTCACAGGTAGAGTGGTTCATTGGTTGGGTTAGGTAGTCTTGGTGAGAGTTAACATAGTGCTGCCTTTGGTTGCGGTACTGTCTTGACTGGCTAGATTTAGCAACAGACGAAGACTTTGCAAAGCAGGCCTTGGCAATGTGACCTTGCTCACTGCACTTATAACAAGTTGCAGACTTGAACTTGCACCGATGAGATGCATGGGGACCTTTGCATCGATGACATTTTTGATAATTATTACTAGATTTAGATCTAGGATTTGAACGAGCAGGCTGTTTAGCATAAGTTGGAATGCTCTGATGGGGTTGATGTTTATTGACTAACCTGCTGTTTACTGCATGGATCCCTGAAGGCGTAAGAGATTTCGCCGCATCTGATGACTGCTGGATTGAAGTTGCGAGTTGTATTGCTTTTTCTAATGTGAGATCTGACTCGAGCAGCAACTTTCTTTGAATATCAGGGCTGTTTACACCTGTCACAAACTTTTCACATAGTCTGTCAGACAGCGTTTCTCCAAATTCACAGAATCTACTTAGATGACGTAAAGCAGCAACATATTCTGATATTGACTCGTTTGGTTGACGAGTCCTACTGTCAAATCTAGCTCGACATAGAAACTTTGATGGGGTAGGCGCATGGTGGTCTGTTAGCAATTTGCTCAGCTCGTTAAAGCTCTTGGTAGTTAGACTAGCTGGTGCGCATAAGTCCTTTAGTAGCCTAAATTGTTGAGGCCCTATGACTGTTAACAAAACAGCTCTCTTTTTGGCTTCTATCGTCACGTTGTTTGCTTCAAGGTAAAAGCTTAGCCTATCTAGGTAATCTTGAATGATTTCATCATTCGAATCAAATTCTTTTATTTGGCCATATAGCGCCATTATTCTAGAAATACTTAGCTACTAAGCTCTAGCAAACCTCTTTTTTGCGTAAGTAGGTGCTCTTTCTAGTAGATTTTTATCCTCGTCGCCAGATATAATGGATTGACGATAGAAGCATGTGGTTGTATATAAAACGTTTATTGGGTCTAACTACATGATGGTACCAGCATGAGGAAGGAAGTGGCGAGAGACAACTATTTATATACGAGAAAAATGGCCCGTTGAGGAAGGATACACCGGGCGCTAGGTTGATAGTGCTGTCTCTTTTCTCTAAACTAAAACCAACCCACCCCCCCCCCACACACCACCCCCACCCCCCCCACCCACCCCCCCCACCCCCCCCCCCCCCCCACCCACCCCCACCCCCACCCCCCAAAAAAACATGTCTACCGTCCCATTCAGCGAAATATAATTATATACTTTTTCCAGTGTCCGCCCCCTCCCCGAAAATTCTACCCCCGCCCCCGAAAATTTCAAGTACCCCCACCCCTCTCCGGGGAGGAAAAAGTCTGAAAGAAACACTGGTGTCGCGCTTAGCCACTACGCGAAGAATTGCATTAAAGAAATTGCGAGAAAACCACTTTTTAGATTAGACACATTAATTAGGCGGTAATTTTATTATAGAGTATCGATGAGGAAACCACCCCACCCCACCCCCCCCCCCACCCCACCCACCCCCCACTCCCAAAAAAAACATGTCTACCGTCCCATTCAACGAAATATAATTATATACTTTTTCCAGTGTCCGCCCCCCTCCCCGAAAATTCTACCCCCGCCCCCGAAAATTTCAATTACCCCCACCCCTTTCCGGGGAGGAAAAAGTCTGAAAGAAACACTGGTGTCGCGCTTAGCCACTACCCGAAGAATTGCATTAAAGAAATTGCAAGAAAACCACTTTTGAGATTAGACACATTAATTAGGCGGTAATTTTATTATAGAGTATCGATGAAGAAATTTCTTTTGAGTTGGGGAGGGGGAGGGGCTCAGACGTTCTTACGCGGGGGGTGGGGCTTCGCCCCTACCCGAAGAATTGTATGCAAGAAACTCTTCACGCAAACCACTTAGATTAGACAACATTTCCTCTTTATTCAATGTTTACGCCAGAATCAATGACGTCATTATATTACTGTGAGATTATTTTCAACTCTATGCTAAATGTGTCGACGTCATACTTCGTTTTTCGAATTACTATGCATGTTTTTAAATTGCTTTTCTTTTCTCTAGAGCGTTCTTGTCAGACAGATAGATAGATAGATAGATAGATAGATAGATAGATAGATAGATAGATAGATAGATAGATAGATAGATAGATAGATAGATAGATAGATAGATAGATAGATAGATAGATAGATAGATAGATAGATAGATAGATAGATAGATAGATAGATAGATAGATAGATAGATAGATAGATAGATAGATAGATAGATAGATAGATAGATAGATAGATAGATAGATAGATAGATAGATAGATAGATAGATAGATAGATAGATAGATAGATAGATAGATAGATAGATAGATAGATAGATAGATAGATAGATAGATAGATAGATAGATAGATAGATAGATAGATAGATAGATAGATAGATAGATAGATAGATAGATAGATAGATAGATAGATAGATAGATAGATAGATAGATAGATAGATAGATAGATAGATAGATAGATAGATAGATAGATAGATAGATAGATAGATAGATAGATAGATAGATAGATAGATAGATAGATAGATAGATAGATAGATAGATAGCTAGATAGATAGATAGATAGATAGATAGATAGATAGATAGATAGATAGATAGATAGATAGATAGATAGATAGATAGATAGATAGATAGATAGATAGATAGATAGATAGATAGATAGATAGATAGATAGATAGATAGATAGATAGATAGATAGATAGATAGATAGATAGATAGATAGATAGATAGATAGATAGATAGATAGATAGATAGATAGATAGATAGATAGATAGATAGATAGATAGATAGATAGATAGATAGATAGATAGATAGATAGATAGATAGACAGACAGCGAAACTATTATTATAGATATGTAAGGGACATCACTCAAGATAACAATATAAATATAATACTAATACAGAAGAGTGAGTTCCCTTGACCTCACAATTATCTCAATCTATTACACCCATACTCCTAACTATACTATTCCACACCAAATCCGCAAGCAACACGGCATCCCACACACAATGACTTCCCACACCATACACACTATACATACACCCCACATCCCCACAACACACACGGGGTACAACAAATCCCCAGCACCCCGCTCCATAACTTCAAAAACTCGCCACCCCATCCAACACGAAACACAAAACGTGCTGACTACGCAGCATTGTAAAATTTAATTGTACAAAACGATGATAGGTGCCTGATTGTGAAACAACCTATGATAGTTCTACCAAAAAAAAAGTCAACTTTCTCCAGTACTTACGAAGACAGTGCCTATACGGGCCTGTGGTTGACTACGAGCGTTATATATTAATTTGTATACTCTCTAGAACGACCAATATTGACAACAAAGTAAAACTTTAATAGTATTTCTTTGTCTACTGTGTCTAGGCATTTTATACAATACCAAACACGGTAGCCGGCAAAGTGTAGTATAACCTACCCCGACTTAGTTTCAGTGTTTCTTCCAGACTTTTTTCGGGGGTTGGGGATGAGGCGGACAACAATTTTCGGGGGGGGGGGGGGGACACTGTCAAAAGTATATATTTTCTATATAAATTCCATTTCGTTCGGGGGGGGGGGGGCGGTAGACTTTCTTCGGTGGGGGGGGGGGGTTCTCTCCCATTTAGACTTTTTTTTTTAAATTTGAAACATTTCAAACATGACAATAATTTTATTTTTTGCTTTTTTTCCTTTTAAAAAAAAACATTTTGTTGTTAAACATCACACACTGTGAGAGTGCTTGACATAGCTTATGCGAAGTGTGTAATAAAATGATTGATCGATATATTTTTACTTTGTCTCAAAAATGCCACAAATACTAAATAACGCATTTCTCGTTTTGATGGAATATAATTTATTGAGCTGACCTAAAACTTTAACTCATTACATTTTATCGCCAGTATATTTTTTATAGACTATTTGTTTCGTTAAACGTTATCCTAATTTTTTGAACGAGTTGTTTTTATTGTAATGGGGCGGTGTCTATCTTCTAATTATTTTTATTTAGCTCTCATTTCTCATCAAGTTTAATTTACTTACTAGGTCAATAGTACTTTATGTTTCATTGATTCATTTTAAGGATAAATACCAAGTGATTCTATTATTATTTGCGATGATCGTTCTACCTTTTAAAAAGCTGTTGCGGTGTGGTTTTCCCCAGGAATAATATTATAATACCAAGATATTGGCTGTTCCAAGAGCAACAACTCTGACATCACGAGACTGATAAAAAGTATTAGCGAACCAGGAAAGGCTGTGGCGATCGATGGATTCATGAATCTGGTTGACGTTACGCATATATTTACCCCATCTGACATGGAATTCACTTCCACCATTTTCAATGGATGCCAGACGATGCCTGTTCAGTGCTAGAATAATGGCTAGTGAAGAAATTCAAGCGATTTCTGTCACAGATGTTTATGATCAAGCGGCAGGTATCGCTCACGAATTCGATAAACTTATTCAAAATTATGGAAATGATTCTGTGACTGAGCTGATGCCCAGAGTAATTCGATCACTTGAACAACTGGAAACTTTAGCATCCCGGTATGAGAGAGACCTCGAGGAAATAAATCAGCTGCGATATAAAGTTGAAAAACTTGAGGCAGAAAAAACAGAGAAAGCTCAAGAACGAGCCAAATTTGATCAGGTGATTCAATCTTTCTTTATTGAACTTAATTCTTTAGGCCTACCTTATTTTTCAATATAATAAAGTGTCTTGTGACTATGATCAGCATTTTGTTGTTAATATTCCTGTAAATTAGCAAGCCAATGAGTTCCTAAAATTTAAAATAGTATGCTAGGAGTATTTTTAGTAGTATAGGCCCTATTTAGTCTATTTACTATTTATAATAAGTACCATTCAACTACTGAACTAGGCCAAGAATAATATCAGAGGTCTTTTAAATTTAAAATTAGACTAGGCCTACCAAAGATTTATGCAGGTTAGGCAAATCAATATTACTAAAAACCCTGATATGATTGTTACAATCTATCAACACTGAAGTAATAGTGGATAAGAAATCTCTTTTGATAACATATTCAAGAACTTAAAACTTGAAATTTGGGGAAAATCATGCTAGGGAAGTAAATTCTAAAAATAGCTCGTGATTAAGGCTTAAGGCAGGCTTGAAATATTGTCCTCAAAATAATAAACTATAAATAGCTTCAGTCTTCTTCAGCTTGCTAATCATTACTTTAAACAATAAGCTCTAGTTTCTCCCTGCACACTACCACACTCATTGCCTCATAGTGAAAATGATTCTATTATGAATTCAGTTTCATGTTTTTGAAAGTATTCAGCCTATCTATATCTTATAAAGTAAATAATAATGTAAATTATGGATGCAGTAGGAAACTTAAATCCACCACTGTACTGTATGTAATATGTGGCCCAAATCTGTCAATCAAGTATTTGCATGTGGCACATAGGAGTCTTAGTCTGGACCATTCTAGCAGATTCTAAACTAAAACCAAAGCCATTTTGCATCTTTATTTTAGTTGTCAATGAAACAATTCCAATTTTCAATTTTCACCATATTAGTTTTAGTTATAAATTTAGTTATAAATCATATTTGAATTGGTCACAATAAAAAATATCTTCTCAACTTAAATGTGTTTTAGAATAAAATATGACGTGATTAGCCTACTACACCATTATCTTAATCACATATCAATTTATCACACACTCAAGTGCTTCTGATAAAAAACATGACAAATGATTCAGCATTAGGTTATCTAAGCTTATGTATTTCTCCACTTAATGCCTACTTGGCTATAATTAGTTGACATCTGGCTACCCATGTTGTTTGTTCCCTTTATTAAGACATTGTTTGCTTTTATACCCATTAATTAAAAAAAAAATTTAAATTTGATTATCACTCCTGTGACTAAAAAATTCAAGCCTGTACAGTTACTCTTCTAAGGGTAATTGTTCATTTTTTTACTGTCTTATTAACAAGTCAGTCTCTTCAGTTAATAAACCAGTTACGTTTCTTCTTTAGGGTACTTATGAATACTACTTGATGGATATTTTTTGTCTCTGCTGGTCCACAATAGATCAAGCTGTTTAACTAAAACAAATATCATTGTATGGAATTTTTAATTGCAACAGTATTAAAACTCCTAACATTGTTATGTACTTTACCTATTTTTTTCATAAAGAACCCTGATATTAGTATTTAATAATTGATTGGTATTGATGCCTGTCCACAGACATATTTTAAGCTCTTTTGTGATTGAATGACAAAAGTGGGTATTACACAAAAATATTTTTTTCTACAAATAAACTTTCTGTTATAAAGGATTTTAAAAAATTGCAATCACATTTCTTAGGATTTGGAAGCCATAGAAGAAAATTGGCAGTCAGAAGTGAAAGAACTTCTTGGTGTTGTTAGCAGGCTACAGGAAGAAAACAAACGGTTGAAGGAAAATGCTCGAACAGAGAAGCATGCGGTTGTTGCTGAGTTTACAGCCAAACGACAAGGTTGTGGTTTTGACACTTTTGATTATTCTATTCTGTTGATTATTCTATTCTTATTCTTCACCTTTTTCAAGTCCCATTAATAGACCATTCGCTAAACCCTTCCATGCTTTTATGTCCTTTGCTGTTTTTCCCATTTCTCTCCCACCTATTCTGATCACTTTTGTGTCTGATTAAATATACAAATATATTTCATTTGGAATAGTATCGTAGTTTACAAGCTCTGTTATTTTTAATGATACCAGGTGTCTGAAATTCAGTTCATTATTGTTTTTTCTCTTTATTTGTTTGCTAAAATACACCCATTATCCTCTCAAATGAAATCTATAATATAATTATCCGTCATCGCTATAGATTTTGGGACTATAAAAGTAAGCTACGCACCATGCTGTGCTTTTCAGTGCACCGCAGTGTCTTATTATAAGTATTAGAGTAGGGTTTGTTTATATAGCGGCATAGAGCTATTTTATAATTTCCACTGTTTGTACAATTTTGCATAACGTAAAGAGAATATTAAATACACGCACACTGCTAAAAGGTATTAAAAGGATCAATGTCAAATATTATTTTCTTTTTTATGCCTTGAAAAAGTGGAAGCATTTTAATAACCTTATAACAGTAGGCTAGAAAAATCAAATAAATTTAACTCTTTTTAAGACAAGGGAGGTAATTTAAAAATAAATTAAACTCACGCTAATAAAAAAAAAATGTGAATGCAAATCTACGGACCTTTTAGAAGGAATTAGTGTTGCAATAATATAATTAGCAAAATGTGAATGCAAATTGTGCGGATGCGGATTGTTAGAAAATTATAATTAGCATGGATTGATAAAAGGCAATCTTTTATTTATTTCATTCACTGAATTTACTGTTAACTACATATAATTTTTAAATAACTATTCTGCAATATTATAGGCGCGTCATCACGTTCATTGGGTGGATGGTGCGCAATTGTTTTAGTTATGAAACTATTGTAAATTTTTAAAATTTAAAGTACTGGGGAAAAAATGCGTGAATTGGTAAAGTGATATATGGTAGGTAAAACACGGATATTTTAAATACTGCCTATTATTTATACTGTTTACTAATTATTATTCTATCTTTCGGTTTGAGGACAAGCTAGGGGTTTTATAGGAGAGGCGTAGCGAGGGGAGGGCATATGTCCCCGGGTGCCGACCTTAGGGGGCGCCAAAGTGGGTTGGAAAAAATGTGCGAGGGGGGGGGGGTGGAAATCGAAAGATTTAGGGAGGGGGGGGGGGAAGGGGTGCAAATCGAAAGTTTGAGGGGGGTGCAAATCACCGGAAAGGGCGCGATTTGGCGCTACGGGCTAGACTGTGAGCAATATGCCTGTATGATTGCATTTAAATTGTGACTATGTTATGAGTGTTGTGTTTGTTTGTTCGTTTTTTTTTTTTTTTTTTTTTTTTTTTTGCGTTCGTTTGTGTTGTGTTTAGTTTTGTTCTGTTCCCAAGTTGGTACATTTTAAAAAGATTTACCGTGGCGGAGCACGGGATGCAGCTAGTTAAATATAATCAGGTATTTGATCATAAAATTTTTTTTACATGTATAGAAACTGAAGAAGAGGAGATCAAAGTCTTGACAAAATTGAAAGAAACAGTAGACAAACAAAGGGAGGAAATCAGAACAATGAAAAGAGAACTAAGTCAAAAAGGAGTTGATTGTGATGCTGTAAGAAAAATGTGTTTAGTTTATTTATTATATTACAAATATAAATGTAATATATCATTATTAAAAATCTTTGATCATTATTTTTATGTGGCATATAAATAGAATATAAGTACAGTTAAAATAGCACAGGTTGTATTATTGATAGAAGGCAATTAAGTATTCCATAATTTCATGTAAAAAAAAACATTCGTAGCTCCAAGCTCAGCTTGAACGAATTGCTAAAGTCAATGCAGACTTGAGGCGCAAGAACACAAGCCACAAGAAACAAGCCAGGGTTTTGTTGGAGGAGAAAGTGGATCTGGAGTCACAGCTGCACACTAAAGACGCAGAGGTGGAGCACATAAAGAAACTCATGGTGGAGCAGGAGAAGTATGATGAGCAGCGAGCGGCTGTTAAAGCCGTGGTGGAGGCCAGTAAAAGTATTGAGGAAGAAGAGGAGGTTAGTGTCATCATCTGAGTCAGCTATTTATTTAAATTGATCAACTGTATTATAATCAAGACTTCTCACCAGGTGTTTATTAATTCATGTTGAAGAAATCTGTAACAGCCCAAGTAAATTACAAAGTTTTAGCATTGGTAAATTTAATCATGGATTTCATTAAAAAAAATTTAAATCTTTGAAGCAACGTGAAGCCGCTGACGGTGAACCGATTCAACAACAGATTGTCAAAGCCACAACCGTCACCTCCTCAACAGAAACAGATGTCTCCCATGTGTTAAGTCCAGGTAGTCCAACCTCAGGGTTTGACCTTGAAGGTAAACTGGTCATAGATCTTAAAGATCCTAACAGGCCCAGGTTTACCTTACAAGAATTGAGACAGGTTTGTCTGCACTTAAACCTTTTTCATTTTTTCTTTTATTGAAAATGTTTAGCGCTATCACACATTAGAAAATACATTGAGTACACATTAAACCTATTGAGGTTTAAACATATCTGATTTGGGTTTTTTAAAATAATGTTCTGTATTGAGCATCTAAGCTATTTTAAAAAAATGGTAAGATTGTTTTTGACTGGTCAGGTTTTAATGGAGAGAAATGAACTGAAGACAAGACTTATAGAAGTGGAGGATGAACTGGCGCATTACAAGCCCAGGTAAACTATACCAGTGTTGTAAATACTATGTTGTTTTATTTGATTGCGAAGCTGATTATATTTCAGTGTTACTCTCTCAATTTTGTCCCTTCTGCCACAATAAATATTTGGTCTCTATTGTATTCTAAGTGAATGAAAACATCAAAACATTGCTTGATTTAAAAAAGAATTTTTTTATAAGAATAAATCTAATGTACTGTGGATTAAAATGTGTAATTTAAAGTCTTAGATGCTTATTCGTGGCACTGAACAGCTCTACAATTGTAAATAACAAACATGTTTAAATTCTTTTCGGTTTTAGATTATTAATTTTTTAAAATTTTTATTGATTTTTTTTATACTAATCTTATATAACCATAAATAGTAGTTCAGCTAGAATAATTTTTTCTAGATCATGCTAATCTTTGCTGCATTGTCTTGTTTGGCTCATGAAAGTATTTTTGCTATTAACTGCTACACTCTATAACCTGTTGTTGTTGGGTTTTCTTGTTATATGAACCACATAATTTTAAAATAATTTTTTTTCTATTAGAACACTCCTGTTTTTTTTTTTAAAATTTTGACAGGTAGATATCCTTTATTTGGAACAGTAAACTGTTTCCTATATTGATTACAAGTGGGTCCTATTTTGGAATGGAAATTACATTAAATGACAATAGTTCATTAAAAAAACTTGATTTTTTAATATTTTTAACCAGAGAGTTGTACGTTATATTTTTTTATGTTTGGAAGATGTGATATTACATTTCAGATGTCTTAAGACATGTCCGTCCACATTTTATTTTGAAAATCCTGTGTTAGGTTTTTACATTTTTACAGAACAAAGCTTATTGAAATTAGTTGTTTCAGCTTTTATGTTTTATGTGTTGCCAACATATAATCTTCTGTGCTTGTCTCCTCAGCATGTATGTATTTTGTCTAAAACCATTTGTGTTTTTTTTTTCTTTTTCTTCAATTTTCTCTGGTTCACTTCTACCCCATCATGTACTGAATATCAGAGAGGACCCTAATGCCCAACCTGATGGAAAAGATGAAGATGAGTAAGTGTTTTGTTTTTAATAAACTAAAAAGTGTGATCTCCTGACTACAAAGAGTGGTTCAGTGTTAAGAGGATGAGTACCCTGAATTGAATTCAGCAATACTGAAATTTTTTTTTTCATTGTCTGATTAATTTTAATACACTCCAAATTGAGCATACAAATAACATCAATTATAAATTGTCTTTATTTCTATTTAAAACAAAAATGAAAGTAGCTTAACTATTCTGTAACTTATATTCGAACAGATCAAAGAAAAAACGCTCTAAAAAACTAAACCCATTTTCAGTGAGTTTTAGGTACAAAGGATTTTCCATATACATTTATTTTTTCACACTTATCTCCCTTCTTGTGGAACTTGAAGTGGTTATTTTGTTTGTGGTGTTTGCTATTGAAGTCATTATTGGTGATATTTTGCTTTTTGGGGTTACTTGTGCATTTTAAAAATATACCTCTTTTTTTTTGTAACATGCTATTAATTTTTTTTTTAAATTAATCTCAAATAACCCTTTAATCATAACTGGTTTGGTTATGAACATTATTAGCTTTTAAAATTTTAAAAAACTTTTAGCTTTGTTTTAGAATAAATAGATTTTTTTGCTTTCCCATATGTTCTATTTGATGTTCAGAAAAAGCTGAAGATCAATAGAAATATGAAATGCTCTTATCTGGAGTAGGTTTGTTGACTTGAAGCTGATTGGTTAAAAATGATCTTATGCTTATTTTCTTTTATAAACTAACAATATATATATATATTTATAATATTGAACATCAACATATTGTTTAGTAAATTAAAATAACATCGAACTATTGTTAGTGTTAAGCCAGTTTAGTCATATAATATACTAAACCAGGCTTTGTCTATTATCAAGGTCATTTTTATTTTTGGGAGCACATTGCTTGTTGATAGTTTTCAATTTCTTTTAATTTCTTCAGTATGAGTTACTCGCCCTTTCTTCTAAGGGCACTTCAAGTAAGCTATCCAAATACTCACCATTTTTAAGCACATATGAGGAGATGGGGAGAGTCAGTTTGGTGGGTGGGTGATGTAGGGTCTCTATTTATCTACAACAGGGGTCTCCAAACTTTTCAGTCTGAGGGCCGCATTAACTATCAAATTTCAGTTCGGGGGCCAGTTTCTTCCAGGAATGTCTTTAATTTTTCTGGGCAAAGTTCCTCGGCCATCACCAACAAACGTTTTTTCCGTGGACAAAAAGATCTCCGCGGGCCGGATGAGAGTACATCGCGGGCCGCATCCGGCCCACGTGCCGTAGTTTGGAGACCCCTGATCTACAAGATTCACCACACAGCTGACTGGAAAATTCTGGTCCTGTGTGGTTGTTCCATCTGATCTTGTGCTCGTCTAGTTGTCAGGACAGTAAATGAAATTTTTCAAGCGTATTCTTCAAGTTTTCAAGAGCTTCATGTTCTGGTAGCTGATGTCTATTTATATCCATGTCTGGAGAGTGGATAGATCCATTACATTCTCTCTTCAACTTTTTGGTATCATTGCCGTACATGACCACAAACACTTGTATTATTTTTTCCTCATATCTATCTTTTTTGTCTCTTGATCAAAATTTTGCACAGTTATTATTTTTTTAAAATTGGTATTTATTTTCTGTGAAAAGGTTGCTACTACATCTTTTATTTTCCTTAACTTTCTTATTTTACTTTTTTAAAAATTTGTCATGACAAATTTTATGTATAATTATTGAGAACATGAGTAGATATATTGTATATATACTTGGAGTAGCTAAGAGTATCATAACAATTCTGTATAAAATTGTCTTTTGTTGTGTTTACAGAAGATCTTCCTACACCGGTGAGGAAGTTTTGGTCTATGGGCCAATCAATAAAGAGCCTGATGAAAAAACTGGAGTTAAGCGAGAATCTGGAATAAGAAAATTGTAAGTACTTTGTTTTGCTTTTGTTTTGAGTTTACAAGGGGAATAAAGATAAAATTTTTTATAGTAGCACTTTTTCAGCCTAAAAGGTTATCTTATTTGTTATTTGTTGTTCTGTTCTTAGTGCATCCAGTTTTAGCAAACGGTAACACAAACAAGTGCATTATGTTTTAGAAAGCAGTAATGAAACTAATTGTATTAAATTTAGAAAGGATTAACACACATAATTAAGTGCATCCAGTTTGAGCAAGCGGTAACACAGATAAGTGCATTATGTTTTAGAAAGCAGTAATGCAACTAACTGCATCAAATTTAACAAGGATTAACACACACATAATTAAGTGCATCCAGTTTTAGCAAGACTTGAAATAAAAATACCAATTTGATTGCACTCTAGCTGAATCATTTGTTACAAGTAAAATTATTTCTTTATCACTAAAAATATTTTTAGATTTTTAATTTTGCTATTCCAAGAACTAAATATTGTGTTCTAGAAATAACATAAACTTTTTTGTTGTTTTTCTTAAAAGATATTTTTGTAGAAAATATTATTTCTTTATATCTAGAAATTGACATATATACTGTATAATGTAAACTTGTTCAACTTTGTACACGTATTTGTCTATTGTAAAGTCCACTTTATTTAATAAAAGGGAATGATTTCAGCTACTTTGTTAAGTTAGAGCTTTGTTAACCCTTGGAATTATTTGATTCTTTGAATAAATTTCAGAGCAGAATTTTTTAATTGATTTGTTTGTAGCTGAGCTTTATTTCCTTTGGGTAGGATTGTCCAGAAACTCACCAAAGTGGGTGTCCTCTGACCTTTTAAGACCTGTTAGCTTCTTTTGCTTATTCTTTTGGAAGTGCAGCTTTATAAAATGGCTTCCTCTAGAGAAATTTGATGCATGACAAAAATAATCAACTAACTTTGTCTAAACAAAATGTAGCTCTTATGAGAAGAAACAGCAAATATTCATTGGGATTACAGAAATATTTCAACGGTAACATTTTTCATTAAGAAAGAGCGAAGTTTAGTGCTCGCTTCAGTTCAGCTTCACTGTTTTTATATGAGATCAGTTTTTATTTTATTTTTCTAATTGCATTTCTGCATGCTTTTATCAGAGCTACGTTTTAGCAGGTTTTTATTTGCTTTTTGCTCTACCAAGTTGTAGCTACCAGAGTGATAAGTCTTAACTTCCTGTTTATTTTCATACCTCTTTAGTTTAGAAGTTATCAACAGCTATCTTGGGGCTGAAATCGTAGAAGTAGAAATCCTTTGGTGCTGTTTTTTTTTAAAAATAGGTCAGGGATAATGAAACCTTCTGTTAATGTATACTAACCAGTTGTATCCTTGGTCAGGGTTATTACAAAACTGCTGTGCCTGTCTGTGTTTAAAGTAATTTAATGTTTATTCTCATGGCAAATTATATTGAACCATCATAACTTTTCTACTTGACTCTCCTTACCCCACCACCATCTTTAGCTTTCAGCAACTTCTTGACAATCTGCCTATCCAGCTGGATATATGACTGAAATGAGCCTAGACGTATGGACATTCACGTCATTCTGTGTCTTTGTCTAGTCTGTTGCCTTTATTTTTACTTAGGTCTTGACATTTCAATGAAATTTTGTTTTCTTGCTTTTTGTTTTGTAAACGCATGGTTAATGTTTTTACTATAAAACTTTTAAAATTCCATTTACCATAATGTAATTAATTTCCAAACAGTACGTGGACCTACATTTTTATTTATTTATTTTTAAATTCAAGAAAAAGTGAATATAGTAATTAACTTTTCTAAGTAGGCAGCAAGTTTCTAAAATTCTAAATTTTCTAATGTTTTCTTACAAATCAAACTGTATTTTTAAAAATTTGGTACTCTTTTTAAAAATTTTGTATTGGAAAATGATAGAAAATGTTCAAATTTCATTGATAATGTAAAATCTCTTTTGTATCCTAATTGTTGATGTGCATGTACCATCATTTCCATATCTTTTCCCAGTCATGGTTATAGTTTAGCTGATGTCAGTGTTGCAGTTGCCTGTTGCAATTGGTTTTTTTTTTAAAAATCCTTTTCCATAATGATAGTTTTATTTTTAGCTAGTTTTTAACAATGCTTTGGATCATTTTCCACAATAGTTTGTTTATCATTTCACAATTGTCTTTTAATATATTTAGACCAGTTTGGGTTGCTATTTGTAAAAAAATTGTTCAACTGCTATAATTTCTCAGAAGTTGTGATGTGCTGACTTTGTTCTTGATTTCTCATTCCTGTTATGATGTTTGAAATGTTCTTACAAAATACCAGCTTTCCAAAGTTCTTTCCAACAAATTCAAACTTGATCTGAATTTCTTTAAACATTGATTTGTTATTTGCATCCTGTGTTAAGTCTCCAATTCGATTTCTCATTGCTAAAATGATAGTGTTCTAATTACTGAGTTTTTATTCTAATGTGCATATTTCTAGCTTATTGGCATGCTCTAGTTTTTATTTGGTTGGTTTTGTTCTGTGCTCATGTTTTGGTTGGACCATGGGCCCAGTGTGCTGCTTTAAGATATTTTTAGCATGATCTCCTGCCATCCGGACTCAGCTGAGAACAACTGGCTGTTTGTTTGTCGTTTCGCTGCCTAGAAAACACGCTGCCACTGCTCTTGTGTTTGTTTACTGTGCTGTGCCATCTTCCTTTATTATTTCTTGCTTTTTGTGTGTCGTTCGCAGATTTCTGCGTTTCTTAGAGGCGGGCTTAGACACACTTTTGGGTTCCGATGTAGATGAAGAGGAAGAAGAAGAAAATTCTGAGCTTCCAATGTACAGCATAAACCGCTGTGCCAAACCTTTGCCATATGGCATGAAGGAAACTAAGTTTTAGTTTTGATCTGGGGAGGTACGCTCTCGTGCCTGTTTGCATTCCTCTACCTTCAATTTATTTTTAGTTTGCCCTTTGTTTTCAACCAACTTTTTTTTTCCTTTTGTTTCAACTCAGCATGAAGTTTTTTGTTAGTTCTTACTCTGTCATATACAGTATATATAGATAGGTTTTTTTTTGTATCTGCATTTATAATCTTCAAAAAATATTTGGAAAACTATTCAGCACATTGCAAAGTTTTACCTATACTTGTATTTAGTGTTTTTGTTGACCAATAGTGAACCCTTTACCTGTCTCATTTTCATACAAATATACAGAGTTACTCAGTTATATACCTCTAAATCTTGTTTATACATTTGCCTTAAAACCGCAGGATCTGCACTATGATTACATTCTGTTTTTAACTATCTTTTTGCTTAAGCATCTTCATTTTGCACCTACAAATTTATGGTGAAATTTACATGTAAATTTATGGTGGAGGTCTTGTACCCTTACAAGGGACACAACCAGTAAAGAGAAAAATCAGTCCAATGAAGTACTAGATAATAATTGCTGTAAAACCTATACCAAGTTCTATATAAAAGTACACAAAACCATATTATTCAAATTATGAGTAGCGTTTCTTTCACGCCTTCTTGTACAGCATAACATTTATTGAGAGGACTTTTGTGTTTTGACTAACAAGTAAATGTTCTAAAGACAACAGTATGCATGAATGTCATTCATAATGAAAGTAGCTAATGTCATATATTGTATGTGTAGTAATAACTTTTCCCCCTTGTATTAACAGAACAGTGTCTATTCATTTGTCTAAATAGTGCTAAATGGCATTCTAGAGTTTTTTTTCTTGTACTTTGCCAGGTATTCTTTCCATTTTGATGCTTAATGTCTTGAGTTTTTTTATGCATCAGTATTGTTCTAGCTTCATACGGTCTTTATTGCACATATTCCTTTAGGCTACTAATTCAAATTTTTTACACTGTATTTTGAAGCTTCAAGGACTGTATTATGCTTATCATTTTATTGCTAGCTTTCACCTGCTTTTTTAAGAAATTAGTATATCAAAAATATAGTTTCATTTAATAATTCTCTACAAAATCAAAATGCAAAGATAAGTTTGGATTGATTCATGATTATGTTTTAAATGTTCAGACATTTTTTATAAAAATTGAAGATCTAACTATAATGTTCTTCTTAGAAGAGCATGTTGTACCTTATTTTTATCAACAACCAGCATTTCAGGAAGGTTTTTTTCTTGTATTTTAAATATACACCACAGAGGTACTTGGTACTAAATTAAAAAAAAAAAACATTTTCCCTTTTACTTTTTACTATCAGTATAATCTTTTGAAAAGGTTAATACATTTTTTTGGGCTTCTTTATTTTCAGTTTTGGTTTTTTGTTTTCGGATGGTTCGAACCCGGAGAAGAGTGCGCAGCGGAGGAAGAATACATTCAGACCATAAACCCTTGTGTCTGCCAAGCAGCATCCAGACATTCCCAGTTATTTTCTTCCAGAGAGTTCAATACGGGTCACCTGACAGAGAGATCATTTTTAACCAATCACACACATCACGGTACAGATTCGCATTTGGATCAAAACAGCGATAGTGATAGCAGCTCATCAGCTCACTTGTTAGAGTTAAGTTTTCCTGTTGCTATGTGGGAAGCTCCAGACCTTTAATTGATTCTGTAGAGTGGAGAGGTAGCCGTCTGGCATCATCTGAAATCATGGGATGGATAGAGGGGTAGATGTGCATGATGTAAATGCTACTTCAAGCTGAACTTGGTTCCTGATATCCTGTGCCAGTTGCCAAAACTTTCCTCTCGGTCTTTAGTTAAATAGTCTGCTCAAATCATTCCTAACAAAAACATAATCATAACATTTGTTTGAGGGCATATGAATTTAAATTTTTTTTAAAGAATTATTTTAAAATCTTATTCATAAAAAAATTGTTAATCACACAACTATTGTAAATATTGTTGAGTGTTTAACTTAACATTTTATTTCAAGAATTGAAGATAATGATCACTATCTGTTCAAATGAATCAATCACAAAGCAAACACTGTATACTAAATAATTTTAATAACTTGAACATTTGTTTAAAATTAAGAATCATGAAAATAAGAAATTAAAAAAATGATGTTCTTAATTTTAAATTAAAGCAACGGTTATGAAGGTAGTCACAATTCACACAACATAAGCTGTTTAGGTATATATTTTGGGCTTAAATTGGGTTGAACATACATAATTACTAGTACTTAAAAAGTTCCGTCTATAATTCTCTAGTCAATTTTTAACAAATAGAAATGTTCTACAGCAAATCACGATTTTGAAATGATTTAATAATTTACATAATTTTCTTACAAATTCTCTCCGCTCATTAATTAATTAATTAGAAATTGTATCTCTATTAAAATTTGCGTTATGGAGATTCTTTTTTTTAAAAATAAATCTGAAAGAAATAAACATAATTTTGGTTAATAATTAAATCACAATGCATTGTTTACTTAATTAAACTGTGCTTGATAGTGTTTGAATTTACAGGAATCTGTCATTCTGAAGATTAAAATAGACTAATCAAAATTTACTATACAGATTTGTCAAATCAAAGCTATTGCTTATAAAAATTATTTTAAAATAAGTCCTGGTATGGGTTTTTTAACAAGTGATTCAGTATCAATTGTACATAATTTTTAAAATCGAACAATGGATGTTAAGAAAGGGAAACATGAATGTTTTTTTCCTCCGCTTAAAGAATACCCTGTTATGTATGTTAAATTATTTTTTAAAAAGATGAAATTTACACATCACTGCTTCCCAAACTTTTTGAAACAGCCGGAAAATACAGTAATGAAAGTATGGATAAAGAGCTGTATTGAGAAGTTAGCAAATTTGTTTGCAGATTTGTTGAAACTGTAAACAACAGTTTGGGAATCATGGACAATTGTTTCAGCTCTGTATCTAATGTTGTGATGGTCCAGTCTCAGCAGTTATTGCTTTTAATATTTATTATGCATATGCAGTTGTTTTTTTTTCTTTCAAAATATGTATTGACTATTTTGAAGATGTTTTTTTAACTTGAGTTTGATAACTTATTTTGTACGGCAAATTGTGTGAACAAATGTGAGCATTCTATAAGGAATGTAAAAACTGTTTTTAAAAGTGATGTTTTCTGTGTTTAGCTGATGCTGTCTAGATTCTTTTCTTTGATCACTAAGTGTCATCAAATTTTCAACAAAAAATTTTTTTCCCAAAAACATTTTTTTTTCTGTATATTTAAAAAAAATGTAAGTAAAAATGTATGTTTATCAAAGCTAAAAGCAGTTTTAATGTTTTGAAAGTATTTTTGTTTTTTAATGTAGTTGATCAGAGAAGCATTTAATGTGAATTTAGTTTTTTATCTTTATCTGGCCAGATTTTTGCATTTTTTTTATTTTTAATACTGTTATAGAACTATTTTCATCTACAAACCTTTAATTTGCATAATGCTTATCCTAAAGTGTCATAATATACAGCCCATTAATGAGCTTCAATAGGAACAATACACTCATTTGTATTTTTTTTTTTTTTTGCAATAAAGGCCAAATTGTAAAAAATGTTTTTAAATACATGATTTTAATTTTTTTTTATATTGTAATATTTTAAATATTTGGTTTTAATTGTCCTTTGTTAACACAGTTATCTTATAAATTGTTTTTAAAATTTAGTAAAATAACTTAGCAAACATTTTACTCCTATTTTCTACTACATAGCATGATTAATGTTTCAAAAAAATTTTTTTCATTTTCCGACTGCTAAAAATAATACTGATAAAAATTCAATTTTTCTTGATAAAATTGATCCACCAATACTAGTTCAGATTCTCTAATGCCTCAGTCCCACCAGTCAACTCATAACCCTCAACTAAGACTGTTATTTCCTATTTAATTTCAGAAATCTCATCACCAAAAAAATTATAGTATTATAGCTATTAAAAATCCTTTATTGTTGGCTTTTCTGTTATCAAATTCACGTTAAAATTAGCTTTTTTTTGCTTGAAAATGAACATGCTTGTGTTGATGTAATGTTTGTTTCATGTGAAATAAAAATCGTGGCTGTGAACTGGCAACTGCTGGTCAGGTTGATCTTATTGTTTAAAACAGCATTTGATTGTTTTATGTACATTTTTTTAAAGCCATAATTTGTTTCTCACACTTGTTTTTGTCCCCTCTTTCTCACCATTGCCATATGCCAGTTAAAACTTATGTAGACATGTAAATTTTATCTGGTTGCTCAAAAAGTTTTTTTTTTATAACACATAAAAAAACAGTCAATGGATAGGAAAAACATACAGTGGCTTAATATAAAAATTTGTTTTGGGAAAATATATTTGCTATGGTTCTATTTAATTTTAGCTATCATTTTATTTATTTTAGCAATCATGTTCTATTCCTTGCGATAAGTATAAAAAATGTGGATACACTTTTACCTCATAATGTGAGGGGTTTAGTTTTTACTTTGAAAGCCATCCCTAAAAATATAAAATATTTTAATACAAATCCTCTGTGGCTTTGGGCAAGAGTGTGGAGTTTTTGGAAAGTTGTGAACATTTTTACTTATGAGGTTTGTTTGTAATAAATTTTATTCAAGTGTGCTGGTGTAATTAAGCACATAACTATATTAATAGCAGGTTTTTCTCTTCCCATAATGCCATAATGTGGTTTTTATATTTCTGAAAAAATAATGTACTCTTTCTTTGGGTTTCAAAATTTTTGTCAATCCTTAAAACATAAGCTACTTGTAGCAATTTGACACTTGGTAATATCTATTATTTTATACGTTGTATTTTTTAATATACATAGACATTTCATAATAGTGGTGATAAAAATATAGCCATATTATACAGTTTTGTGCCATTTTCAAGTGGACAAAGTGCTAAAAATAAACTATTTTGTAAAAATTGTGAATGATTACTAGTGTTTAGTTACTGCTGTATGTAGATGATGAAAGCTTGTTGTTACCCACTGTACTGGGCTGACCAAAGCATGCAACTTTCTGTATGTGGATGACAAATCTAGGAGTGAACTGTATTTAAAATAACTAAATGATTTACTCATGGGCAAAGGTAATTTTTAAAGAAATTTGTGACCAGATTTTTAATTAATTAAAATTTTCCACTAAAGACACTAAGCTGTTCATCAGTAAAAAGTCATTGAACTTAAGAATTAGGTCTAACAACACAATTACAAACATGTAAAATAAATTGCTTTGTGGCCATGGCTTTTCACCTTAATTTTGAGCAGTTTTGTGTAAGATGTATATTACATGAAGTGTTAGTTTTTGTATTGGTGAAATGTTCTTGTTTGAATATAGCATTTTTGTTTACCCACAATTGCGTTTGTTATTTTATAAACAGAAAACTGCATCACAAACAATGTAATAAATTCTTCAAATTTTTTTTTAATTACATCATATCCATGTAAGTTTTTTCAAGTTCACAAGGAACAAATTAAAATAAAATACATTTGAATCAACTCTAATATTAACAGTTCATACATAACTACCATGCAAGCTAGGCATATTGGGCAAGTATATGCCTACCATGGATACAATCTTAACAGCAGGGAAACACAATGCACTTTAAAGAGATACACATTAATTAATTTCAAACATTAAAGGTCCTTACTTCATCAAGGATGCTTTATATATACAGATGGCTCATCCAAATATGAAAAATAAAACAAAGCAATGTTAGGGGGGAAACTTCCGCACTATAACTGACAAAACATTTAAAAACAGTGTCCTGGTGAAAGGATTTAATTTCTCAAAATCAAATGAAAATTTTTTTTTTTGGTGTTTTAGAATATACTTGCAACACAAACAAAAAAATTAAGTATCTCAAAAAGATTGTATAAAGCTTTGCAAGTGACATTAATATGGCATTGTTTTTGGCACATTTGACTATGAAAAATGACCCAGTCAGAATCCCTGGTCCAAGTGGGTGAACATACTTTCTATCATGCTTTCAAGAAATGAATTAAATAGTTAACTTTATTTATACAAAAAAAAGATGGTTTATTTATAAGGGTGAAGAGTGAGAAGTTACAGTATTAGCACCAAGCTGATGAACAGCTACTGTAGCATTTTGTTTTATTATGCAAACTTTATTTGACCGATACAAGTTACATTTAGCCATGAAATTTTTTAATCATCATCAAAGCAGAAACGCTTACAATTAGGACACTTATTAGAAATTGGTCTCTAAAACGTATTGAAAAAAGGTAATACTTCCTGTCTCCCCACTATTACAACTAAATAATAGGTTGAATCAATATTTCCATACAACTGGTTGAAAACAAATGACATGAAAAGATATGTACAAGAATGTAAGGAATTAACTGATTCATACACATCTCTAAAATGTGGTTTTGCCACTTAGTACACTCAGATCTACACAAGATATTCACAGATGATTTGAAAGACTCTGTCTGTACAACAATATATCAAGGAATGAATGGTGCTGTCAACTTTACACATTGCACTTCAATTATTTACACACGTGTCATTGTGACCATCTATCTCTAACAGTAAACTATACAACAACCCTCCTACAGGTTTTAGATGTGATCTTCAGGATTTTCTTCAGCTATGGATTTAGGTACGATACTCTTAATTCTTAGAGTAGTAATGCAGAATTTCAGTATTATGCAAATGCATATTGACAGTAGTTCAATAGTTTTTGTATCCACATTGAATGACATCAACCTATTCGATAAAAACCTATATATCAAATACCAACCTTTTATATGCTGTTGTCAATATTAAGGTTCAAATGTTGTCAGTATTAACTTTCAATAATCTTGACAACAATGAACATTTTGCTTAAAATTAACTGGATTTCTTTAAAGAAAAGAGAACAAAGTACTTGTTTTCCCCCCAATTCTGTGATTAAATGTTTGCTGCAAGTTTTGAGTCATTGCTACTGGTAGTTACCAGCCCAACAACATATGGCATACATTCAAGTGTCAGTCATGACACCATCCAGACTAAAAAAATTATTAACCAGACCGGTATTTAAGGCACAAGAAAGGTTTGATCCCATTAAGTGAAGGAAAAAAAATGGCAATGGAAATGTATCAAAAAGCATTATTACTTAATAAATAAACATTTCAATAATTATAAAACATAATTATACAACTCTAAGTTTATGTCTTAAAAAACTTTAAAAAAGCAAATCACTGGAACAAATCCTTTTTCACAATTAATAAATACAAATAGTGCTCTCAATACATTTAAAACTTCCTCAAATGCTGTGTTGAGTCTCCACTCACTTATTGTGTGAGTCTTACTATAAAACTGAAAGACTTTATTAAGAAAGAATTCCAAGAAACTTTACTTCTTGTCCAAATGAAATTTATCCTTTTAAATATAAATAAATTTCCCCTGTTGTAATCAAATGCTACCAAACCAACGTTGGCATACTGAGCAATTCAGGGGGCTCATTCTCCTCAGCCCTCTCATTGCTGCTGTTGTTGTTGTCATTGACCTCTGAGCTGAAGTTGTTGCTGGTGCTTGCAGTGGTACTGACGTTGAAACTTTGATTGTTAGTAAGATTGTAGTGGCTGCTGTTGCTGCCAGGAATGTATGGCTGGTAGTTGAAAGGGTTGTCATGTTTTTCTGTGTAGGTCTTGCCGGAGTCTTGGCTTAGGGTCCTCTCTAGAGCTGTCACAGCATTGGGTGGGATCAGGCTCCCTGAAATGGTTTGCACAAACCATTAGTAAAGTAAAAAGTAAAGTTTCCCTTTCAAACCTGGCGGTCTATGGGGCAAGTGTGGGGCAAGTGAAGTAGAGTTCACTTGTTTCTGTGACCTCGGCATATGAAGAGATAGTGTGGTCAGCACTATGCCCAGCCGCCTTTACTTTCCCTAACGTGAGTTAGGTACCCATCAGAGTTGGGTGGACTCAGGGACGGTTTAATGACTTGAACCCGGATTCGAACTCGAGGCTTACGGGTTAGCAGTCCAGCTCTCTACCGCTAGACCACTCCGTCCCACAAACCATTAGCCATTTGTTTAATTACACAGTGAAACCAAACAAAAATATTTTCTTACTACTCACCAACAATTCTTTGATTATCTTCTGTGCGGAGACGAATAATCTGCATTCTAGAAGTGGCACTCAAACCCACAAGAACACTTTCAACCTTACTCCAGACACTTAACACAGACCCACTCAGCACATGATAAAACCTGGTACGTAAACCAAAGTCACACTGCTGTCCTGTGGCTGCTTTCCTGCAACTGCCTCGCCTGGGGAAAAGTGGAGTTGTTATAATACCTTTAACATTATCACAATTAACCCAACTGTAGGAAAAAATGTTAGTGATGTAGCTTTTTACTTACAAATATTTGTGACTGCACTGTGTTTCAGAGAAGGCGTACTGGTCTTCCCATAGAGGTTCTGCAACATCAGGCAGACATTTCTTAAATTTTTTCTTGATTTCTTCTAAAGTCTCAGGCCGACTTTGTAGACCAGTGTTTGGTCTGTAGACATTATACATCAGCTCTTTTTTCTTATTTTTACCATGGATGACAACCAGCACAACAGTTTTCTTGCACATGCGATCCTGAAATCAAATTCATATCTCAGTTAAAACAAAATACAAATATTTAAGGAAACAAACTTTGAATGTAGGATTGCTTTTTAAACTATGTCAACATGTAACTAATTTATGACTTATCATGTATTTATCCAGCATCATACTTATGTACAATTATTTAGGTAATTTTGTGAATATTTGAATTACAATTAAGTGAATATGTATATACTGACCTGAAGAGAGCAGTAGAAGCCTTCATCCATTGATCCACATCTTCTCCATAGCTCTATAGCTTGCTGCCAGTGCATTCCCCTCTCTACAGCAAACTTGGTCAACTCAGTCTTTGCTGTATTTGTCAATGTATTCCCAACAAATACTTTTGTCTCTATTTTTCTAACCTTTTCCTGGCCAGAGCCAAGATCTAAAATAAAGAGAAAAAGACATGCTTTGAAAACAGCACATTACAAAACAATAGACAGCTATAGGCACATTATAACTCTCCCAAAGGAAAACTAAAAAAAAAGAAAGATTTTAAACAGATTGGAACAGAGAGGCTAAAAATTCCAGCAATTATTGAAACAAATTTAAAAACAAAAATAACCGAGATAAACTTTGAAACCAATTTAACATTATGATAAAAAATGATTTAACATAATCTAACTAAGCACTTACCCATAATGCCCATATCCCATCTGCCATTACGTTTAGCTTCTAAGATAATGGAGGTCAAATTCTCAGTGAAGTATTTAAACAAAGCATTCTGCACTGCAACTTTCATCCCAAGTATGCGATTCAAGAATTTTGATATATTGTTGAAATCTAGGGATATATTTCACAAGGTTAATGTTAAAATCATAAGATCTTGAGACTACAATATTAAAAAGCTGCCAGTTTTAAAAGGTTAGTTTCTGAATATGTAAAAAGATCCCAGTCTTAAACACACTACAGGTACATTTATTCACCTTTTTCTAAGACAGCTGCACCGGTCTTTTCATCAACAGAAATCATACCAACACCAATTAAAGCCTCTTTAACATCTGTAAAAACAAACAACACAGCGTTATTTATGATCAATTTTATTTTATTTATTCTTATAAAAAATAATTAAATAACCATACTCTAATAGATGGTAAGTTACCTTTAAAAAAATCTCCTTGATAATTCTTGGGTGGTGATACAGCTTGAATGTCACAAGGGATATCTAACACAGACTTCATCACAGTTTCCAGAGCCATTCTGCCATACTGTTAATACATTTTAAAATACTCATCAAAAGGGAAACTATGTACCATATTTCTTTATTAGAATTCATGCTATAAAAGAATGTTTCAAATACATATTACATTTTAGCTTCAAAAGGTTGATCTATGCTGTTCAATTTAAATTTAAAAAAAAAAAAATAAGATGTAGATATGAGAATGTCACTACAATTTATTTGAGTTATATAATAGTCCTTAAAAACATTTACTGTTGTTGATAATCTACCTTGTTATCAATGTTAAATCTGCTAAGATCTCTAGTTTCTGTAGCTCTGCGATCACCATGCGTTAAAGCACCCTAAAATTTCAAAAAAAAAAAAACAAACAAGCTAAGAATAATGCTTTCTTCTTGAAATAATGGAATATTTTTCTATTGGCATTTTCATACATAAAAATTTAAATATATTTATTGGATAATGTATACAAACTTTTTGTATGCATCATACACTTTAAATAGCACTTCTAGCAAAGAAATTTAACTCAATATTTAAGTGATGAGTCCTACCAAACTCTCCAGACGTTTCGCTACAGTAGATGCAAATCTTCTCTCTCCTGCCAACTCAGATATTAGAAAGACATATTCTGGGGCACTAACTTGGTTAGATCTGTGTGAACGACCTGAAATGAGTCCCAATAGCCAGTTAGTCTCAGAAGTCATTAAATTTTTATTTTCTTTATTTTCTTTACTTTCTTAGTCTAAGTTTGAGATATTTAAAAAATGAAATGAATGCCATACCAAACTGCTGTATAGCCCTATCAGCACTCCAGGGTAATTCTAATGTAATGTGAACTCTTCTTCTCTGATTTATAGCTCTTCTGTCTGCCTGGAGAGATATACCAGAGCTGGCTGCCTCTGAGATAATGGCTATAAACTGTCAAATTAAAAGAAAATAAATTAAAATTTTTAACATCGTCTCAGGTTTTATTTCTACCAGACTTGACTCAAAATTTGATAGATAACCATATCTCAGTCCTATCATTGTAAAAGAAATCAATAAATATTAAAATATATTCATTGTAAATGCTCTTAAAAATGTCATCACTGATATGGCTGAAACATAATACCAAGAATTTTTTTCCTTGCATAATATAATTCCATAACTATAAGTTCAGCTATTAACTGAAATTGTATAAATTGTACAATATAAATTGTTTTCACCTTTTCACCATCCATGAACCTCTGTTTTTCGGTCAAGTTCAGAATTTCAAGAGAAACGTCAGCCTCAGATCTAGATTCAAACTGTACTCCATCAGTTGTAGAAACAACACGTGATTTGCGACCAGTCATCTAGTGGGATAATCAATAATTTAATATTAGTAAATAAAAAAGTTAAAAACATATAAGCAACTAGTTAATAAAGATAGTACTTTAGTGTTTTTTGTCAGACATTTTATTTAAAATGATTTAGATAGATATCCATATCTCAGTCCTATCATTCATAATCAAAGAAAAAAAATCATGTTAAAAAAAAGGCTCTAATGAATCGTCATTGATATGGTTCAAATCAATTACTTGCAAAATTTTAATGGTGAAGTAAAAATATTATGTCAGCTCACCTCAGCTACACTCTCTGGGCCTCCAAGGTCATCTATCAGTTGATCCAGTGTATTTGGTGGGAGCTTCTCACCCAAGTATTCTATTCTTGCCAAAAGTTCAGATTTCATTGCACTCGCCTTTTCCCAGTTTCCAGAATCTGAAAGAGTTTAAAATCAATATCTGACGTAGAACATACATGACTAGCCTTCAAATAAAAAATGATACATGTTTATAAAGCATATTAATACATGACAACCTTAAAAAGAAATTCTTACGGCCATCAAATCCATTAGTTGAGGTTTTATTTAACAGGCCAGCTTTAGCCAGAGCTTTATCAAACACTGCATCTTCATCATCACTGGCATTCTTCTTGGAATCCTTATCTTTCTTTTTCTTTTTCTCCCTTTTCTTTTTCTTAGGGCTTTCTTTTTTCTTTCTCTTCTTCTGGCACCAAGGATCATCTATCATTTTTAAGTAAAACATACAAAACATTAATATAACAGAGAGCATGTTGTTTTATTTACAGGGTTCCTACACCAAAGTGAACTTAAAATTTCAGGAGAATGCCAGGTGTTTTTCAGGAGAAAAACCAAAATTTCGAGACATAATTTAACATTTAAACGGCTCAACACCTCCCCCCAATTTTCTACTGAGAAACATATTAAGCCTAGCAATCATAGCCATATCCCAGTGTCAAGTGTCTTAACCCCTCTCCACCTCACTAATGTCAGCCTCCATACTAACAATGTCAATAATAATAAAAAAACAGAACTGCTGAAACCATGATTTATCTTTTCAAAATGGACATGGTATCATGATTTAAATGGAAGTCTTCAAAAGTAAATAGCCTAACTAATTTTAGCTTTTTACCATTTGATGAACAAGTAGATCAACACGAGTAGCTTAGATATAGCTACTAGAAATAAACTGTACTTTGGAAATAAAACATTTCAGCCAAAAATAGAATATAGTTTTCTGATAAGTAACTTCTAAGTATTCTTTTAAAATTGCCAGTAGCGTATTCACCCCCTCCCCCTCAGCTAGACACGGTAGCGCAGGGTCAGTTTGAGTTCATCTAAGCTTATGGTTGGCCTGTAGTATACTGCTGATGACATCACTAGCGGGTCACACAGAGTTAATTTCATACACCCAACCAGCACTACCCCACCCCGCCTTGGGAAAGAGATTGTGATGCGGGATGGGAGGGTGGTAGTATTACAACATCCATGTCAATAGAAAGTAGATATAGGGCCTATCGGACTATGTTACAAATTAGCTGGGCACAAAACTAGATTTGGGCCTACTTAAAATTTTTAATTAAAAAAAAAAAGAACTTCAGGCCTATCAAACTGAGCCGCGCTCATAGAAGTGAGAAAAAATTAAACCAAGCCTACAGGTTAAAGACAGGTCTATAATTTGAAAATTATGCCATGTATGTGCAGAATCGACAAAGAAGAACATTTTACTGGGGGCGGTCAGATCAGATTACCTAGAGATCAAACGCATGAAAAAAAATATACGCTAAAATTATCCAAGTTAGTAAAATTTCAGGACTTTTTACAAAATTTCTGGAGAAATGTTAACATTCCAGGAGAATTTCAGGTGTTTTCTGGATTTTTAAAATTCAAGGAGAATTCCTCAGGGCTGCCTACCCCAAAAAAATTTTCCCCGTAACAAGAGCATAGGTTTTCCGTAAATTTCAGTATTTTTACAAATTTTTTAAATACAATGTAAATAAGACCCATATTATATGATCGTAAAGCTCATCAGCGTAATGATGACAGTCTGCGACTCGTGCTACTTTTTATTTTATGGACTAATAATTAGTTTTAAAAAAAAACGCCGTTAAATTCAGAATGTAAGGCGACAATGGAAAATTTCAAATAGGAATTGTTCTTGCAATGAGTAGTATGACGTATGAATAGGCCAACACTACGGATATCTAAACCAATGTGAACTCAGTGACCCCTCGACTGTGTGTATGTCAGGATTTTTTCTCCCGCGAACAAGAAAACGTAAGTGGCCGACGGGTGACGATGTTTAGAATTAGCATATTTCTTGAATATTTTTTTTTTAAATCTACATTTTATCAATGTAATATCTAGAAGAAAAGAACAATTTTAAAAATATGATCCGTAATTGATCTAGGTGAGCCTAGATCTCGTTGTTTAGTAAAATCTTGTCTTCTCGCACATCTCAAACAAAATGCCTCGATATCTCGCTATTTAGGCATTTAGCCGTAATACCGCCTCAGCAAATGTCTAGCCAGACTGCGCGACCAGACTTTCAATGATTTAGGCCACACCCTTTTTTTCTCTCCGGACAACACCGGCTCATGAGGTAACACAGACCACTTGCGGGGTCAATAGTTCACAATATAAACACGACTGCCGCCAGCCATGACATGAGCGGGAAGGGAAGGGGGATTGTTACGGAAGAGGCTGAGAACCTTAGAACCGGATAACACACTGAAATATAACTAGCTTAATTAAAATATAAAACTCAGACCAGGAACATAAAGTTAAGTTACCACCAGAAATTTTTTTTTTTTTACACTTAAGTCGATTTTGATCTTTACTGAAATCAAAACCGTAATTTTGCAGCATAATCGTAATTCCGTAACCTGGGTGTCAAAATCGTAAAGTTACGGGCAAAACCGTACAAGTAGGCAGCCCTGATTCCTGGACATCCTGAAATTTCAGGAGGCAGCGGGAACCCTGATTTAATTTAAATGACAAAAAACTATTTACCATCATCACTGTCCCAACCATTTGCAAAAGGGTTGCGTTCTTCATCATCACTATCAGATTCACTTTCAGAAGAGGACATGTAATCTATGTCACTTATATCTGGTGAGGAATCATTACTCTCTGGGTCACTGCTATCGTCATTATTTCTTTTTTGACGTTTATTTGGAGGCTCATCTGAATCTGAAAAATTCAAACAAGTTTTTGATGAAGGACAGAAAAATTTAAAACTAAGCTTACTTTTTAAAATAAATATTTAAAGATAAAACAAACATTTAAAAAACTATTATGAACTTCTAAAACTTTTACTTTTTTTCCACGAGTTAGGAGAATCTTTTTGTTTTTGTTTATGGCTATTGCTGACTTGCTTGATAATGTCCATAGCTCTACCACGAGTTGATGCAGGAAAATGACGCTCAACCAAAGATTGGAACACACCCCTAAAGACACAAGAGATGTGTGTGACAATAACTAATTTCATTACTACCCAATAATTTTAATAGCTTTAGTCACAAAAGAAACAGCTGCCATAAATAAATTACTATCAATAAAGGCCCAAGGGAGTATTGTCAATTATTATTTATTAGATGTTTGCAAAATGGTATTGTGACTTATACAGTACAAGTTATAAAGGGATAATTGAAATTTTTTTTGAAAAAGAATTCAAAGCGGCTATAATAAATACCTATAATTTATTATATATTCATATAAAATTCTAGGTTCACTAAAGACATACTTGGCAGTGGATACAAAGTCAGTCAGGTCACCACCTGCCTCCTCTACTTGCTCCAAAGTTCTAGCTTCACCAGTAGATTGTAAACCTATCACAACACACTGTAACAAAAAAATTAATTTATATAAATAGCAGGGAAAAATAAAAATTTAATAGAAAAATGAACACAGCTGTAATTACAGTAATAAAATGATATTAAAATAAAGAATAAGTTTTTTTATTAATCAAAGTATAATAGTGTTGATAGGAAATTCATACCTTTCCACACTTGACTGCATCTCTTGCAAGATCTACACAATGATTCACTTTTGATGATATACACAAATATTTGAAAAACCTCTGGTGAGCTGACCAAAACTGACCCCACATGCTTTTTTTCATTCTGTGCTCAGCCTCAATTAGTTCTGCTGCCTTTTGAAACATCTCTCTTGCTTCTACCCACTGTGATAAAAAAAAATTTTCCTTTAAAAAAATAAACTATGGTTTTGTAATAACTATTTTTGCAAATATTTTTTTAAAAATTACCATTTCAACTGCAAGGTTATAAACTTTCACAAAATCTTTTTCCAAAGGGATTTCATCAATTCTAAATGTCACTCCATGAAAGCTGAGTTGTCTGGCTATGTACATTCCTCTCAATTTTGCATCCATGGCAACCAGCTCCATAGCACCAACACCTCTGAAATTTTAATTAATTTGATAAAGCTTTTGAATAACGTTTAACACCAAATATTAGAAAACTAAGAAATCACATGTAATAATTTAAAATAGGTTAACATACCTTCGCTCAACAGCTTGAATGAAATCATTAAACTCATTGAATGGTGTCCCTTTTCCCCAGAGACCTAGCCGAGTCATATAGGCCATGTTTCTGGGCTCAGTAGCTCCTGTAGCTGAAGCATACACAACCCTAGCCAAGGGCAAGCGATTCTGTAGCTCTAATACTGTTTGACCTGTTTTAGTAGGTTTGCTTGAGCCAGTTGGACAAAGATTCTTTGCTTTGTGGCACTCATCAAAAATAATATACGACAAGTTAAGGATTATATTTTCAAAGAGTTTTTAAAAAAAAACCTTGCAAGTGTATGAACATTAAAAACATTAGTATTTAAGTAATGCACAATTATCCAACATGCAGTTAGGCAAAAAATAACGTAAAAAGTTTTCAAAGCTCTAAAATAAAGCCTTATCTCAGCCCTATCATTTGCTGATCATCAAAAATCAATATTAGCTCATAGTTTTCATCACTGATAAGGCCTTGGAGAGAGCAAAACAACAAATATAAAGCACTAAGCTATTTTTGTGTTAGAAGAAGCCAACATTGATACTACTATAGGTGTAAAATAATTTCAGCATCATTTTACACAATAAAAATTTCTAAAGACAATATTTAATAACAAAACCAATTCAATTTTTAGAAGATGCTTTATCTCAGCCCTATCATTTGCTGATCATGTATCATCAATATTTGCTCAGAATTTCATCATGGATAAAGCATTAAAGAACGGGAGCTAAATAAAGTATACAACCAATAAATATCACTAAACTATTCTTGCAAAAAATAATGCAACGTTAATTTTGGTAAGAGATGTAAAATTATTTTGGCATTATGATGCTTCTTTATGGGATGGCATGGTCAGATGGGTAGAGCACACAAGTTCAGATCTGGGCTTGAGTCTATAGGATGGCCAGAAGTATGTCCAGCCCTGATGGAAACCTCACTCACAAAAGGCAGTTGGTTATAATGCTGACCACACTATCTCTTCATATGTGGAGGTCACTTCATCTACCCACAGACCACAGCTTCAAAAGGCTAACACTTTACTCTATTGTTTCTTTAGCTTGCAACTATTTTATAGATCACATTACTTTATTAATAATGCCTCATCTCAGTCCTATCATTTGCTGATCATCTAAAATCAATATTTGCTCACATTTTCATCACTGATGAAGGCATAAAGGGAAGAAATATTAGCAAACTACCACACATGTGTGCTGAAATAGGCAATGGTTGATCTTTGTATATAAATGATATTGGGGTGCAGAATGCTTACAACTTAATATGCATAAATATTTAAAATAATATACCGGGAGTGATCTCCTCTGAACTTTCTAATATGTTGAAAACATTGTGAACATTGTGTTTATAATAAAGCAGAAAATCAGTGCTTATTAAAAAATTTGCACAATTACAATACTTCCGTTATACGAGGAAGTAAGAAATTATAAAACCCATTCCATATTGTTTTAGATACAATTATGTTTTTAGATGCCATACCTCAGCCCTATCATTTGCTGATCATCTAAAATCAATATATGCTCAAATTTTCATCAAAGATATGGCATTAAAAAAAGCCCCAATACAAATGTTATATTTAAATTGGGTTATCATAACTTTTCATGACAAAATAATACTAACTGTACATACTTTAATGCAGAAATTTATTTAATTAAAGACATCAATTTATAAAATTAATATAGTCTAGTTTCTATACAAGAAAAGCAAGCAGTTTAGCAATAAGGGAATTAAAATTGTACCAAACTTTAACACATTAAAACACATTTTTCACATGTATTAATTAGATATTGCTATGATGCATTATCTCAGCCCTATCATTTGCTGATCATCAAAAATCAATATATGCTCAAATTTTCATCACAGATAAGGCATCAAAAATGCATTAAAATAAAAGTTATATATAGTGGGGTTATCTATGGTTCATTTACACATTTGATTACAAAATAATACTAACCACATACTTGGAATGCAGCAATATTTATTAAACTAAAGACAGCAATTTATAAACGCACTACAATCTAATTTTATATATTAGAGAAAAAGCTGTTAAGCAGTAAGAGAATTATAACCCTCCCAAATGCAGATGTATCAGTTATAGCTAGCAAGAAAGAATCTCCATGATTTTGTAATGGTTCAGAGAACACTAACATTTTTCACATATAATAATCAGAAGTATGGATGTAAAGTAATTGCTACAATGCTTTATCTCAGCCCTATCATTTGCTGATCATCTTAAATCAATAATTGCTCAAATTTTCATCATTGATAAAGCATCAGACAGCACATTTTTTTTAAAGCTACTGTTAGCAGGGTTCATGCTCAAAAGTTCAAATAAAATTCCAGGAGTTTTCCAGGACTTTTCCAGGAGTTTAAAAAAAAAATTCAAGGAGATTTTAAAAACAAAAAAGAAACCCAATTTGTAATTTTTTTTTAAAAAAGCGTACTTAATAATACATTTAATTAGCTAAGCCAATACAAAAATTTAATTTCAGTAAAAGTTACATATTAGGATAGAGGCTATCAATCTGACTACAGACCAGTTAGAATTTTCAAAATCTGACCATAAACAAAAAATTTATGATTTTTTTTTTGTCATTAAAAAAAATAGCAGATTTTTCAGACAACCCGGATAGACCCTGAAAGAGGAAAAATACTGGGAGGGTATGGACCAAATTTTAAAGAGTTTTTCACTATAAAAGAGGTATAAATGCAAGCAGACTTCACCAATTAATATCATTTCGTGATATTTTATTGATTTTTGGATGCCAAATCCAATGATGCTAGGCTAGTCGGCCAACCCGATGAACGTGTCAGATGAATATTATATAATTTCAGAGACAAAAGTCTGGCAAGATTTCTTGATCTATGCCCAAGGGTTAGTAACATCAACTCCACAAAGTGAAGGGGGAAGGGTGGTGGGGTATGAAACCACAGTACGAGTGTTACACAACATCAAAGGCGACGATCGTCAGCTTGTCGCGTCACGGCACGGCGTAGTGGGGGCGGGTTGAGGCTATAGACTATAGATGTTACGTTGGGTGTTACATACCGTGTAGGATGGTCAGTGTCTTCCCCCACCCACCCCAGCCCATTTTGGTTGATTTGGCAAGCTAGTATTAAGCGTATTAACAATTTTTAGTCAACCGAAAAAAAGAGCCACTGGAAAAATTTAATTTATTTTCTATAGCCATTTTTACGAAAAATTAATGTATAAAATAAAATAATGAAACGTTACGCAAACCAGCATTGTTTGATTGGATTGCAGCTTTCCGGGTTTTCTAAAGAAGATTAATTTTGACGATTAGTCCTGAGCCGTAAATACTACTACAACTTGTTTTTGCTGTTTCAATAGTTTAAGACAAAGTTATGAAACATGCCTGTCTACTTTAAAAATCCAAAAGCCGACAAGTCAAACACGGGAACACATGTAGGCCTGTCTATCTTTAGAAATTGTTTATAGTATCATCCATTCGGATTAATCGCCTAGCATCACGTGACCACACACTCGGCTGTGCCACAGGATGTGTAGATCACGGCAGTGCAATTCAGTCGGACGACGGCCGATGCGTTTATTTTCGTCCCATTTAAAAACTACTATTCAATTATTGGCGGAACAAAATCAAATAATTTCGGTCGGGTTTTGCGCCGCGGGTTAATAAAATTTCACGAGATTTCAGGAGAATTTTTTTAATTTCAGGAGAATTCCAGGAGGTTTTTATATTTTTTCAAATTCCAGGAGATTTTTACGTTTTTAAGATTCCAGGAGTTTTCCAGGACCTCCTGGAATTTTAGGAGGCCGCACGAACCCTGTGTTAGATATAACCAATTAGAACTTTTGGTCTACATATTTAAGTAGCTTTATTTTATTTTAACCAAAGGATACCACACCATCAAAGTTGCTGCCAAACCATTTTAGCAACTGCTTCATTCGAGTGTTGTACTTTCCTTCTGCTTGACTTTCACCAATTAGAGAAGAATAGGTAGCAAATACCACACCTTTTTTACAACTACCGTTTTCCTTGCTTGATAGTTTGGCATAATATTTGAACTGGAAAAAATGTTCAAAGTAAGTGATAAAGGTTAAAAAATACAATGAAACTGAATAATTCAATACAAACTTTATTTGTACAAAAGTGATGAAGGTTTAAAAGTACAATGTACCTAAATTTTTCGAAATAAACTTACTTTATTTAGAGGGTAAACCTCAATGTGATTAGCACCAATATCTCGTAGGTCCCTTTCAGCATCAACTTTTAAATCATTCGACACACTCAACCTGTAGTTACAAGTTGTCATGTAGACTAATGCTATAAATGATACTTTTTAAAAATAGATCGTGACTAATAAACAATCAAAATGTTACTTACCATAGAGCTCTTTTCCGTCGCTTTAGATAATTCTCAAAAATTATACCAGCTATGGTTCTACCCTTTCCTACACCAGCACCATCACCTAATTTATATCAAAATGTATTTATGTTTACAATATTAAAAACTTATGGTTCAAAGCAGGAATTTTAAAATAGAAATTATTCAACAGATAAGATATCCAACTACACATTTAAAATGTCAGGCATGTTACCTATAAGATATCCAGCCCTTTGACCTCCAGGCAAAATCATCTCATGCTTCTGACAAGCATATGTAATGGCTTCCAACTGAAGAGCGGACAACTTTCCATCCTCATCTACACCCTCATCTAAAATGCGTAACTGATACTTTACATCTGGTGGTTCCACACTGGACAAAGAACTGGTCTCAACCACAGGATCTGGGTGCTTCTTGCCAAAATTTACTGTAAACAGAACAAGCAATACTTTTTATTTTTATCATAATAACCATATTCTTACCATAAAATTAAGTTAATTTTCTTGCATAAATGAAACTCAACATTAAACTTAGTTCAAAATTTTCACTAAAGTCTTAATAACCACAATGTCAATTCTAAACTACTTACATTTACTAGGCTTATACTCTGCATAGGTTTCGGCATGACCAAGTTCCTCCACCTCTTCTTCTATCTCTTCTTCGTCTTGAGGTACCTGAGAGAGTCCACGCTGCAAATTCTGAAAAATAGCAGTTGAGAGGCGCTGCCCAACATTTGAGAAAAGAAAAAAAAAAACAGAAATGAATAAATGAGTTTGGAATATGCAAAGAGAATTAAAAAAAGAAATGAATAAATGAGTGTATAAAGAAAATAATCTGGAAAAAAATCTTGAACAAAAAATCAAAACCTTTTGGGGGGAAAATTACCTGTGCACTGTGAACCCTTCTTATTGCCTGATGATCACTCCATGTTTTAGAAAGATCTTTGCTAGACATAGACATTCTTAAATGAGGACCAGCAACATTAGTCTGTAAAATAGTGAGTATCAAACTTATACAACTGACAGTAAACAAACCAAAAAAGAAACTAAAAAAAAAACCATTTAGCAATAAAATGTATTGTAAGAAAACATACCATATCTGTAACAGTTGGAATGTTACTCAGAGGAGCCTGCATGCTGGAAAGAGTGCCCATTTGGCCCAGCTTTACGTTGACAGGGTTTTTTTGAGTTGGTGTAAATGGTAATTTGGATATTTTGGTGTTTGTTAGAGACTGAGCTGAGGACTGAATGCCTTGAGCAGTTTTCAAAGTGCTAATTATAGGATTAGGCATAATTAGTGAATTTGGGTTCTTCTGTAGGCTCTGGGCTGAGAAAACAATAGGCTGAAGCTGTTGAGTGGTGGGAGGTGTTGGAGGCTTTGACACAACATGAATTGTTGCCTGTGTAGAAAATAATTGAAAATGATCACACAAACATTATTTACTTACTTCCATAAAATTAAAACATTAAAAGATTAAGAGGTTAGATTTTATCACAATGTAGACGTAGGTCAAAATCAACAGATTTTTTTTCATGAGTTGGTCGGCAATTCTTTTCTAAATGAGTAATTGGATTTCCATTAATAAAGAAAAAACACCTTTCTACTTTATTAACAAAAAATTGGACATTCAAATGGGATAATTCAATTTCTGAGGAATTTAAAGAATATTTCAACAAAGAGGGTGACTGCATGTATCGCCATTTCCCCATTCATGCCTTGAATTATTTTATTTTTTATTTTAGAAGAAAATAAATCTAAGTTAAAAATAGATCAGCAAAAAAATCTCTAATTGGGCTACAATAATACATAATCTCCCATATACAAGTTTAATGGTGATACTTAAAAAACAATCTTAGCACTAAGAATTAAATTAGGGCATTTAAAAATCCAATGATAATATGTCTTTATTTTACCTTAGATTCACCAAGAGCACCAGGGGTGGTATTCACAATTATTCTGGAGCCATTTTTTAAATTTGGTAATGAACTAACAATTTTAGTAATATCTTCAGTGCTGACAGCTTTACCACCACGAGTAGTAACCTTCAACACTTGTGATGGACCATTCTGTGACTGAATAACTAATTGCTGAAACGAGAGAAGATACAATTTCAAGTTAGAGATGTTTCATGACACACTGCAATTGTAATGATCTTTATTCCTTTCTGCCCAATAGCTAAGTATTAAAAAGCAGTTTATTTTAAAGAATACATATATTTGGTACATTTAATGCAGCTTATAATTCAAAGTAATACACATTTTTATGTATAAAATTATGGTCTAAGTTTTAAATTTTCCCAAAACTGTTTCAACTACATTGCTTTTAACAATTAAATAGCTTATGCAATAATTTCACAAACATAATTAGTTTTTAGAACAGTTATAGTTACAGCATTTAAATCAGGTCATTTGAAAGAGATCAATCATTTTACCTGTCCTTGTGGCATGCCATTGGCCATTGATGAGGCAGGAATGCGAATTATATTTCTATTTGTACTTGCATCAAAAGTAGCAGAATTATTGGAGAGGATGGATGTACCAATAACCTATAGAAAATAATTAATAGAAGATCTTTAAACCTCAGGCCTATTCATTTAAGAATCCATAGTAAAAAAAACCTGAAAAAACAAGTACACCATTAGTTGGGCTTTAATAATATCTGAGCAAACATTAGTTAGATGAGCATCATAGTTTCTTATCCTACACATTGACAATAATTGAAAATATAAATCTAACAATTCTGAAAATGTTAGAGCCAACTAATTATATAATGTAGTAAAATAATTATAAAATTTGGTTGACAATCATGTGAAACAAAAAATAAACAATTATTAAAAGTTGTAGTACTTATTATTAGGAAGTTAAGATTGTTCAAACAAGTAATACTTCCTGGAGTATAGTTTTAATTTTACTATAACAGGAGCATTTCAAATAATGGGTTCATTAAAAAATCATATAATTGGGTTAATATTTACATAGTTATAGCTGCATTTCAAAGAGAACATCTATTTTTACCTAGTATTAATTTAGATTAATAGCTCATTTAAAATAAATAGTAAATACTATTTGGACAAAAATTGTTTCTGTTTTTTGTATTAGAGAAACTAGCTTTATCACAACTGTAAGTAATATTCATAAATATGAGCAGATCTTAACCATGTATTATTACTTTTATAGCCTATTAGATTTAATGAATAAAAACAGATGTTAACAAACTGAGAAATCAATAACGTATCCAAAACTCACTTTAAAAAAAAATAATTAAACATTTATAGTTTATAATCAAAGTAGTTGAGCACAGCTCTCCTTATGTGACAACTTAAATTTTTTTAACAAACTTGTTTAACGGAGTAGTCAGGTTATGACAATGTTAGTAATAACAAGAAACAAGAAGACAATGGAAATTTCACCTTTTTTGCATGAGTTTTCAAGATGGATCTGAAAATTACAGACTAAGAAAAACGCAACAGGTAAGAGAACAGAAATAAAAATCAAATTTAAAGCAGCAGTGGCAATTAATAAGCTTCAAACTGACAATTTAACAAAAAACAATAAAGATGATTGAAAAGCTAAATACAAATTCACCCATACCTGAGGGCTTGACACTTGATGTACAACAGTTGGAGGTAATAAATGCCTTGGTACTGGTTGACAACGGATTTTCTGTTGCTGAAGAGTTGGCTGGACTGTTTGTGTACGAATAACACTAGTTGGAGTTCTTATAATTCTGAATGATTGCATGCCCTGTGGGGCGCCCTGCTGGTTCTGAGATCGAATCATTTGAGCTGACAAAATAGTTTGTTGCGGTCTGATATGTGGAGGGTTTACAACTGTCATTGGCTGGCTAGCCTGAATGGCAGACTGCTGTAGATTCTGCTGATTATGACCAACAACTTGTCGCATGACATTTGTTGAATTGGCATTATGAATCCCCAATTGATGACCAGAAGATATCTGAATGTTTTGAGAAAGGGCTTGACCCACTTCCTGAGATTGAGCCTGAAATATATTTTAAATCTCATCTAAAAGATAATTTTAATGATGTTTCAATTAAATTCTTGCCAGTGTAGATGGCTACTATAACAGTGAAATGTTGGTAGATTGTATCTTGGGAGTGTGTGTGTATTGCATCAGGGAGACTGGCTGTGCGCAAAAGGAACAAGGGAGGAGAGGCGAGAAAATGGCTATGTCGGTGTGGACACGATGCCTGTGTTAAACAAAATAAATATGAAAACTTGCAAGATGAAGGCTTGTCTTTTGATTTTGTATGTGTAATATAAAAGGTAGGAGAAAGGCCTGTGACAAGTTTATATCGTGAACCCAGTCACACAAAAAGCCTGTGACAGCTACCCACAGTTTCAACTGTGTAAAGGAATTACTATGGCTTTTTTATTACTATATAGTATAACTATTGATTAGGGAGGGCCTGGCCTAGTGGTAAAGCGCAAGACTTCTAACCTAAAGTATCTAGTTTGAATACTGGTTTAAGTCAGTAGAAAGTCCTCGAGTCCACCTAGCTCTGATGGGTACCTAGTGACTACACTATCCCTTTATATGCTGAGGTCACAGAAACAGGTGAACTCTACTTCATTTCAAACCGTCAGGTTAGGAAGGGGAACTTTAATTTTATTACGCCATTTTACCTCTGCACAGTAAACTCAGACAAATTGTGTGCATAATGCTCTTAATTTTATTTTATAAAAAATTTAATATGTAGAAACTTTACCTCCAGACCATATGATTCATCTTGAGTTCCATCATCAAAATCACTAAAATCAAAAGCCAAATCATCTCCTGATATCCCTGCGCCACGCAAGGCAGCAGATATCAGATCAGGGAAAGCCTCACCTGACTGAAGAAAAAAATTATATTTAAACATTACAATCTATAAAATTCATTTGCAACTACTTAAAATTTCATGCCTTTCATAATCTATGACTATAACATGTAATTTAAAGAATAACTATAAAAAATTGCACAAACCGATTATAACTACTACAATTTGTTACTTCATGACCGACAATTTACCAAAAAAAAATGGTATTTGTCGTTTTACAGTAAATATTTAGAACATGTACATTAACTTAGAAGTTAGTTTGTACCAGAGAGTTTATAAGATTATATTTAAGATGTTATTTCCTATAGGCCTAGTTATTAAACTTGTATTGTTCAATAAAAAAAACCCATTTAAGCAATTGCAGTCCAAGCCAACTAAAGGACTTTTTAAAATCAAATTACAAAAAAAAAATTAGGCTATCTATATATATAATTCTCTTCTTCGAGCCGTTAGAAAACAAGCTGCAAACGCTCTCCCTACCTCCCCACCCCTACATGGTTTTAGTGAGCTGTGTTCACTCTAAATGTTTACAAGCAGAGCCAACGATTTTAAACGTAGGGGGGGGGGGAGGAGGGGGGGAGGGAAGGAAGGGGGGGGTTATGGTCCTTAACGAGCTACTTATAGTGTTTTAAAGAAATATTTTCAGTGTCAGCGTTGGTACTGTCGAATTCACAAATTATGAATAATTGAAAATTAGAAACAACTAAATAGCGGCGTATGTTATGCCGCGGGCCGGCTCGTTAGGAGTATTGATGTAACCTTAGTCCAACAATAGTCATCCAAATATGCTATGGGTTGTTGGTAGTATTGTAATAGTCAGTATAGTTAGGGTTTGTGTTAGTGTTGACAGTGGTTATGAGTATTTAGATTACTACCAGTATCCCCTTTTTAAAAAAACTCCATTATTGCAACATCAGATGGCATCCATTTATAGCGTCAACAAAGATTTTGAATTTTCTGTAGGTATTATTAGATCTTAATATCAAAAGTTCAACCTAGAATGTGTTGAGGAAATAATTGTGTTTTAACCCTTAAGTATCGGCCTACATATATCTTTTGTTTTATTCCTTTTCCCCATACCAACTAAAACTCATTAAATCCTTAATTTTTTTTTTGGTTGAAAAACATTAAAAGTATTATCGGTACTTGAAGGATGTAAGCCTATTATAATTATAACATTAATAATAAAACGTAGGCCTACTGTTCATTAACTCTAATTCTGTTTATCATTGGCTTATCAAAGAATTATGAGGCTTAATAATAATTAGGCCTATTATTTTATTAGGGGTCATTCATAAATGACATCACGTCCCAAGTGGGGGAGGGGATGTTCGGACTTAATTCCTCTATATAGGCCTACTCCAGATCTAGATTAGATTTTTTTTACAATGGTGATAAAAATATCTCTCTTCAGTCGGACAGTGGAGAAAATCTTTGAATTTACTTAGAAGATGCTTCTGCCCTCTAAGCTGACTGGCAGATGATGCAAAATGCAATGACCTTAATAGTTGCAAATTGGGATCAAATTACCCCTAATACAGGGTTCCTACACCAAAGTGAACTTAAAATTCCAGGAGAATTCCAGGAGAAAAAACCAAAATTTCAGGACATAATTTAATGTTTTAATGACTCAACACCCCCCCCTCTTTGTTACTAAGAAACATATTAAGCCTAGCAATCATAGCAATACCCCAGTGTCAAGTGACTTAGCCCCTCTCCACCTCACTAATTTCAGCCTCAGTACTAAAAATGTTAATAATAATAAAAAAAACAGAACAGCTGAAACCATGATTTTTCTTTTAAAATGGACATGGTATCATGATTTAAATGGAAGTCTTCAAAAGAGCCTAACTGTAATTTTAGCTTTTTACCATTTGATGAACAAGTAGATCAACCTGAGTAGCTTAGATATAGCCTACTAGAAATAAACTGTACTTTGAAAATAAAACATGAAAATATAAAAAATTTCAGCCAAAAATATAACATAGTTAAATAAAGTTTTCTGATAAGTAACCTCAGATTTTTTTTAAATTGCCAGTAGTGTATTCCCCCCCCCCCCCCCCCCAAGCTAGACATGGTAGCGCAGGGTCAGTTTGAGTTCGTCTAAGCTTACAGTTGACCTGTAGTATACTGCTGATGACATCACTAGCGGGTCACACAGAGTTCACTTCATATACCCAACCAGTGCTTTCCCCCACCCCGCCTTGGGAAAGAAACTGAGATGCGGGATGCGAGGGTGGTAGTATTACAACACGCATGTAAATAGAAAGTAGATATAGGGTCTATCGGACTATGTTTAAATACTTTCAAATTAGCTGGGCAAAAATTAGATTAGGGCTTACTTGATATTTTTAACTTAAAAAAAAAAGAACTTCATGCCTATCAAACTGAGCCGCACTCATAGAAGTTAGAAAAAAATTAAACCAAGCCTACAGGTTAAAGACAGCTAAATCTATAGGTCTATAATTTAAAAATTATGCCTTGTATGCGCAGAATCGACAAAGCAGAACTTTTTACTGGGAACGGTCAGATCTGATTACCTAGAGATCTAACGCACGAAAAAAATATACGCTAAAATTATCCAAGCGAGTAAAATTTCAGGACATTTTACAAAATTTCAGGAGTTTTCTGGATTTTTAAAATACAAGGAGAATTCCAGGACATCCTGAAATTTCAGGAGGCCGTGGGAACCCTGCTAATAGTTTTGCAATAAGCTCAACCCTTAATAGCTGCACAATGGACTTATATTACATCCATTTTTCAGATAAAACTGTACCATGTGGTAGAGCAGTGGCACTTCGGGTGAATTGTTAGGGGTTGAGGGTTCAATACACAAAGTTATAGAGTATTGTTATATATAGGCCTACTAATAGGCCTATCTATAGTAAAGAGATCTAGTCTGTATGCCTAAAATCATGTTACAAAAAAATTGTAATAGCCTGTTTAAGTTTTTATCGTGTTAATGCCTGTCCCATCAAGACAGCACAGAAGCTTGAACAGTGAACATTTAGAATTTAGACTAGAATACCCGTCATCCGTTGGATAACTGTGGGTTTCGGGGGTCATCCATCAAAAAACATCACGTCTGTCACTCAGAGGCATAGCGACCCTTCCCGGCGCCCGGGGACAAAGTTTTCGATTTGAACCCCCCCCCCCTCAAACTTTTGATGTGCACCCCCCCCCCCCACTCAAACTTTCGATTTGAACCCCCCTCAACCTATCAATTTATTTTTCCAAACCATTTTGGCGCCCCAACAGATGCCCCCCCCCCCTTCCCCCCGCCTCCCCTCCCCTACCGTCCCCCCCCTCCTCGGTACGCTACTGCAGTGTCACTTATCGTCACAAAAAACAGACCCCACATTCAAATATATGTTTTTTATCTTTTAAAAACACCGATTTCGGACTATCCCTTCATAAACTGACGTCACAGGTGACCTACTCAACTCTACTTCACCTGCCCAGTGTCCTGCCAAGTCTCAGACAACATGTTTTTATCGTTTAAAAAACAATTCCAGCCGAGCATGTATCTGACCACACTATCCTTTCATATGCTTAGGACAAAGAAACAGATGAACTCTACTTCACCTGCCCTGTATCTTGCCAAGTTCAGATAGGCAACGTTATCATTCACATCTAAAAAAAAAAAAAATTGAAAAAAAAAATTTCATTGACATATTGGTCTAGAACCCGTGCCTCCTGCATGAGAGCTGACTACGCTACCATTTTAGCTATTTACTCGTGACGTCACAAGTGAATTTTTATACTATACTATGTGTCTCCTTATGCAACTTGATTTACGGCGTATAGATTCTAGATCTAGATCTAAAAATAAGTCTAGTAGTACTAACTTTCAAATTAAATTTTATCTTAAATAAGCCAAACAAAGATTTATATAAATAATTAAGGCCTGAAATAGATTCTAGATGTAGAATTTACATTAAGTCTAGATCTAGAATTTACATAGAAACCTAGTGACCTACATCTAGGCTAGATCTAGATCTAGGCTAGATTCATAAATTTCCTTCGATAGCTGATCTTTAGATCTAGAGAAATTTATCGTAAAACTAAATGAAAAAGACAGTTGAAAATTGATATAAGTGTTGGAAAGTAATAAATACAGCAAACGGACGTATTGTTTAAGTTATAGCCGGCAGAAAATTAGCTTTGTAACGCGTTAAACTTTTGAATGGGCCACAAAGTCTATGATGGAGTCCGCCATTTTTATCGTACCAAAAAGTTAACATATCAAGGGACGTCACTATCCCCACAAAGTTTATTCAAAGTATTAACATTTTTTAAAAAATACGGTTAATTTAACTATGAATAAATCAATAAATTAATTAACGTCTTTAAATAAATGTGTGATTAACAGTCTGTCTGCATTAAAAAATTATTCTCTACCTACATACTATTTTACAGCTATCCAGATTGAGTCGAACATATCACAATAGTCGATCAGGCAAACAAACAAACAAACAAAAAAACAAACAAAAAAATAAATATTCAAACATGTAAACAAACTTGACTTTTAGTAGTATATAGATGACAAGAATAACTAGGTCACTGTAGCGCTGTTTTATAAACATTCATATTTAATTCATAAGCATCTTCTTCCTGCTAAAATTCTTCTGGAGAGAAAGTCAATAGATCTAGATTTCTATATGCTAAATTAACTTTAGGTCATTAGGCTTATGCCTTACGTACAGGTACCGACTTTGTATAGAATCTACTTTTATAATCCCAAAATTTAAAAAACAGGCCTTAGATTTTTTACATCAAAATGCATGATTGCCTGAAATTTAGGCCTAGAGTAAAGTTCCACGCGCGGTCACACATAGCGAACTCCCGACTTTCATCGGGCGCTATTTTGTAACCGTTTAACACAGAAACAAACCCAAAGTACTATATTATTCCTCTGCCTTTCTACTCTTAATATGTATCAATCATTTTATATTCCTACGCATTGAATTTGAGATATTCATGTTTTAGTGACGTGCTACTTGCGATATTTTTTTCCCCTCTCTTTTTTTCCCTGCGGCCATCTGAACCGGCTTGCGTAACGATCGTGTTTTATACGTTTTAATCCTAGTTTAATAAATAAAATAAATATTTTACAATTTTAAACGTGTTGTTGATTGTATTATTAATTAATAGATTTCAAAACCAAATTAAAAACATGTTAATTAAATTAATTAACGACATTAAAAGTTGACCCAGTGATGACTCAAGGGACGCAACTATAATAATCATAACAAAGGGACGTAACAACCACTGACAAGACATAACGTAACATTTGCTTAGATATGCTTGTATGTAGAGACACAAACTAGATTTAGAAGAAGTAGATGATCGAAATAATTTAAAACAGCAGAAAAAAATAGAAATTATACAGATTCTAGGCTTAGCTTGAAATGTAGAGCATCTAGAACTAGGCTAGTCTAGCTCAAGTCGTTGGTTACGCAGCGCGGTGAAACCACCCAAATCGACACCCAAGCTGCGGCCACCCCTATTCACCCATCAGGTTGCTTTATTAGCCTAATCTATCGTATGTACAGTGTCCCGCACATATTGTAGAAGCTATTTATAGTTAACCTAGTTATAAAAAGCTTTGATTGGTTGGTTTATTCATCTCATCCGGGACCTAGTGTTTTTCATACGGGGAACTAGAATCGCCTTCGACGTCATACCTCGAAACTTTAAAATTTAAAAACTCGACTTCCAGAAGGAGAAAAACAAAATAATTTGACCTGGATATATTTAGAAATGGACAGGTTTACAGCAGATATCGGTAGTTTCGTATAAAACATCAAAACAAATATTGTACGAAGCGATAAACAGGCGATGACCGCACCGGTGTTTTAACCGCACGTGGAACTTTACTCTAGATCTAGCAGTAAAATTTAGAATTTTGGGCCTTCAGTAAGATTAGTTCATAATTTTAAAATAATTTGATCATTAGCCTGAATCGTACAGGCTATGTACTTAGTAGCGTACACAGAAAAAAATTAAACAAATATTTTTACATTATTGAACAACACATAATGTCACATATCAAGGTAGATAAACAACACGGATTTTCCTTCTTTTTCTTAGTAAAAAACCAGATTAAAAATGAAGAGGAAAAAAAAGGGTAATCTATCGTTTTGGGTACGTAAAATCGCCCGCGGCTATTAATGTACGAAAACGTTACCTCATTGTCAAAGCTGTAATAGAAGTATATTGTGATATGTTTGTGTCAAATATTATAGATAAATGAATAATAAACCTAAATCAATGGCTAAATATATCAATATAGGCCCGAAATTAACTTTAAACAGCAGTGTCTGCAAGCAAGATTTGCTATATAAACAGCAGCCATTTGTAAAATAGATTGACTTCCGCCTGAATCTTGCGCTATAAGTCTATAAAAATAAAACTTTAACAAGATGGCTGCTATAGTAAATGAGCATGGTTGCATCTGTTGGAAACATCGCTGGTATTCATTTATTACTGAAAAGTTTTAATTCAATTGTTTAGAAACAGGTACATAAATGAAACAAGGAAACATTTTTGTATTTTTCAAAACATAAATCCTCCTCAAAATGTGAAATAATTATTAAAATGTAAGGAGTCACCTGTTTTTCACATTACTAGTCGCGGGCGATTTTACGTACCTAAAACGATAGATTACCAAAAAAAGACCACGTTGGTTATTTTGATTGCACAAATTATGTGCAAAACGCTTTCATAAATCCATTAGAAATGATTCCTTGAGAGTTTATTTAACTTAAGATCCATAAATCAAGTGGATACTATTCATACCGGTGATTCTGTATTCATTTTTGTTGGACTGCTTTAGAGCACACAACCTTCTCGATGTTTGTCGGCCATTGCCTATTTTTACCCATGAGTCAACGGGGTCTTTGTGCCAGGTCCAATTAAACATCTCCGTTTGGTTTGCCTAATATCTACTTATCGTTGTATCATTATTATAATGTGTAGTTTAAATAAATGTAACGATAATTTAAACAATAAATGTATGATATTTTTAAAATAATTTTAGAGAGAGTTTTTTATATCAAATTATTATTTAAATGATCGTATATTTCAAAAGCACATGTCATTACTATCTGGCATCCCTTTCACTAGGGACGGCATTCCATGGTTGGAAAGCCTGTGTTATGTAGCCTATACTAAACTAGTAAACCATCTTCAATGAATGAAAGTACGTGTTAGAAATAAGCATTACTATTGTAAATATGTATAAGTCTTAACTAGCCGATGGTGAAAACTTGAATACTAAAGCGAACATGGCAATGCAAACTAACGCTGTAAATGTCTGGGGCAAACAAACAAAAAAAAGGGGGGGAGGAAGTAGAGTAATTATATATATATATATATATGTTACGGTCAAAGCCCGAAGTGCGGCCAAACCCCGGATTGGCCGGCCAATGCGCGGATTAGCCGGCTCTCTTGGCCAAAGCCCGAAGAACTTAAAACTAAGATCGTATTTCGTACATTGGCCTTCCAATGCGCGCACTGGCCGGGACGTACAGGCCAAAGTCCGAAGTGCTTAAACTTGACAGCGTATTTTGTACATTGGCCGGCCAATGCGCGCATTGGCCGGGATGTCCTGGCCAAAGTTCTATCTAGACTAAGTTGTGATCGCGTTTTCATTATTTTGGTTGCGGTTTCATTGTGAGTAACGTATTGTTTAGCTCTTGTTTGTACAGCTCATTCTTGTGGATCCTGTGGCAAAGATGTCCATGCTATTTGTGGAGTACCCAATGAAGCAGACGAAGGGTACGGAGGGAACATTACCTGCAGATTGTGTCACAACAAACAAGACATCATGGAACACAGGTCAGCAGCTCATGCTGGCTTGCAAAATCAAGGTGCTGAGATGCTTAAAACATCAAATACAAAATTTAAAGATGGTGAAGTGGGTGACAATGTACGCATCCGTGTCCCAGATGTTGACAGAGGTCGCGGTGATCCCCGAAGCGTGATTGCAGTTGTCATGAGCGTCGAGGGCGGCTTCTACAAATTAGGAACGGAACATGGTGTTCTAAAACAACTATTTGGTAGAAGTGAGTTTTCAATTCTTCACGAAAAACTGCTCAGTTGGCACTGAGGAAAAATCACTACGAACCATCGCATCTTCACAATCATTGACTGGGGGCCAAGGTTACACTCGCTGCAATTGCACAACCAAGTGCACAACAAATCGCTGCAAGTGTAAAAGTAACAAGCTACTATGTAATTCTAAATGCCATAAAAGTTCAAATTATTGTAACAAATGATAATATTGATTGATTGAGACTATTATTAAATAAAAAATTTGAATGTTTCTGTCATTTACTTTAATTAATAATCAATAAAGACTTAATTTCATGATCCTTACGGCATAAAAAAAAGCCAAAATCTGCCCACGATCTTCTAATTAAGACTTTGGCCGGTCCACCATGGCCAGTCCGCGGATTGGCCGACCAAAGGCCGAAATCAAGCAAAGCTTCGGACTTTGGCCGACCAATGGGAGACAATATAGGCCAATGCGCGGATTGGCCGGCCAATCCGCGCATTGGCCGACTTCGGGCTTTGACCGTAACATATATATATATATATATATATATATATATATATATATATATATATATATATATATATATATATATATATATATATATATATATATATATATATATATATATATATATATATATATATATATATATATATATATATATATATATATATATATATATATATATATATATATATATATATATATTGTGAGACTATCTTTATCGGTACCCCAAATTCAAAATTGGGTTCTTTCAGAATAAAGTTCGTTCGCAGAAGATTGAAATCCCACATCTTTACATGTTAATCAAATACCAATAATTCCCAACCCAGAAATTTTAAACGTGAGAAAATAAGCGCACATTTATGTTGAACTTGAATGGGTAGATGAGACAGTAGAGGTACGGTAGTTAGGAAGAAGACTGTTTTCAGTGTTTTTCACATATATTTTTACGCTCTGAACACTAGATTAGTTAGCATTGTTGTTTTTGTGTGTGTGTGTCCTGAAAGTGATATCCATAAAGTTAGGGATGGTAGATTATAAGTTTCCTAGTAGAGATAATTGATATAGGCTCCAAAAAAAAAAGTCTAGATCTACTTCTTTTTTTGCTTTTGTTTTCATTGAAAATTACCCAACACTAGTCAGGTAGGCGGGAAAGTGGATAATAACATTATTAACAATGTGTACCCTCGAAGAAAAAAATAATAATTTAAAAATAACTTCAAGGACAGAAGCAGTGTATTTTAACTGTACAGCAAACTTTATTGAAAACCAAGCAACAACACACACAAATCATAATTTCAAGGTGTAAATATTGATAGGGAATGAACAGTAAGTAAGACAAAAAATTAGCAAAATTGTACTAATTAACTTCACGCCATTGGTACTAAATCTTAATCTTTATCGTTTGATTTTTGGGTATGCTTGACATTTTCATTTCGCTAGTGATATATCTAATAATTGTTCTTTTGCTTCCTAGGGTATTGGTAAGTTAAGTAAAAAACTGAGTCAAGTTTTTCTTTCAGACTTTTTTCTCGGGGGGGGGGGGGGCACGAAAATGTTTTGGGTGGCGGAATAAATTTTCCGAAGAGAGGATACTGGTAAATGTACATATTTCCTATATAGGCCTAAATTATATTTCGTTCGGGTAGGGATTGGGGGGGGGGGGGGGGAGGTGGCGTTGGGAATAGGTAGACGTGCTTCGGGAGAAATGCCTGAAAAAAACACTGATGACGTTTGTAAGTGCTTGATGTTAATAACATCTCAGGGCTTTCTTTTCTTCTATATTTTCTTCTATTTTGACACGGGTGATATTTGTTTCACTGAAATATTATTGTATGCTTGATCAGAAATTATTGTCTGCGGTCAGGTAATGTTGCAGATAAACAGAAGAAATGGAAAGAGCATAGTTAAATATTTTAGTGAATCAGATTCGTGAATCAAAAGTTTAACCCACTGACTAAGTATAAAAGTTAACTGCGTCTAAATAAAATGTAAACAGGTTGTGTAAATAGTATTACCAATACCTTAGACATGCCTTATACCGCCACACTTGCTACATCTATACTATACGTATCTAGAGAAGAAAAAAACTTAAGTTACTTTTTTCGGATCATGTATACTTACTTATTGCGACGCTCCCCCCCCCCTCAGTGTTTCTTCCAGACTTTTTCTCGGGGGGGGGGGGGGGGTCGGGGGGGGGGGGGCGGTCAACATTTTCCGGGGGGGGGGCGGACACTTGTAAAAGTATATGTATACTATATAAATTCCATATTGTTCGGAAATGTATAGCATATATATCGCAAGTGTAAACGCGTTGTTAGGATGGTCAGTGTTTCTTCCAGACTTTTTTCTCCGGGGGGGGGGGCACTTGAAATCTTCAAGGGGGGGGGGCGGACACTGTTAAAAGTATATATTTTCTATATAAATTATATAAATTTCATATCGTTCGGGGGGGGGGGGGCTTTGCCCCCCCCCCCCCCCCCCCCCGAAGAGATGCCTGGAAGAAACTCTGAGGATGGTACGATTCAGCCTGCATAGACTACTCATACATTTTTGCTTCCGTGTTTTAACCGGCAAAGAAAATCAAAACAAAATACTTTGATAATGAAGCATAATGGATTAGTTGGCACCCTAGAAAAAATAACTTGTTACACGTATACTCTGTTGCATGACACAGCTATAAAGACGGTCTAGACATTACATCGAAAATTGACAAAACACAAAAACGTAATTACCGTTGTACTCTTGTACGATTGATTTCGCTATATTGTTCAGCACAGAGATTGCATAATCTAGAATAAATTATGACAGTGTTTGTAAAATATAATGACATGTAATGTAAAAAGGGGTCGTCCATAAATGACGTCACACTTGTAGGGGGGAGGGGTGGTCCGTAAATTTGTGACGGTGTGTGATGAGGGGGGGGGGGGTCAGATTGTGCGACGTCACACTTTTGCATTATAAAAAAGCAATGTTAGAAAACAAATTTTAGCCTTTTTTTCGCGTTTTAGAAAACTGTTTTAATAAATTGTAATAGGAATTGATTAAAATACTCTAAGTTGACAGAGTTCAAACAAGATTTTGGAAAAAAATATAGTATTTAAGAAAAAGTCAACCGCAATTTTGAGGGTGGTTGTAGGCTGAGGTGTAACATCATTTTAGGGGGGTTGGGGGCAGGGGCGGAACTACAGTGCCGCCAGACCCCGCAATGCGGGGGGGCCCACGACGTTTAGGGGCCCAGTTCCGACCAAAAAAATCAATGAATTTTCTTTTCATAAATATTTTTTTTCGTGCACCTTGATAGTTGTTTTGTAAAAAAACAAACAGGTCTACTATAGCAATGATTGTTCTACAGTAACTAACACACACTGTAGAAAAATATAAAATCTACAAGAGCTCTACTTTGAAAGATAGGCAAACGTTCACACTACTTCCATGACTTACTGCCCTCTATTAAATCACGGGTGCCCATAAGCTCATTTAAATAGTTTTGTACTATGTAAATCAAAGAGCTATTTTTCTCTTAATTATTATTTAAATAAGGCATACTTAAGAATCCTATAGCTATACAAATGAATGTATTCACAACTAATAATATAAATACAAAAAATCATAAATATAAACATAACGCGAAAAACCATTGCAAAATCAAGCTTACGTGTTTATATAATTTTGACCAGCCAGCACTTTTTTGAGTGTTCGGTAAACATAAAGACGTAATACAAACATTTTTAAAACACAACAAAAAACAAAAAACATCTGTATAACACAGGGGTCGGCAACCTTTTGAGGCGGAAGAGCCAAAAGTTACAATTTTCAAAATTTCCCTGGTTTTAAAGAGCCACTAACATTTTTTTTATTTCAAATATTTTATTTTTTTATTAAGATTATTAGTAATTGTTCAAGGAGCTGGAGAGCCGCATCTTGATATCAAAAGAGCCGCATGCGGCTCGCGAGCCGCAGGTTGCCGACCCCTGGTATAACACGATTATTGCGGGCCCGAAATGAGTTCGGACTTATTGTTGTTTGGTTATCATCTCAGAGTGGTTATATACATTGCAATAAAGTAGATTAAAATACTCAGGTAATAGACCATTTAAAATTTAGAGAAGCGGACTACTTATATATACGTATATATATATATATATATATATATATACACACACACACACACACACACATATATATATATATATATATATATATATATATATATATATATATATATATATATATATATATATATATATATATATATATATATATATATATATATATATATATATATATATATATATATATATATATATATGGGGGGCCAAAAATTTTTTTTGCGGGGGAGCCTTTTTTTTCTAGTTCCGCCACTGGTTGGGGGTCTGCTTTTTTGTGACGATGTGTGACGGAGGGGTGGGGGGTATGTAAAAATCGTCAAAAAAGCGTGAAGTCATTTATGGATAACCCCAAAAACTAAAAAATGAAAATAGTGGCAATTTTCAAAACAACATAATATGTTTAAAAAAAGCTTGGCAGTGGCGCGCACACACGCACGTACACACGCAGGTGGTTCGAACATAGGTAGTGAGACCACGCCGAAGCTAATACCACAGATGTTTTGTCCACCGGTGCTTTGTTCACAAAGGGACTTTGATTAGGTGTTTTGCTCGTCGCGGGGGATTCACCACAGATGGTATGTCAGCAGCGAGGGTTTGATCACAGGTGCTTTGTCGATAGAATTATTCTCACAGCTGTTGAAATCAAAGTGACTGATTTCCGGATGCTTATATTTGCATCTTGCTACTACCATATTGCCCATTGAGAAAAGTAAAATACACGAGGTTGGACTGAAAATGTGATATGAAACTAGTTTAGGTATTACTTTTCGTTATCAAAACATGCATTACAAACCTGCCTTATTCCTGCAGACGATTTGGGGATAGTGTAGCACGAACGAGCATTTGCAAAAAGATTGTATCAAAGTCTACATTTTCTCCTACAATGTGGTAATTCAGCAATGTTGTGTTTACTTTTTACGACTGTTTACTTGACAGTCTGCATAATATGGACTGCTCAAGGCAGAAGGCAACTTTGCTGCAAAGTGTTAAGGAGCTAACCCCCAACAGGTGCAGTGACATAATTATGTACGTGCTGTTTCAAATCTGTAATTTAGTTAGCCACAATGCTATTATTTTAACAAACATTTGCGGGAGATTTTGATTTGCGCTATGTAATTTTTACCAGTCCTAAGCTACAGCCTTCACTTGTAAACGTACTTTATGCCTAATGTAAATGTGTTCCTTTTTACTTTCTCGTATATACGAAGTATAGAGAAAGTATTGTAATCGTGCAAAAAAAAAAAAAAATCGAGATTTTTACAAATCTCGACGTTTTACATCTAACGGATACGGAAAAACATAATTTTGCAATCTTGTCCGTATGTCTGTGTGTCTGTCTGTGTGTCTGTGTGTCTGTGTGTGTGTAAACACGATAACTTGAGTACCGTTACAGCTAGGTTGATGAAATTTCATATATAAGTATTTTATCAAAATCGTAGATCCGTATCAACTTTTGAGCGATTTCCGATAACCGGAAGTGGTACTTTTCCTACTTTGAAATTTTTCAAAAGCCTATAACTTGAGTACTATTTCAGATAGATAAATGAAATTTCACATGTAAGTAAAAGATCTAATTCTCTACCTTCTGTTAAATTTTGAGTAATTTCCGTTGACTGGAAGTAGTAATTTACGCTACTTCCGATTTCTCAAAAAACTAATGTAAATTTTAAAAGTACTAATAATATTGCGCACTATTATGCGCTTTTTTATTTGGCGTTCACTTGGTGTGCAATTAATTTGTCTACGAGATTTTATTATATTTTTAAAACTTTAAGTATTTAAAATGGATTAAAAATCATGTCTGTAGCCCGAGTTCCCATCCCCTGTTATTTTATATAAGAATATCCGAGAAAGTTTAGGGGAGATCACTCCCGGTTTATTTATGATTATAATTAATATCAAATTTGGCAGGTTGCTGCGATCTCAAAAGAAAGGCTGACGCAATATTTTAAGAGGATTTCATCAATTGAAATTAATGCCTTACCTATCATATATTATTAGTCCACACTATCTCCAAGACGCACCAGTGCGTGCTGAATGAAAGCATTGAGTGTACAATAGTCATCCTCTGAAAAGAGAGTTAGATAGCCATCGGCGACCGCCCGGGTGTCAATGGCGTCGCACAGTGTTTCTTCCAGACTTTGTTCTCGGGGGGGGGGGGGGGGCTTAAAATTTTCGGGGGGTGGGGGTCGTACACTGTTTAAAGTTTATATTTTCTATGTAAATTCCATTTCGTTCGGGGGGGGGGGGGTGGTAGACTTTCATCGGGGGGGGGGGGGCTCTAGAGCCTGGAAGAAACTCTGGCGTCGCATAACACTCTAGGGTTACAATTCCGTAGGGGCGCCATGTGCGACCCCTGGTTCAATTTAGTCATTGAATGCAGTGGCACACCATGTTTTAGTATAAGGTGCTCTTTAAAACGAATATAGGTGCCATAATGTTCACGGCGTAGCCCATCGGGCATTGGGTCACCCGACTGCGGTTACGCCTGGTGCGATTTCACAGTTGAATCAGTATATATATATATATATATATATATATATATATATATATATATATATATATATATATATATATATATATATATATATATATATATATATATATATATATATATATATATATATATATATATATCAGGGGCGTAGCGAGGGGGGGTTCCTTTTAGTGTGTTACACATTTCAATTCATATCCCTATAATGTTATTTGAGTTAGTGCCTATTTGGCAAAAAAATCGTCAAAATCAGCCCATCTAAATTTGAAATTTCCTGTCCTGATAAAAGTAAAAAATAGCATTGGTTTTATTTACAAAGCCGAAATTCGGAAATGAAACCTAACTTCTACTTCTTTCAATATCAATACTAAGATCTTCACACTTAAATTAAACGTACTGATTGTAATACTAGACTCTATATTTAACTATATTTAACTAGATCTATACTAGTTTAGAGTGTAAGCAGTTTACCGAGTTGAGCTCTTAGTCTGAGTTTAGGCCTGTGTACTGTCACCTGTGTGACTGTGTACTCGGTGTACTTGAGTGTACTGACTGAACTGTTACGACGGTGTAAGTTACTCACTGTCACTTTGTGTGACTTTACTGTAGTAACTGTACTGTACTAGATCTAGATCTAAGTACTATTCTATATCAATCTAGATTCTATACTTAAAATACTTAAATACTACACTGAGTATTACTATGGTCACTAGTGGTAAGAACCTGGCGGTAATCTATCGTTTTGGGTACGTAAAATCGCCCGCGGCTATTTATGTACGAAAACGTTACCTCATTGTCAAGGCTTTAATAGAAGTATATTGTCATACTTTTGTGTCAAATATTATAGATAAATGAATAATAAACCTAAATCAATGGCTAAATATATCGATATAGGCCAGAAATTAACTTTAAACAGCAGTGTCTGAGAGCAAGATTTGCTATATAAACAGCAGCCATTTGTAAAATAGAGTGGCTTCCCCCTGAATCTGGCGCTAAAAGCTTATAAAAATAAAACTTAGACAAGATGGCTGCTATAGTAGATGAGCATGGTTGCATCTGTTGGAAACATCGCTAGTCTTCATTTATTACGGAATAGTTTTAATTCAATTGTTTAAAAACAGGTACATAAATGAATCAAGGAAACATTTTTGAATTTTTTAAAACATAAATCCTCCTCAAAATGTGAAATAATTATTAAAACTTAAGGAGTCACCTGTTTTTCACATTACAAATCGCGGGCGATTTTACGTACCCAAAACGATAGATTACCGAACCTGGCCTAGTCAGGCTAGCGCTAGATTTAGATTATAGATCTAGATCAGGGGTCTCCAAACTTTTCATTCCGAGGGCGGCATCAACCATCAAATCTCAGTTCGGTGGCCAGTTTCTTCCAGGCATGTCTTTGATTTTTCTGGGCAAAGTTCCTCAGCCATCACCAACAAACGTTTTTTGGGTGGATAAAAAGATCACAGCGGGCCAGATGAGAGGACATCGCGGGCCGTAGTTTGGAGACCCCTGATCTAGATCTTGCTAGAATCTAATATCTAGGCTTGATTTGACTGTATTACAGTATTACTATTTATTTAATTAATAATTACTAATAATTATTAGGCCTCTTATTTATTTTTTAAACAGCCAAGATGTATATTCAAGACTAGATCTAGATTTATAAGGGCTAAGGGGCCTTATAAATAATTTTGGTAATCTATCGTTTTTGGTACGTAAAATCGCCTGCGACTAGTAATGTACGAAAAAGTTACCTCAGTATAGTTGATTTAATAGAAGTATATTGTGATATATGTGTGTCAAATATTATAGATAATGAATAATAAAGCTAAATCAACTCCAAAATCAAACAACTGCTGCCTTGTAGTTTGTTCTTGGTTGGACAAAGGCTATGGAAGCAAATCCAAAAAGAAAGCAGGCTGAAATCAGAGTTAATGGCCTCAATGGTGCATAATCAGTTGACACGTATCTTTAATTGTGTTGGAGGGGGATCCCTTCCAACACTAAAATTAAGAATGAAGAAGAAAGAAGGATGACTAATTAATTTTTTATGAATCAATTACAATTTTCTGAAATTAGCAGGCAGTCTTGTACTACACTTTCTGCACTATTATATGCGCATTATCATGTTCATTTGGCGTCAATAGTTTTTAGTCATGTAACTCTATTGTAAATACAAATATTTTATTCAGTAAAAAAACATATTAGGCTAATAAAGACAAAAGATCATTGATGATAAATGTCTTCAAGTCAAAATGGAATTTATTCATTTGGCCTAATTTTAAAGGATTTTTTTTTACTATTAGGGAGTGATATATTCATAACTACTCATATACTTTTCAATTATATATTCTTCTATGGCACTTTGTAACTAAAACTTCTGTCTTGAAAACTGGCTTTTTTTTTTTACTGTTGATGAGGAACATTTTCACCCAAAACCTCTTTTTAAAAATTTAAAACACATAAAATCTCTTTTTTTTTGGGCACAAGACAGATCAGGGCCAATTAATTTTTCATCTCCCTTTAAATAATACTGAGCTTTGGTCGAGACTAGTTAAGTTTTTTTCAGTTGTAGTGGAGGATTCCTCCTTTTACTACCAAAACTGTACATTGACCCCTAGCCAATTTCTGGGGTCAGTGTTCAACTACGCCACGCAACGAAATCAAATGACAAATAGATAAAATCAAGGCCTATTTAAAATTGTTTTGTTAATTTTATATAAGGTATTTTAATGGATGTTTACTATTATTTAAAAAGCAAATTCTGTTATGTTGAAGGTTTTTAATAGAAATTTTAATCATCGAAACAGATTTTTACTTACTAAAATGAAGAAAAGCACTGCAAGAGTTACAACACCCACTAAGAACCCCAAAGCAGGTAAGTAGTTTTTAATTTTATATTTAAGTCCTAAAATACAAGTAAAAGTGACAAGAGGTGTGCCAACCAAATTGGCTAGCTCTTTTTGAGCTGCAACATTGAAATTTACAGTTGAAGTTTAGAAATTTCCTTCCTGCCTTATGACCCAAAATGATACTTAATGATCAAACTATGTTCTAATATTGTTATAAAATATTTTATAATATATGAGATGGAGATACATTCAACTCTATTACAGCTTTTGGTCAATTTTGTTTCTTTCAGGCAGTAAATCACAGCGTAAACAAAAGATTAAAATTATTTCTCCTCCTACTCCTGACTCTTCCCCCTGCAGTGTTGTTGAATCTGAGACTGACATAAGAAATAATGTTAAGGAAGAGTTAAATATGAGTGTACATAATGAAGACTCAGCGGGTAGCGAAAGTTGTCAAACTTTACCTACTCCACCTGGTGTTAGTAATGAAAAACAAAATTTCCTTGATGAAATCACTAGTGATGCTGATAAAGTTGATTGTACTGCAGAATCTGTGGACAAAGAGAACACAAATAGAGAAAATGTATTAGTAAATAGAACCCCAGACAAAAGTAAAAAAAAAGACAGAGCAGAAAGTGCAAATCCACCACAAGAAGAGCAGATTGAGTCTCCTTCTGTCCCTCCTAAAACAAAAATGAGGAGGGGAAAAACACAAATAAAAACAGAAACTACAGCTGCAAAGTCAGTAAGACGAAAGTAAGTCTGTTATATTATGCCATAAATATATACTGCAATTACATTTTTAGGTAAAGTACTTTGAATTTATGTTTGTACGATTTTTTTAGAGTCAGTTTTGAATTTGATGCCACTGGACTATGCCTTAAAATAGAGCACCTAAAAGTTAAGGAAATATATTTGTATTTACAGGAAGAAAGAACCACCCACTATCCAGAGCAATACTATAACAGATTATTTTCCTGTTCGTCGAAGTAGCAGACAAACCAAATCAGAAATAGAGGTGAGTAGGTATCAAATATTCTAAGTGCAGTTCTTAAAATTAAGGGTTTAAGCTTAAGTTAACTTCTATTTAAAAAAAAAAATTGTTTTCAAACTATATTTTAAGAATTTTACAACTATCTAGTGGATTACTTTTTCCGGAAACCTTTTTTTCCTGCATTTTTTGTTTTAACCAAGAGATGAATATTGAAGTTTTTATGCATTTGTAAAACATTTTTCATACTTAACCTAGAACTAAAACAGTGCTTGTCATTCTGTAGAACAACTAGGCAAATTATGTACATTTATTTTGTACTTAACTGGATAATGCTAGTCATTGTACAATTTGCCATTAACAATTTTATTAGTTGTTTTGAGTGGATTGTTTCAGAGTAAAAAAAATAAATGATACTATGGTTGACAGGTTCAGAGGCATTTAGCTGAAAGGATGTTATTCAGAAATTAATTTAAGATTAATACCATTTAATGACCTTGAGGTTTTTAAGCAAGTTTTCTCTCCCTTCCCCACATAATATGGGACAACATGGTTGGATGGCATAGCACAAGGTTGCTAACCTGAAAGTTGAGTTCATATCCTATGCTTGAGTTATAGGTTGTCCTTTGTTCACACTAGTTCTAATGTTTTTTGTGAAATTGATTGAGATGTTAGACTAGATTTACAGTCAATAATATTTTGGAAACATTATAAAAACCTTTTAATTCTTCTTTGTGTACCACAAAATTAGTTTTTGAAGTTATTTTCTTATTGCAGAAAGAGAAGCGTCACCAACTGGAACAACAAATAAAACAGGGTTGTACAGATGGATTGCAGGTTTAGTATTTAGCTGTTGAGAAAAAACATCACTTTCTATTTTAACACCGTAAGATACAAAAAAAAACAACCAATGATTTAGATCTAGTGTCTAATATGTTGTGTATAGCACAAAAATTATTACTTTTATCTCCATAATTTTAAAGTAATGTACTATTCTTATCTATGATACATTCCCACTAAACTACTGATCACAATACAAAGTATCCCTAGTTGTCTTAATTAGTTTTCTGTTTCTACAGTAAGTTATCTAATAAATTGAGAAATGTGCAACAAAACTCCATGTTTTTCTAAATTACTATTTGTAAGTAATTCAAGCATAAAAACATTTATTAAATTTATATTTTTCAGTGAATAAAACAGTATAACTTTTAGCAAAATAAAAAATTTTGGTCTTTATTTCAAGTTGGCTAACTTTATAAGTGCTTTAGATTGTGTTCGTTTTTCAGATTAAGGAGTTTGAAAGCAAAGGCAGAGGTATTGTAGCCACCAAAGCTTTCAGTAAAGGTGACTTTGTGGTTGAGTATGCTGGGGAGTTGATAGATTGTGTAGAAGCAAAAGCAAGGGAGGAAAAGTATTCTAAAACACCAGAAGTTGGATGCTACATGTATTATTTTATTTGTGATGGGAAGCAACACTGGTAAGTGCGGCACAATGTTTGTTTAACATTTACTATTATTATTTTTTTTTATCAAAAAATTTTTTAAAACTAAAAACTTAACAACCCAAGAAACAACAAATGATGTTTTGAATAAGTCATCATTTTAAGGCAGCATTACTAACATGATAAAATTACCTACTTTACTTACTTAATCCTCATAGCTTACTGTAGAGCAGCATAAGGCACCATTATTAACATGATAAAATTACCTACTTTACTTACTTAATCCTCATAGCTTACTGTGGAGCAGCATAAGGCAGCATTATTAACATGATAAAATTACCCCCTTTACTTACTGTGGAGATGCATAAGGCAGCAACAAAACCCATGCCTCTCTGTCCTGAGTGAGACACCTTACTTCATGCCTGTGACCAGCACCTCCTCTTCCATCTCTCTCCTCCATGTTCCCAATGGCCTTCCTGTCTTTCACTTTCCATCTTAGTGCCTTTTTAGGGAACCATTTTTGGACCTTGCCACTGTCACTTTCTTGTACCTTTTTACTCTCTCAAATATGAAGTATAGAGGAAGTATTGTAATTGTGTAAAAAAATAGAAATTTATATTTTCACAAATCTCGAGGTTTTACACCTCCCTGTGTAGGAAAAACATAGTTTTGCAAGTTTGTCCGTATGTCTGTGTTTTGTCTGTGTGGATGTGTCTATGAACATGATAACGTGAGTACCATTACAGTTAGGTTGATGAAATTTCATATACAAGTATTATATCAAAGTTGTAGTTCTGTATCAACTTTTCACTGATTTCCGGTAACCCATAACTGGAACTTATTCTACTAGCCTATAACTTGAGTACTGTTTCAGATAGACGAAATTTCACATATATTTTTTTATAAGTAAAAGATCTATTTCACTGCATTCTTTAAAATTTTGAGTTAATTTTGTTTACCTGAAGTAGTACTTTATCAGATTTCTCAAAAAACGCTTATCAACTTAAAAAGTACTAATTTGCCGCACACTTATATTATACACACACATTGTTTGCTGTTCACTGTGCACAATTCTTTTTTTATGAGCTTCTATTCTATTTAAAAAAATTAAGTATTTAAAAACTGTTTAAAAATCATGTCCAATTCCTGATTTGCCATCCCCCTTAGTGTTATATAAGTATATTTGAGAAAGTTTAGGGGAGATGACTTCCATTTTATTCATACACATAATCATTTAGGCCTAATTTCTTTATTCTGTCGTTCTTCAACTGAGTATGTTGAAGAAACTACTCTCATAACTACTGAAGCAGCTTACAATTTTTAAATTCAGTTTTCATATTTCTTAAGCATAGTGGAGAACTGAATGGATATTTGATTTATTTCTCTTTCTCTTGGATCTCATCTGTGGTGAAGATGATTTTTTTCTAGTCTGTTAAAGGCCTGTGTTGCCATTACTACTCTGGTGACAATTTCTTTCTTGTTGCTGCCAAGTTACTTACAAACTTTGACCTCTTCTAATTCTACTAAATTAGCATATGAAAGTAGAGCCATACTAGAATTGCAATTTTTTTTATATCTTTCCCAGCATTGATGCCACCGATGAGTCTGGATTATTTGGCCGTCTAGTCAACCACAGTCGTGAAGGAAACTGCTGCACCAGAGCTGTAGTAGTGGATCAAAAGCCTCACCTTATCCTGGTTGCCAGTAGAGATATCAAACCTGATGAAGAACTGTGCTATGATTATGGCGACCGTAGGAAGGAGGTTATACAGGAGCACCCGTGGCTAAAGACATAATTGGTTGTATAACACTTGTAACATACTGGAGATGTGCAATCCACCCTTTATCATATCTGATTTCTTCCATAAATGACGCAATATATTTTAAGTTGATTTTTATCCCTTACATCTATTTCTGTAAAGAATCAGGACACCTGTATTTTTTACTCCCACCCCCATTCACGTAAAAATTCTCCTCCCTCCCACCTTAATAATTATCTTTCTAATTAACCTAATCAATATGATTATGAATCGCATCATTTGTAAGTTCACATTTTTCAAAACCTCCTTACAACCCATCATTTAAAAAAATACCGCTAAACCCCATTCCCCCCCCCCCCCCCCCACCCATTTTCCTGACATCGTTTATGGGTGACCCCCCTATGTTTACAGTTTAATGTGTATTTAACTTTTATCCTTAAGAATTTGTAAATAAAAAGTGAGTAGTTAGTGCCAGTAGGAGTTCATTAGTTTTTTTGGCTTTAAACTGTTTCATTTTTTAAAGAGTTAAAACTATCACTTTAAATTATAAGCATTGATCTGCTGTACATCTGTAAATATATGAACTATGAACTTATCTTTAAAAAATCTTATTTACCTAAACAAAATGGCAGCACTTATGCTAACATGAAAACACTATTTATGACTTAAACTATTCAGACTTTGAATAGTTGAAAACTATATTAGTGTTGTATGGATGTATGCTTATCACAGTGTATTTTGTTCCACATACAGCCCTGTCCCACATACAGCCCTGTCCCACATACAGCCCTGTCCCAAGTACACCCCTGTCCCACATACAGCCCTGTCCCACATACACCCATGTTCCATGTACAGCCCTGTCCCACATACAGCCCTGTCCCACGTACACCCCTGTCCCACATACAGCCCTGTCCCACATACAGCCCTGTCCCACATACACCCATGTTCCACGTACAGCCCTGTCCCACATACAGCCCTGTCCCACATACAGCCCTGTCCCACATACAGCCCTGTCCCACATACACCCATGTCCCACGTACACCCCTGTCCCACATACAGCCCTGTCCCACATACAGCCCTGTCCCACATACAGCCCTGTCCCACATACAGCCCTGTCCCATGTACAGCCCTGTCCCACGTACACCCCTGTCCCACATACAGCCCTGTCCCACATACAGCCCTGTCCCACATACAGCCCTGTCCCACATACACCCATGTTCCACGTACACCCATGTTCCACGTACAGCCCTGTCCCACATACAGCCCTGTCCCACGTACACCCATGTTCCACGTACAGCCCTGTCCCACATACAGCCCTGTCCCACATACAGCCCTGTCCCACATACAGCCCTGTCCCACATACACCCATGTTCCACGTACAGCCCTGTCCCACATACAGCCCTGTCCCACATACAGCCCTGTCCCACATACACCCATGTTCCACGTACAGCCCTGTCCCACATACAGCCCTGTCCCACATACAGCCCTGTCCCACATACAGCCCTGTCCCACATACACCCATGTTCCACATACAGCCCTGTCCCACATACAGCCCTGTCCCACATACAGCCCTGTCCCACATACAGCCCTGTCCCATGTACACCACTGTCCCACATACAGCCCTGTCCCACATACAGCCCTGTCCCACATACAGCCCTGTCCCACATACAGCCCTGTCCCACATACAGCCCTGTCCCACATACAGCCCTGTCCCACATACAGCCCTGTCCCACATACAGCCCTGTCCCACATACAGCCCTGTCCCACATACAGCCCTGTCCCACATACAGCCCTGTCCCACATACAGCCCTGTCCCACATACAGCCCTGTCCCACATACAGCCCTGTCCCACATACACCCCTGTCCCACATACAGCCCTGTCCCACATACAGCCCTGTCCCACATACAGCCCTGTCCCACATACAGCCCTGTCCCACATACAGCCCTGTCCCACATACACCCCTGTCCCACATACAGCCCTGTCCCACATACAGCCCTGTCCCACATACACCCCTGTCCCACATACAGCCCTGTCCCACATACAGCCCTGTCCCACATACACCCATGTCCCACGTACACCCATGTTCCACGTACAGCCCTGTCCCACATACAGCCCTGTCCCACGTACACCCATGTTCCACGTACAGCCCTGTCCCACATACAGCCCTGTCCCACATACAGCCCTGTCCCACGTACACCCATGTTCCACGTACAGCCCTGTCCCACATACAGCCCTGTCCCACGTACACCCATGTTCCACGTACAGCCCTGTCCCACGTACACCCATGTTCCACATACAGCCCTGTCCCACATACACCCATGTTCCACGTACAGCCCTGTCCCACATACAGCCCTGTCCCACGTACACCCATGTCCAGAATCCAGTGTATTGTTTGATTGCTACACAAAAACTAAAAATATTTTGAACATCTGTAAAAAAAATTGAAATGAAATTGTTATTGCCTGGGGAACAGCTAGCAACTATGTCTTATATGTTGTATCAGTAATGTCTTTGTTAAAAACTTTTTAAAAAATCTGAGCTCTCAGGCATTAAGTGTCTAACACACTACACTACAGGTTATAACAATGTAAGTTGTATTAATTCCTATTACAAGTTCTAATTTTCATTGATATCAACTTAAACATTTTATAACAATATAAGTTGTATTAATTCCTATTACAAGTTCTAATTTTCATTGATATCAACTTAAACATTTTATAACAATGTAAGTTGTATTAATTCCTATTACAAGTTCTAATTTTCATTGATATCAACCTAAACATTTTGTTAATACCATAGCATGTTCATCAGCTGGGGTTATGTCTACACCAAAGGTCACCAGGTAAATTTTTGTTCATCTATTTAAGCATCAATCCATTTCTTTTCTAGCAAAGTTTAGAAGTTTAGCGCGAGTAGCTAAGTATTAAAATGTTTTGTTTTAAAAAAAGAAAAAATTGTACGTATATTTAATATATAGAGGCAGTGGTTTGAAATCTAACAGTAAAATCTGAACTGCAGGATAATGCTAAGGTTACACAAATATATACAGTGTCACTTTATGTTTAGTAACTTGACTTTTATTTGATTAAATATATTTATGTGACTCAAGTCATGACTGTTAAAAATGAAATTCTGAAATCTTTAGCATTATCTACTTATGTAGATCATTTTAAATACGTTGTTTTTTATGCTGTAGTGTGTACAGATCAATTGGAATGTAATGCTGTAGTGTGTACAGATCTATTGGTATGTGAACTGAACATTGACATTGTTTTTTGTATTTTTACTTTTTTTTCAACATTCATTTTTGTCTGTTAACGTTTCTAATTTCATCTGTGAAATTTGTGAAATTGATAATTGCTTTTTGTGTGACAATGCTTTATGAATTCAGTAGATGTGTGTTTTATCTTTTTGTGAATGATGGTTGTCTTCAAGTTTCAATTTCTAAAAGTTAACTTATATAATAGAAGAGTTTACAGATTTTATAATTTTAAACACTATGAAGTGTTAATAGTCTGTACTATTTAACTTTACTTTCATTTTGTCACAGATTTTGTAAACCATTGTGTTAGTTATTACAATAGAAACATGTTCATTTTTAATGCCTTATTGTCAATAAATAGCAATTTTATTTTTATTTTTTATTCATTCGATCCGCTCTTTTGATTGAAATTGTCATTCTAAAAGGTTTTAATTAAAAAATTTGTGAAACAGTTCTCTAAACCTAGCATTGTCCCAAAATATCTTTATAAATAATAGAATTAATTCTTTCCCTTAAGACTAGGTCCTAAAATCTAATACTGATTAAAATGCAACATGTTGAAGATCATTAACTTTTTATCAGTGGTATACCAATTTTTCCTTGAAAAACTTCAGGTGGCCTTCCAATTAAAAATATATTTTATTACTCAAATGTTTATAGTTATTAGTATAACCTTAACCTTTATTACTCTACACTCATAAGAAAAAAATCATCAATGATTAAACAATGTTGAAACAAAAATAAAAATCTGTCACTGGAATTGCTGTGTCTCCAAAGGTGCATTTTATTTCTATAAGTATTTCCGTATAGCTGTTTATTTTCCTTGATATGGCAGAATGGATTGTACATTTAGCACACAAGCACAAGACCGTGTTCTCTGGGATACTTAATCTCTTAAACCTAAAATAATCCTAACACCCTGCCCATTTAATCAAGTAATTAATCCTGGCTGCTCCTATTATTATTAAAATATTTTTATTATATAATTATTGCTAGATGTTAAAAGAATAAAGCCACTGGTTAAAGAATTCTTTTTAGCCTAACCGTTGACTGATGTAGTCTATGACTTAATAATAAATAACAAAATAAAATATAATAATGCATCTACTCCGCATTTATTTTTAGTGTGAGTTCTCTAAGTTTTTATTGTAATAAATGTTTTTAAAAACAGAAAACTGAATATTTTGATTAAAAAAAAATAATGCAAGTTTATGCAACAGTTTAACATACACTCACTCTTTGTGCTGCTGTTTTAAGTTTTTATTTTAATTAAATCAACAAAAAAAATGAAAATTGAAAATTGCTTTTGCACTTGCTCTATTTTCTTTAAAAAAAGATTTTCTGCAAAACCTGTAAAATAATAGTGTAAAACTCGAGTATAAACTCAGTTAGTCTTCCTGGTTTATTTAATTTTGAGCTGAAGTTAAACATAAAATAGACAATAATGATCTTACATACATTAGACAGCCAGAATAACCAGTATACGTTGAAGTGTCAATAACATCAAATTATACACCTGAATGCCTGCTGCATCTACTATAAGTTTCAAACATTGAAACAAACTTGTATTTTGGCAGATTTGTTACATGTATTTTCAGTCTAAGTAAATGTTTTATATGCCTATTTTCACGTTCATGGTTATTAACATATTTACTACAAATAGTTTAAAAGACTAAATTAATATGTTAGAATCTCTAACTAGTTTGGAAAAACTATAAGTTAAATAATTACCATCTGGTTTTGTGCTTGTATCAATTTGAAAATAATATGTGATCTGATGTTTAAATTTGAAAGATAGATCTTAAATTTTAAATCTTAAACTGCCAGATGAGAAAAACAACTTCCAATATTAAGAGTATTTTAGAATAGGGGTCCATAAATGACGTCACACTCGTAGGGGGGAAGAGGGTCCGTAATTTTGTGACATTTAGTGATGAGGGGGGGGGGGGGGTGGGGTTCAGATAATGCGACGTCACATTTTTGCATTGTAATAAAGCAATGTTAGAAAACCAAATTTAGCCGTTATTTCGCGTTTTAGAAAACTTTAAATAAACTGTAATAAGTATTGATCAGAAATACTTTATGTTGACAG